CTATTTATAACGCGTGCACCCGAGGCCCGAGTGAGAGCCGGCCACAGCAGCCGGGGTGCCTTTTTGTTTATTACTACAGCTGCTTCTGCTCGACAGTAATTATAACAATAAGCTAACAACTCGGTTAGGAAGGCTGCATTGCCAGTGTAGGCGGGAGGAGGCACGTAGGCACACACATTCTGCCTACGTGTATACCTGTGGATGTTCGCATGTGTATGCACATATAATATAGGGATGTACGTACGATACATGCATGCCTACGTACGCAGACAGACGGACAAGACAACATTAGCCTCCCATTCATACGCGCATCTGCCCGCCCGTCTGTCTAGACCTCTGTCAAGTCAGCAAGCAGAAGCTGGCTGCCCAGAACCCGCTGACGGCCCTGGCAAGGGACCCTGACAGGAATCAACATCACCAAGCTGCTAGCGCTTACGGGGCGGAAGAGTGGTGCTTACAAGTAATTCTAGCACGTGTCCTTCCCGTCAGACCTGGGTTGAGAGGATGGACGGTTGTATTATCACGATGTCGTGACTGTAAGACAGGGGGGGCAGACGGGGGACGGCTGGGTTTTACGTGTTAATATGGATGGGCATGAATGTACCTAATGCAGGCATGGATGGGGGGTATGTACCTAGAGGAGGTAGGCATGTAGGCATTTTATGCTTGGCCTTGTATCGGGTTCGTTCTCGAAGCTCTCCCCCTTCCTCCATTCTTACGCACTTAGAGCAAGAGGCCTGTAGGCCGAGCAGAACAAGCCGAATTGCCCATGGAAGCAGTTTTCTCGAAATAGACATGACACACCACGGGATTTCGCATCGAGACATCGCGGGATACTGCCATGACAGCCATGACAGGCAACTGACTGTCTGGAAGATATTTGTACCGTGCACCATATACATGCACACCTACCTAATACATGCATACACCTTGAGATATAGGTACGCGAGGCATGGGATGTAAGGTAAATAGAATGATGACAATAACAGACCACAATAAGAATGCCGGATGGAATGGATTCGGCGAGGTACCATGGGTGAAGGTAAACCGGTCTGGTCCGTCTGGACGCTAACGCGTATGTGCTATGTAGGTATGTAGGTATGGCATGTTGTTAGGTTAGGGAGTTTAAGTACTTAAGGAGGAGGCATGAAGGTACCTAATGTATAGGCGTAGCTAGTACCTTTAATACCGTCGACACACCACGAAGCTACATAGGCGTGTACGTGCGGACGTATCCATGCCCAACAACGCCTTGAGGTCCTTCGTTCGCGATGCACGCTGTCGAACACGCTAGATGCACACAATGAAGACGGCTAGAGCCCGTGTCCAGTATTACCGTCTCCATCTGCCACCTGGCAGGATCCCCACTCGGGTTGGCATGGTTACTCGCACAGTACGACGTCTCACTCGCCCTCTCGACGGTCCTTTCGTCGCAACCATGCGGACGCGCGCGCACCCACATACACCCATACCTACTACACCCATACCTTACAACCCGTGCGTGAGGAGATGGAGAGAGACAAGAGAGGGGGCGCAGGACCGGGGCCGGAACCTCCTTGGGCTCCGTTCCAATGAAATCGAGGCGGTTCGACCATTTTGGAGTTGACCATTTTGGGAACCAATCCGGCACAACGGTAATGGGTACTCATAAGTACCTACTTGGCCGTTCTCGACGCTGTCGCTGATTTTCACCGTATCTTGGGTTTATTTTTGTCCTCGTTCTTAATTAACAGACCGTCGCTCTGCACATCCAACGGATCCTAGCATGCGCATAGTAATATGCGGGCAGGGTAGAGCCCGCTTCTCGAGTCTCTCGCCGCCATTCCTTAGCGACCGCTGGTGCGGGTCCCTATCGCCGAAGTACATAGACGTGGGTGGTGGGCGTAGGCATGTGTAAGTGGCAAGTCCATGTATATCACACGAGTTCCTCGACTTGGCTCGTTGTCTCGAGCGACCGGGCAGGTACCTAGACAAAAACCACCACGCCCTTCAGACGAGGTACGATAAGGGCGCAAGGCCGTAGGTAGGGATCCTCGAGGTCGCCCAGCGACATCAAGCCGAGCGCACCGAGAGGCGAGACACGACCAGAAAAAAAAACCATCTCGATGCACTCTCCTATGGTGCGCCTCGCGCGGGTCGGGGGTGTTGACGGAATGCAGGAAAGCCACCGATTCCCTCCGTAGCTTCGCTCCTAGCTCTCAATGGACGAGCCATCGGGTGTGGTACAAGACTCCTCCTCCTCCCCATGTGAATTGGAGCACGTTGTCTCACGGGGCAGCCCGCGGGAGACTTGGGGGGGGAAAAATTAATCGTGGGAAAAAAAAGAGGGAGACCCAGCCTCGCTACCCCTTCGTGTAATTGCACCATCCGGTCCGAGGAGCGACGAGGATGGGTTGACGAGCAAGCTAGAGAGACTAGGGCCGCAACGCTGTGGTCAGAAAGCGGGGGGGGGGGGAGGTAGGGGAGGGAGGGGAGGGAGGGATGACACCGTCTCTTAAACCAACCAACCGCTCGACAAGATGTCGAACGAGCAGCGAACAAGAGGAATTCGCTAGCAGGTATGTATGTAGCATTAGCGGTTATAGCAGACCTAGGAGGAGCGGCGGCGGCGGCGGCGGCAGCGAGCAGCAGCAGCAGCAATAGTCGCAGTGGGATGGAGAGAGACAGGGCCTCGGAGAAATGGCACCGACGGTATTGGCGCGAACAAAGACGCACGCGAGATGGGGAGACAGACCCGTTGGGTGACTGGGACCGGATTTTTGCTGGGCGCCGCGTTGGGGTTCGTCGATTCAGATCGCGGTGAATGGTTAATGTTCAGGACGCCGGTCGATCATTGATACGGCTGGAGAAGCACCCCGGGTTTCTTGGTAACGACGTGTTGGCATGGCGAGATGGGGGACGTGCAGGCAGGTAGGCAAGTAGGGGCATGTATCGTTCCTATTCTACTCATGCATCGCGTCTCTCTCTCTCTATGCCATACCCTCTCTCTCCTTCTCTCGCTAACGTATATGTATACATACCACATACATCCCAAGTGAGCTTGCATACATGCATACATACCTACGTACAGACACAGCTAGCATGGGGGGGGGGCCCTGGGGGTCTAGGTCGGGTTAGAGCGCTTCAGATGCGAATAGACGCGAGGGTCGATGAGATGAGATGAGATGTCGCCCGACCGACGATGCGGCGCACAGATCACGAAATAATATCGACTCGACTCGATTCCGCAGCCGGAAAAGCGCCGACGGCGACGTCGTCTTCCCACGAGGCTTTCGCGATAGATTGCCGACGATTGTTACCCTACTGGGCCCGGTCTGGCCTGGCTCGGGTTGGGCCTGGGCTGGGGACTGGAGAGAGAGAGAAAAAGAGAGAGACGGGCTGCAGACCAGGGCCCAGCGGGTAGGACACGGCGCGCTCCTCGTTTATCCAAGATTGCCCCAGGGGTCCCCCCTCGTTCACTCATAACTGCCTACAGAGAGGGTGGTATGTATGAGTGCACATACATAGGAGAGAGAGAGGGAGGAGAGAGAGAGAGAGAGGGAAAATGTGGGCAAGCATTATCCCATCGTCCCACTCGCTCCCCGTCTTCGAGGTCACTCCACTCACTCTCCTCATGTGTGTGTGTGGCACAGTGATAGTGACAAGACGGATAGACGGGGAGGAGGTTGGGGGGTTCATACCACTGCTAACCACCACTATTGGTACCGACTAATCTTTCTAACGCTCCGGTGGGATTCGTCCATCATTGGAGTTAGCCCGATCGCTATGCACATTGGCAGATTCGCCCCCCTCTCTCTCCCCCTCTCTCCCGTAGCTACTCATATTGCTGCCATTATTCCCATCTCACCCCCATGCACAGCTGATAGCCTACATTGCCGGATTCGTACAGTAAGAGCCCACCACGTTCCGCCTCACCTGCCTACCTATAGCACATACCCTGGTGTAAATGCGTCTGGTCTGTCCGTGTCCACAGGGTGCGGCGTAGAGAGGGACCCCATCGGGTCGATCGACTTTGTCGAGGTGCCGGGGGAAAACTATTGGTATTTGCGACGACTATCGTGATCAACCCTCACGTCACGCGACGCGCCGCCTCTGGAAGCAACGGTACCGGTAAATGATCCCGGGCAGGTCTGCGTAGGTGTCCGCATCGGTGATCTCGGTGGCTAACGTCCACTGACTTGTGGATCACGGATGGATTATTACGACCTGCCGGCGTTTTTTCCCCTTTCTTTCAGGGTAGTCTTAATTAATATTCGCAGTTCCCAATAGATCGTTACTCGCATGTGTGGTGTACTGTGTATGCAGGCAGTTGCTAGCTACGCAGGTAGATCAGATCGCGCACACGGGCGGCGGGACTGGCTAATGGCAACCTACCTAGTCTAGATGTGTGCAAAAGGCGCCCCCCCCCGTGCGGTCTCCGAGCGGATTCGGACTCCGGAACGAGGCGCTAATATCTCTCTCTACCTATCCATGTATGTACGGTGACGACACCGCTGTCGCGATTCACGCACTGCTCCAACACACACGATACGGATGCGGGACTGGGCTCGCAGAGACAATGTATGATGGGTCTCGGAAGCTGTCTTCGATTGCGTAGCAACGCGTTATTGGTGACTGTCACATCCAGTACCGTGCCATCGTCGGGTAGCGTAGGGGATGGAGCAGAAGTCGGGGGCGCCGCGGCAATTCGACGCGGACGAGGCTTACCGCCCACCCCATGCAGTCTTCATCCAGCGTGACGTAAAAGACACTGGCGATCGACGGGCAATCGGCGATTGGCTCCTCCTCGCTCTGCCTGTCTCTTTGTCCCTCTCCACGCCTCCGACGCCTCCGTGTTATCCCCCCTCACCTACCTAGGTACCTAGATGCCTCCGTGTGTAATTCGGCGGCCTCTACCGCTGACACGGGACATGCCAGTGACATCGGAGCAGGACCGACGGCCCACGGCCCGCGCTCGGCGGGATGGATAGAGAGGCACATACACATATAAGCATAGTGAGAGAGTGTGAGAGAGAGAGTGTGTGTGTGTGAGTTGGAGTGAGAGACGAGGTGGGCACGAGGCGTCGAAAGGAGGCAACTTTCACCCTAGCCAGTGACATTTACCGTTGGGGTGCCGCGCGGCGCTCGCCGTACCAGGAGGTCCCATGTTCTCGCGCGGGGAGTATGCGATGATATGCCGTTGCATCGAGTTGTGTTATCACCTTCCGAGGAGCCCAATCTCTAGAGTTGGTTCATGGAGGTGGGCATTTGCCATCACCCGCCCACCTCACACACACTCTCTGTCCCCCGGACGGCATGCCCGTTTCCGTCGCGGTCGTTGGCGGGCGGCCAATCCCCATCTCCGCTCCGCCTTGGTCTCCTTTGCCTCTCCCACCCTATGGATTCGTGGCGGGATGACGAAAGCCCGTGGGCAGGCCAGCCAGCTAGAAGGCGCGCGGCCTCGGACGGTGGCAGTGGCGGCGGCGGCGGCGGCGGCGGGCGAGGAGGCACCCAGCCAATCGAGGAGATCCCGACAGCGTACTGCCCGAACGCTGCCGGGCAGGGGGTCAGGACGCGCGCGACGCAGACGTACGAACACGGACAGGCGCAAACACACATGCCTACATGCATACACGCATAAGCACAAGGCGACACGGCAGCGAGCAAGCACGCGCTGCCGCTGCTGGTGCTGGTTACTCGTGTCAAGGCGCACCCGAATTAGAGGGAGGAGGGCGCAGAGAGAGTAGGACGTAGTTCTCTTCCATCACGCACCAACGGCCTGGCGTTCCTCCCGTCTCGAGCATCCGACCCCGAGCCGCTCCTCGTACATGCCCTACCTTAGCTGCCTACCCAGCCTACCTGACCCATCCGACCACCTACGCACAGCGTAGCGGCCGGCTGACCCCCCCCCCTCTCCCGCGATCTGCGGAGACGGTAGGCAGGGAGGCGGGAGATGAGCCCGTGGGGCGATGTGGTGGCGGCGGCGGCAGCCCGCATCGAGGGAGGGGGGCCAATTTCGTGACATGCGGCACTAACACGCGCCGCGCCGTCGCGTCTCCGAGGTAAGGGGGACTGGCTGGCCAGTTAGGCTTATCGTGGGAGGGGAGGGAGAGGCGTGCGTGTGCGCCTCTAGAGAGGCGCATCCGCCTCGTCGGATACCTCGTCTGCCCTTCCCCCCGTTAGACGATCTTGTCGACTAGCAACGTCGGTAATAGGACTGACTACCTTACCTGCTGACATGTGTTCTAGATGCCGTTCCTTTCTTTGCTGCTTCTCGGCGTTGTGCTGTTTTGTCTTGATTCATTTGGAGTAGGCATGTTTCGTTTCCCGTGGATAATCTCGTCGTCTTCCTTCCGCGATTCTATTTTGGCGCGTCGCTGTCGTCGTCGGGAGATGATGGCGTTCCCCGTGTTTTCTCTAGGTCTTTTTCGGGAGGTGTTTTTCGACGATCGATCCCTCACCACCTGATCGAGGTATTTCTGTGGGTTGCATGCGGATGATCTGCTGCATGGGAGACGCCGCATCATCAACCTGATGCGTTGCGCAAGGGTCTGGGGTTCCCTTCCAGACGCAAAGAGATGAGAGGGAAAAGAGAGGGAAAAGCCAGGGGACGGCGGGAGGAGGCTTAACTGCCCATTTGGGGCATTTGTTCCTCTTCGTATATTCCAGCACCAAGCGTCGTTTTGTTTCTATATGTGGGTTGTACCGGGTAACCTCTGTAGGTCGATGCACTACGTCGTAGATCGGTTTACTTCCTATACTTATGTACTGGTACCCATACTGTTCCCCTTCCCCCCCAAGGTACCTCTAGGCGTTACTTATGTATACAGTACCGCATGCAGTGGTTTCTCTCTGGCCTGGGTACTGTTCCACCTAAATAGGAAGTAGCTACCTACCTCCTACCTACGTCCGAAAATACTCGATTAGTCCGTTTTACCCTATCGTTCATACGTACCTACCTACCTAGGTATATATCTGAATCTACCTACCTCCTGTTCATCTGGCCGTTATTGCTTACGTACATAGGCAGAGGTAGGGGTTTCAGACAGGGTGATTATAGGGTGCTCACATATGCGGCTACTTGGAACACCTTCGCGGTCCACGGCGGGCTGACGACACGATGGGGTGTTCTGCGTTCCATTCATACCTCCCTGGACATGTAATTGCACCAGATAGGTATGAAGATAGATAAATATAAAAACGTATACATTGCTTGTATCTGTGCAGTAGATGCAGGCCGCTCGTACGTGATCAGGCCGAGCCGACTCGGCCCTGAGGACTGAGGACTGAGGACTGGGGACGCTGGCTACCTATCTATGTTAGCGATGACGCGGCTGGAATTTCCTATCGTGGCGGACGTGACAACCCCCCCCCGTCGTCGCCGTCGCCTGTGTGTGGATGCATTCATGCATACATGGAGGTACATATACGGATCGACAGAGGGGGTAGGTTATGTGCGCATTGGATGCGAGAGGTGAGGTTCTTGTCTTTGGTAGGTAGTATACGTACGTACCTAGGTAGGTGTTTGTGCTCTGTGGCCTGTAGGCAATGCGAGATGGGTGACGGGTGATAGGTGACGGCGAGGGAGGGAGACCAGATTTCTGTCGGAGCCTCAGACCGTGATCGTGCCATTCTGCGCCGGCCCTGGCCCCCGGTCGGCCTCGAGTTGGCCTTCTCTCCCTCCTCGTTGGCCCGCTGGCGCTTTTCACCGTCCATCCAACCCGATGCAACCAACTCTGGGCTGCACCCAGCGCGTAATTATCATGCGTGATTGTACATCAAGCGCTGCGGTACATAAATTGTGACGAGCATACCTGTGATAGGTACATATGTCACAGTTTCTTGTATATGTGGAGGCGTGTACTGAGACAGATAGGTGAGCTTATCTCAGGTATCTATCTATGTTGGGTACCTACTTCATGGCCCGTCGACGTCCCCTCCCCTGTCGAAGCCACACCCCCCTCCCCCCTTTTCTTCCCTAAACGAGCCCTGAAACGCCAGTCGCGGGAGATCACGCATCGTCGACTCGTTGTTTTGCCTCATCTTTCCATCCCCCCCCTCCTCCTCTGCTCTCCCTACGACCCTCTACTATTGAGTACGCAGCATGCGGTAGGAGGTATCCTCCTTTCTGGTGGAGTTCGCTGTTTTTGCTGTGTTTCTGCTCTCTGGTCAGGCCACCCTGTCTGGCTCCCTCGCCCGTTGTTTGGGGCCGTCTCGTTTTGTCATTCGTAATTCCCCCTCGTCCTTCTGCTGCGCCTGTGTCCTCGGGACCCTCTCCCACCTCGTCCTCGTCCCCGACTTAGCCCGTCTCGCGCGTTCTCTCGGCATCACCCGAGTATCTAAAGTAGCGGTAGCAGTAGTGTTTTTTTCCCCGAGGCCTGGTTGCTTGCGTCTTTCTGCCCCATCATTTCATTCTACCTGAGCGCGTGCGCACCACCATCTTCGTATTTACCGCCATTCTTAATTATTCGTCTTCGATTCTCCTCTTTTTTTTTTATTACCATCTACTCCAGGCTGAGCCGTAGGTGCTGTTGCGCTTACAACCCCTTTGACCCTCAAAGTCGAGAATTCGACGTGCCGTTCATTTGACGCCCTCCACCACCACGCATATCTTTCCCTTCGCCGTCGCTCGAGACGAGGTCCTTTTGGAACTGCAGACGCCGGTCGTCGATCAATTATTTTACCCGCACGCCAATCGCTAGGTACTGGAGGATTAGGGAGAGAACAGAAATTTGAAAAAAGCCATTCGACGGCGCAAGCCCCGACAGGTCCAAGATGGTGAACAAGGTACTAATGGCGTTCATCGCCGCCGACGGGTTGTTCGTTTCGATGGGTGCTATCATGTTGGGCTTCAGCATCATCGTCCAGCAAACGTGCTTCGATCCGCCGACCGACGGAGAAGGAGCCGCCCGCGATCTCCTCTACCAGAAATTCCCGTTTACAGGTGAGTACATAATGGCAGTCGCCTGGTGAGGGACGAGAAGACGAACGCTGGGGGAAATGCTGGGTAGGGTCGGTAGGGAAGAGTTATGATCGCATAGGGGAGAAAGCGCGAGAGGGTCAATCGGGATTGATGCTGACGGGTGAAAAATCCAGCGGGGATTGTCAATGCCATCTTCACGTTCGTCGCCTTCGCGGCCACGCTCCCGGCGCTAGCCACGAACAACCGGAGTTGGCTGAAGCTGGCTGCCTACCTGATCGTCGTCGATGCCGTCTTCACCATGGGCATCGGCGTTGACCTGTGGATCGTCACCCTGAAGATGAAGGAGAGGTTCTTCTCCATTTGGATCTCGCAACCGCCGGCCGTCCAGGAGCTCATGCAGGCATCCGTGAGTAATATTATCCATACTTACATGTATCGGGGAAGCTAACGCGGCCCCGCGATAGTTCCAATGCTGCGGCTTCTTCAACAGCACATCGCCCGCGTTCGTCACCAACCCGACGTGCCCGAGCCCCGCCGACGCCGCCCTGATGCGAGGCTGCGCCGCGCCTCTGACCTCGTTCGGCAGCACCTTCGTTGACAACATCTTCACTGCCGTCTTCGGCATGGTCGGCATCGATACCCTCCTCATCATGGCCATCGCCTGTGTGCTCAAGGATCGCAAGGAGCGCGAACGCTTCCGCCACATCGACGAGAAGAGCGGTGCCCGAGGCACCTTGTAAAAAGAGTTAACGAAAAGGGTGAGGTTTTAAGCCCTTTTTTATTACATCTTCTCAGCTACGAAGGTGCGCAGCACGCCATGTATTTTTTCTCCCGGTTACTGTGTCAGTGTGTCTCCATATGGGTCCCACGGCACTGCGGTCGTCATATCTTTCTTTCTTTTTGACGATTCGACTTAGCTGGAGATTGGGAGGTGTTTTTTCGGTTCACTCGGGTGTCGATGTCCTTTCCAGGCTACGGCAGATAGAAACTCGATATTCGAATAATCCAACCAGTAGTTCACCCGCAGAACTACTTGGGTACGTCCCCATATTATTATTATTATTATTTCCAGGGACGTTGTAGATATATGGCCTGTTGCAGTGCGCTCCTATTGGGTTTGGCGTTTCCTACTCGCTCACGTTGACGATAGAGAGATATTATATATACATTTTCTTTGTTACTTCAACCCTCCTTTTATTCGGTCTTAGTATGACGCACATCCCTACCTCGGAGTTTGGTAGTGGACGCGGTAAATGGCTTCATGAGAGTAGGTAGCGGCAGTTAAGAGCACCAACACGAGGCGAGGGACGCGGGCCGTCAAAGATGCGAAGGCTACATTCCTCGAATAAGGTCATGGTAGTTAATCGTGTTGCTCAGCTCCGGGTGACACTGGTTGGTTACCAGCACCAGACGGCTTGATACAGCGGGACGCAAATCATCCGTCTTTCCAAGAATGCCAGCAACCCGCCCAGCCGTACAAGAACCGTTGTGCCAGGCAGACATACGGTTATCCCTATCTTCTCCACTCTTCCTCCCAACACGACGTTACCCGTCGTTACCGGGACGCAAACTGCAAATCTCCAAGAAACAAAGTACCACCAACCCTGCTTACGATCTCGAATCGAAGTCTTCGAGCTCGCGAGCGTCACGCGGCAAGCGAGTCCGGGGAGGCATGGCAGCCGCGGCAGCCGTCGGCGAAATCTTCTACCAGGACTGGGAAGGGACGCGGACAGGACTGCGGGGCCTGCTCCCCAGACAATCGAGCCTTGGGCTGCGCGACGATCCGGCGTCGTCGTCGTCGTCGTCGTCATCGTGGTCGTCGCGTGCCACCGCTGTCGTTCGCAGCGGTAGCGTACGCAGCCTCGACAGCAGAAATTGTCTAGCGTGGGGGGTTGGCCTGGGTCGTCTCGATCGGGGCGAGTCGATACAGCCGGGAGTCGACCGGGATGTTATCCGTCAAGCGCGAGGCGGAGAGAGGGCGGGAGATGTGGTTTCGTTGGTTGGCGTTCGGGGGCGGCAGCGGCAGTCAGGAGGACCTCCGGAGTCGGGTTCCTCAACTAGAGCCGGGCGGGCGGGCGTTCGCGTCGGGCGCGGCAGACGCAGCGCCTCCTCGTCCTCCCCGGCCGAGGGTCGGGTGGGGCGGGGGTACCGCAAGGGCGCCGGAGGGGGGAAGGTGGGGCGCGGGCCGTGCCGACACACCCGACGGCTGTGACCGGGTTGACCGCGGTCGGCGGGATGCGCGACTCGCGCTGGGTTTCGCATGGGGCGCGGGCAGGCGGGCGGAGCCACGCCGAGAGCAAACACGTACCCCATCCCGTCGCGGCGGATGTACCTATGCCCGACGGGAGGCAGCGACGTGTCCGACCTCCGGGGGAGGTGGGAGGGGAAGCTGCCTACGTAGCGAGGCGCACGGAGAAGAAACAAGACAACCTGACCCCAAACGGACGGGGGCCGCATCTTATATAGGTGTGCATTGCTCCCCTCCCTTTTCCCCTGCCGGCAATCCGGTTCGTTGGGGTCTGGGGGTGTGCGTATGTGTTGGGCATGGTGCGTAGGAGCGCATGACTGACAACCTAGTACGAACTGGTGCAGGTTGTGTCTGCCACCGAGATGGCTGGTACGTCGCGGCGAGGATGGGGACGACAAGGACCGGGTGCACGTCGGGCGAGATGCTCGTCATCATATCCGCATGACCCGTAGGTCAGTATGCCATGTAGGTACGTTACTGCTAGGTAGGTGTGTGATGTGAGGTAACCATCAAAGCCGGTTGTCTCGATGTATAATTTCTACGGATATACCAAATGTCCTTCTGTTAGACGGTACCACTTAACAGTGGGAGGTACTTAAGGTATCTTCTCACTCCCATAAAGGCACCAGAGGAAAGGCTCTCAGCTCTACGTAGACAGAACTGCAGGTCTACCTCATCATCTCTTAGCCAGACGGTTCGCCTGCCCCTCGCCTGGTGATGGTACGAACACGTACCCGACCGAACCTACGGCATGCCGTAGATCGATCGACCGACTCGCCATGACTGTTTCTGCAGTTGGGACGAACGGGTTATGCTCGCTCGACGTGGCCTCGACGTTGGCGTCGATGTGGCGTTCCCCCTTTTAGCAAGCGAAACGCCACAATTTCGATGACGAGGACGGGCAGGTGATGACGACGCCTTGACCTAAACTTGACGTCATCTCTTTCTCTCTTCCCGTCACCGCCGCTGCGGCCGCCGCTCTTGCCTGCCGGAGCACTTGCGCCGGCGCCCCCTCCAAGAAGGGATACCTGATCGTAGTGGGCTACGAGGCCTGTATGGTGCCTCATAGATGTAGGGCTACCCCACGCCGCGCCCTTCTCCCCTCCACCTTTCCGTCTGCTACCTTCGTGCCGCCGTCACTGTCGAATCACTGTGGCAGAGCGCGATCGCGATGACGGCCGAAGGGAGGTCGTTGCTCTCCCTGACGTCAATCCCCTAGTGCTAGGTACGGCTATCGCTCCCGCTACCGCGAGGACGGCGGCATGTGGCATGAGCAGAGTAGGAAGTGCTAATGCGGGCCAGTCGATCCGCCGTGGACGCGAGGGTCTCGATTCGACAGCGGCAGCCGAGTGACAGACCTCCTCCATCATCGCGCCTCTCGTCATCGCGTCTATTCGGGTCGACGCCAGCCAGCCCGCTCTCCGCAATCTCCCCCATCTGCCTAATCCACCGTCCTGTGTCCTACCATCAATCCGCCATACCGGTAGCCCGGGCTTGCGACTGAGATGGGAGGGCTCTATGCGTATCTGTTCTAGGTATGCATCCACCTGCATGCGTACAGCTTCGAGCGTGCCGGCAGCTCCATGTTCTGTGGCTGATAGGCTGGGGTGAATCCGCCACGAACGAGAGCGGAAGAATAAGAGGGACAAGACGGCGATCTGAAGAATGACCTCATCAGTCTCGCCCCTGGCCCTGCGATGTCCTCCAGGTCTCTCCCCCGCCTACTCCCTTTCCGTAGTGCCGCCTCGGCCACCGAAATGCAACGGTGCAGGCCGTATATGCGCACCTTGCGCCGGTGTCTTTGTGACATGTCTCGTAATATACCCGTCTTGACTCCCGCCCCCCTTTCGTCGAGCCGTGACGTACATACACGTCTGGCCGGGGGGGGTATAACGCGGGATTCGCAAGGGGGGCAGAGTCGCCACGCCTCCTACTTAAACCGACGAGCAGACGCGCACAAGCCCTGGGATATCGCCTCCATTACAACCACCATCCGGCCCTACGCACTCGCTGAATAGAAATCAAGCCGCACCACCCAAGTGTCTACAACCAACCAGCAAACTAACTAACGCCACCCTAACCCACCCCGAGCCACCAACATGGGTGCCGTAGTCTCCTGCGTACGTGCCCCCTTCCTTCTCCCCTCCCCGGTACTAACCCGTCCCACCCACCACCAGATCCAGTCCATCTTCCGCACGATCGGCAGCGTGATCATGGCCGTCGTCGGCGGCGTCGGCAGCATCCTGCAGGCCATCATCGGCGGCGTCGTCGCCTTCGTCGGCATCGTCGTCTCGTTCCTGACCTGCGGCTACTGCGGCGGCCACCGCCGGAGCCGCCACGCCCACACCACTACGACCGCCGGCACCGGCACCGGCATGCGTCGCCGGCGCGGGTGGGGAGGCCACCGCCGCCACCACGCCACCACCGCGAGCCGCATCTAGGCGTGTGCGAGAGAGGAGAGCAGAGGAGAGGAGAGAAAAAAAAAGAATAGACGACGGTACGACCTAGCCGTGCCCGAGCCGTGGAGGAAGGCACATTACCACGGCGGACTACGACGTTACGATACCCCCAACATCCACAGTATCCCCCTTTTATGTATTCCTTAGTATCTGTAATTCTAGGTTATCAAATAGAAACCTTTGCAACTGCTAGCTGGCAAGCCGGAACGCGTGTGCATGTCGGACAGAGAGCTGTGAAGTAGCTGGATTGGCGCTCGCCAGCTCTCGGGAACGGAGAACCTCAGGCTTTATCGACCTAAACTTGTCTCTCCCATGGTGGCCGTCTGGTCCCGAATGGGAGTAACCTTTGTCGTTTCCATAGTTGTTCATGCCTCGTCCATCCGACGAGAAAATATTTCTTTTCTGTTTTAACGTATCTATATATATACATACACCTGTACATGTAGGTATCCAAGACCGAGTTACGGATTTCCGTCCATCTCATCTCATCAAATCCATCTCTTCTCCCCGCCCCACCCACGCTGGTGCCCGCTACATCCAGCGCCCTGTTCTACTCGGTGGTTCCGGTGGTAGGCACGTACTCGGGGCAACGACTCGGCTTTGGGAAGGGGAGGCAGGGGAGGGGGCCGATCCTACGCGCCCGAGTAGTCGTCGATATCGATCAGGTTGCGGTGGAAGAAGCCGTGCACCCGGGCCGCCGCCTCCTTGCCGATGAGCGGGCGCAGCTCCGCCAGCGACATGTTGGCCACCTCGCGCACGTTGTCCGCCTCGAGCGTCAGGTTCTTGATGTTCTGCGGCGTCACCCCCGGCACCGCCCTCAGCATCTCGTGCGGCTCGAGGTTGAACGCCTGGTCCTCCGCCCGCGCGTCCTTGTCCAGCCCGGCCCGCACCGCCGCCACCGGGTCCGGCTCGTCCTGCTGCGCCTTGAGCCCCTCGAAGATCTCCGCCGTCTGGTACGGGCTGCTGCTCCAGATCACCCGCAGCTTCGGGAACGCCAGCGTGAGCAGCACGATCTTCGACTGCAGGTCCGAAGGCCCCTCGTTCGGGTTGACCGACCTCAAGTTGCCCGAGAGATCCGCGAACGGCTCCAGCGTAAACGACTTGTTCTGGTCGAATTCGATCAGCAGCATCGGGTTCTTGTAGTGCTGGAACATCGTCTCCGTCTGGCTGTACAGCCGCCCGTCCTTGAACGAGCTGATGAGGTCGCTGACTGACTTGCGCTCGATGCAGATGGTGGGAGAGAGTATGTAGTCGCCGACCGTTAGCATGCACGGCACGATGACCATGTTGCGCCCGTGCAGTAGAGACGGCAGCGACGAGCGGAATTCGCGGACGTCTACGACAACCCTAGGCGGTTGCGCTGTAGCTGCTAACCGGCCGCCGCCAGCGATTCGCGTGTTCACCGTCCTTAAGAAGGCTTCTTGGGGGTCCTCGACGCCGTGGGCGTCGACCGTCATGACGACAGACATGCTGGCGCGCTCTTTGATAATCTTGGTGAATGCGTCCTTCTCCCGTCGGACAGTAGCGAGATACCGCTGTTCTTCGACCGACCCACCGTAGAACATGAAATACACTCGGACATTCCTGTCGTTATGTGATGATCGGTAAACCTCGACTCGACGTATGAACGCGGCATCGGGCTCGTACATGATGATGTATCGGGGTTTGACCTCTTCGAGTACGTGCTCGTCTAGATCGCCGTCGTAGGCATGTATGACGACTAAATCTTGCATCTCATAAAGCTCAAAGTAGTCGTCCATGTCCTCTAGCGGATCTGCGATGATATCAGGTTTATGGTTGGCCTCTTCCTCCGTGATCTTTACCTCATCCATGAGGTCAGCAACTTCGTTGGGCTTTTCAAAGTACTGTGCCACGCTTCCGTTGGCGGCCCTGCCGGACACCGCAGCGGTGCTGCTACCACCACGTACCCGTCGCCTCTTGTTCGCCGGCGCTCTCCCTTTGTATGCACCTTGGGCTAGTCGCGGGTCGACTGCGCCTTCGAGAGCCTTCTGGTTCTCGGAGAACAGGGCATTGCTGACTTGCGCAAATTCTTTTTTCCAATTGAGGTAGGCTCGAAGCCTCCTCCTCATCATAAACGCACCAGATGGTTTGTGCTTCTCGTTCTGCTTCGCGTCAGTTTCAGCTTTCGGTTCTACGTGCATCACCTGCAGGAAGTCGCGGAGCTGGCGCGTCGTCGCCGTATCAGAACACATGATAAGAATCGTCCCGTTTGAGTCGTCCTTCGCTAGAGGTTCAAAATAGAGGTCCCTGTCGATCTCCTCTAGTATCTCAGCGAGGATGGCCCACTTTGGTTGCTCTTCGAGGACTGGACGGAGCGAATCAATCGCAGACTTTGCGTTCGCTTTGGCACTACTGGCGTACACCCTTCGCTTGGCAGTGTCGAAGATGGTATGTGCAGCGTCGAGAAACAACCATGGCGATTGGCTCTGCTTCGTAGATCCCGGCTGCGGGGAATGTGCGGCGTGGATGGTGTCTAGATGTTGTAGGAAAGACACGCTATCGAGGGCTAGGACGGAGTGCAACAAGCCACGGAGTACGGTCAGGTCGCTGACGATCTGCTTGGTTTTCCAGCTGACCCGATGCCAGTTGGGGTCCAACTGCCGTCGAACCATGACATCGAAGTTCTTGAGCAATGCGCTATCAAGATTCCAGTCGTCCATCTCCAGTCCGGAGTTGCCCTTTTTCAGCTCGTGGATGCTAACCTCGACGCACTCCATGATAGCTGTCTGTATCTCTGTCATGGAGTCCGTCATAGGGACCTCGAGTTCGATGACCTCTGCCTTCTTCTTACCCTCTAGGGAGCTGGCGACAGAGACGTGGAAGCGAGGCCACAGGGATGCCTTCCTGAGAAACATGTTCTTCATCATGGAGGCCAACGGAGAGAAGCCGACGGTAAACGAATCTGGATTGTCGGAAAACGCCTTTAAAAATCCGGTTTTATTCTTCTGACGGTAGACGCGAAGGATGAAGGCTTCGAGGGACGTGGCCACCACCTTTTCCGCGTGCAGGAGGATTATTCCCGTGATGGTCTCCGGGTTCAGGAGGCCGGTCAAGAGGTCGACGACTAGTATTCGGGAGGTGATGCTGTATACCCCGCCCTTTGCGTACATCTTCTCCCGGGCGGTGACACTGGTGAGATCGGTGTTCACGACAGCGAGGCCCCTAGCCCTGGGAGCGGCGCTGACGACAGCCTGCTCAGCAAGGCCTTCACCAACCCAGGCATTCTCCCTCTGCTCGGCACCAACGACTATAACCAAATTGTTTCCGGCGGCATCGTAGCTGTGAAGCAGGTTCGTAACCAAGCGTATGAGGCCGAGGCCCTTGGCGATGACGACGAGTTCATCCTCGGCACGGAGTTCTTGGAAAAGGCGCTGTTGGTATTCCTAGGTGAAATGAAGTTAGACAGGCCATAACTGATTCGGCGTGGACGAGGCGGCGGTCGTACGAGAGGTAGTGAGAGCTTCACCGGTTGAGGAGCATTGCTCGCAGACATGCGGGGCGCGTCGTCGCGAAGGGGAGGAGGATGAGCAGTTCAAGAGGTCGGAGTGAGCCGTAATGGTAGGAGGAGGAGGAGGGAGGGGGTGTCTCGAGGGCTCGGTGCATATTCGCCCAGACCCAGCAGCCGAAGTACCTCGATAGTACCTGAGGAAGACGGGTTTACGTAAGATAAGTACCTACCTACCTAGGTATTAGGTAAATAAGCAGGTACCCAAGCAGATGACGATGTTGGGTACACACTCGCTACCTGCGGATCGGGGCTATCGGAGGCGTATGTGAATGGGAGGTAGGTAGGACCGGAAGGGGCGGGAGTAGGCACGAATACGCGTACTTGCCTCCCTCGCCCATATACGTAATTGTCTTGGTTGGGGTAAGAGCAGAGGAGAAACACGGCTAAGGGCAGGTACCTACGGCTCTTAGGCAGCAGCAGCGGCTACTAGTCCGCAACGGTCTGGGGATGTACCCAAGAACGGATGTACATGCGGTATACCTCTCTTTGCGCATGAACGAAGGCCTGCAGCAGTCGCGTTGTTGCTGCAGATCCGGGGCCGCGAATCATCAGCCGCGCCTGGCACCGAGTCGCGGGCAATTGCGGGTCTCCCGAATTCTAGATCTCAGAGGTACGTCATCGCCCACCCGAGCGACGGAAAGATGATGGCAGGCTGCTGCGTAGGGAGGTGCTGTCTCTACGCAACTAATGCGTACCTATAAAAACACTCCCCAAGAACCCCCAAGGCGGCCATATATACATCTTATTATTATCATCCATACACCACTGGACACCCACCTGTGCCCATCTACCTACCTACTTGAACTACAACCCTAGAGCTGCCTACGTCCTAACTAGAACGAACGCCTACCAAAGATGCCTGAAAAGCACCAGGTAATCCCTCCACGCCCCAGCCACACAGTTGTACGCATTCGTTGCATCTCCGCTGACCGCTCTCAACCACCGTAACCAGCAGACCGGCAAGGCCAATGCCAACACCCAGCCGAACGCTGCGCGAGAGGCCGCATCGTCCCGAGGAGTAGATCAGTTTGCGGCCTTTCAGGCAAGCCCGGGCCCCGTCATCCCTCAGAACATGCCCGAGCAGGAGGGGACCAAGGAGGAGCGCCAGGCGAAGGCTAAGGAGCTGAACAAATAAATACTTGTGTAGTGGATCTATCGGGAACGAGGCTCGGGACTATGGTACGAAGGGCGGTGACATGGCTGGCGTATATGAGATGGGTGGCACGGTTACGGCTAGGGATTTAGACCGGACAAAATACCTAATAGCATCCCGCCTATTATACTGCCTTGATGGCTGTGTGATCTATTAGCGTGCCCGCGGTATATTCGCGAGTGCCTGGCACATGTAGGTATGCTGGGCGTCATTGCCTGGAGAGCCGATGTGCATCACATCGTGTTTTACGAGGATCGACGAAGTTTTAGAATGGACCACTTTCTCGTAAAGGTAGATGGAATTGAGAGGGCACCTCTTCGATGCGCATGTGAGGGAGCGACCTCCAACCCCCCCCCCTCGCCCAACTCATGGAAGCTCCGGCTGTACCTGGGTGCCTAATGTAATGTAGAGTGGCGGTGCAGCACGTGGCTAGGTGTATTCTCGTGGTCCACAAGCCCGAAAATTCCATTCTATTGGTTACATCAAGTAATTACCTAGGTACCTAGGTACTGTATATACACCCTGATGACGGAAGTCGGAGGAACTCTAGGGTGGATGCCTCGTTCCCCTTATAAAGTATCTAGGTACTTTGCGAGGCAGGTACCCGATAGGAGGTTGCAGGCCCACGCATGTACATCCAGTAATGGAGTTCCGAAGGTAGCCTGGGTCCCGATACATGTATATATGTACATGCATAAGGCAGGAGGAAGGTACTTCACCTAATGTATGTACAATACGGTCATCAGTGGCAGGTGGCACCCAGCACTGACACTGCCTCTCAGCTCGCTGACCTTTGCAGTTGGTCACAAAATCACCGTCACTTCTTCCCAAATTTCACTACAATCAAGCTGCCTAATGATTCCTATCACGAAATAGTAGTAACCGAATCGACCCTCGACTAACCCTCTCCCTCTGTCTCTTTTTATTTGAATCTTACCATTATCGTCTTCATCGTTCTGCTGCCGCCTCGGCGTCCTCCGTACGCGCAACAGGCACAGCAACCGAGATTGGCCCTACTGACGAAGGACGAACCCGGGCTGGCCCTCGCCCGAAGTTGGTTGCCTCTCCAGCAGTCCTGGCCATCCAACCAAATCCGACCCTCTGACCCTCCAGCCCGCCCAGCCTGCCAACCTCCGATTAGCCATCCGTCCTGCTACCTAACCTCTATTCGTAGCCGCCAATCGACTGCATATCTAGAACCATCGATCCTTGGGGGGGCAGTCCCGCAAACCAACGCGAACGCTACGGGATACATTCTCTATACGCTGCCGACGGACAGCGTCAAAACCAGCACTACACCTAGTCTTGCTCATAGACGTTAATTCAATGCGCACGCAAGTACATAACTAGGTAGACCAGGCTGTCCGATACGCTCGTTACTGCTCCTTACTCCCCTCGCCCATCACACGACCTCATCCTATTCGCCGCTATGCCGTCCATCCTCAGCGAAGAGGATAAAGAAACCGTCCGCCGGGTAGTGCCGAAGCACACCAACAAGATCCATGCCGTTGCCGTCGCACGACTGTACATAGCGTATCCGAATCGCGCAAAATGGACCTATACCGGCTTGCAAGGCGCCGTTGTGCTCTCCAACGACTTGGTGGGGAACACCTACTGGCTCAAGTTGGTCGACGTATCTGTGAGTTATCCTGCCGTCCCCGCGAGCCCTGCCCCTGCAGCCGCCTTCTAACGATGCCGTAGCCTGCTGGCCGAGGTGTGATCTGGGACCAAGAGATATTTGAGAATTGGGCCTACAACCAGGACCGCACCTTCTTCCATACTTTCGAGCTCGAGGACTGCTTAGCTGGCCTATCCTTTGTCGACGAAAAGGAGGCAAAACAATTCAAGAAGAAGATGGATGAACGGGAGAAGGGTGCGTCCAAGGCCACAAGGAACACGCCGTTCGGCGGACCGCACCAGCAACATGTCAAGACCAGCTTCTTTGGGAACATGCTTTGGGGGCATAGACACTCCTCGGCGCCCACGCCGCCCGACTCTCCACGAACCACGATCGTACCCACCCATTCGCATGGGAGATCCTCCTCGGGACACAGCAATGGCGCCCGCAAGCCAGCATCCAAGTTTGCCAAGCTGGAGGCCTACGATATCAACTGGCGGGCGAACTTTGGAGATTTTCTGTCTGAGCAGGGGCTCACCGATGAGTTCATCAGAGAAAACCAAGATTTTATCGTCGAATTTCTCAGAGAGCAGGGTACCGACATGTCTGGCAACGGAAAGTCTGCGTCGACTCCCGCCCCCCCGCCGCCCCCGCCGCCGCCGTCCTCCAGTACTTCATCTATTAATGGGACTAGCGGTCATGGCCGAGCGCCTCCCCCGCCTCCCCCTCCTGCACCAGGCCGCTCGGAAAGCCTCTCTTCGTCTAGCTCCCGTCGCGGTGCTCCACCGCCCCCGCCTGCGCCGCGAAGATCTGGTAAGATAGAGCTTGTGTACCGAGAGCCAACGCCGCCACAGGAGCCGGCACCACCGCCGCGACCTCGTTTTAACGCCCCGCCTCCACTGCCGGATGCTGGCAAATACGCCCACGCCGAACGCGCACCTCGCGTTGCGCCAGCTGGGCCGCCGCCTCCCCCAAGACCGCCGAAGACGCCTCTCGAAGAGGTTGAGAAGCCTACACCCCATAAATTCAGCGTTCCTCCTGCATTTACTGGCCAGAGGCTGAACAACAACGTGCCTCCACCGACACCGGCTAGGGGCCCCGTACCACCACCTCCACGTGAACTGCATCAGCCAGTGCCAGCGCCAGCGCCACCACCGGCGCCAAGCCTCCCCCCGGGCCTTCCTTCGAGCCCTCCACCGAGCCTCCCTCCGAGCCTCCCTCCGAGCCTCCCTCCGAGCCTCCCTCCGAGCTTGCCGCCAAGCCTACCCCCGAGTCTCCCCCCGAAGGTGCCGAGCTCGAGCGCACCATCACCTGCGCCTCCTCCACCTCCTTCTGCTCCTCGACACCATCCCGCACCCCCCCCACGAAGTATGCCTGCGCCACCGGTTCCGGCACCAAGTCCGCCAGCCCCGCCCCCCTTGCCTCAATCGGCTGCACCACCGCCTCCTCCGCCGCCTCCGCCGATGCCCTCACTCGGAACTGGACCGCCACCTCCACCACCTCCTCCGCCTATGCCCTCGCTCGGAATTGGCGCGCCACCTCCACCTGCTCCTCCTCCCCCTCCTCCCGGTAGCACAGGGATCCCGCCTCCTCCCCCGCCACCCCCCCCGCCAGGCGTCGGAATCCCCCCACCACCCAATCGCGATTCTGGTTATGCTTCCGGGGTGCCAGCTCAAGCCTTGCCTTCAGTGGACGGTGGCCGCTCCGCGATGTTAGATAGCATTCAAAAAGCGGGCGGAATTGGGGCACTCAGGAAGGTAGACAGAACCCAGATCAGAGACAGAAGCGCAGCAGCAATCGCAGGGTCGGATACAGGGCCGCATGGTAGTGGGCTACCTCCAGCAGGAGTTTCTTCGGGAGGCGGAGGCGGTGGGATGGCTGATGCGCTTGCCGCGGCTCTCCAGAAGCGGAAGGAGAGGGTTCGTGATAGTGGTAGGTTTTATTTCCCTAGCACCCATCTATGCAGGCTTTTCTGGTACTAACACACCAACAGATGACGAGAAGAGTGACGACGAATGGTAGAGTCACGGTCGCAAAATCCCACACGTGAAAGATGAGCGAAGGTGGGGTCATGTCTAAGGTGAGACGGGCCGATGGTGACTACGTACACCGAAAGAACGCCAGGAGAGGAGATGTCAAGGCGTGTCTGTTTTGCATGAACGAATACGGTGGCAATCCAGCCGAACGATGAGAGAACGGTTGCTATATTACATAGAGGCTTTGTCTAGCAGCCCAATCTCGGAAAAGAGAAGAAAATCGATATGAGGATTAAACCAAACTAGTCTTTTTCAACTTCGGGCCGGCTCGCTTACAGAGTAAGAGGACGTTGCCTGGCAAGTGGTTAGGTGCGCCGGCCAAGCTTCTTAGAGAGAAGGAAGAGGGGGTGGGTTGGTGGCCGTTTCGGAAGCGGTCCTCACACCGACCGAGTTCGCTGCACCTCGGAATCCACGGTCTGGAACAGATTTGTTAGCGCGTGGGCGGGCAAGGGATAGCCATACCTCCTATTGAGGACGGGGTTTTTGTGACTGCGCGAGCAGGGAGGGGGAGAGAGAGATAGAGAGCCGGTCTTCACGAGGACAACGCATGGAAGCAGAATGTTTTTTTTATTAAAAATGGACAATGCAGATGTATAGAGGATACGGGCCGGCTCGATAAAAAGAGGTAGGTAGGTGAGTATGCGGGTGGGTGGGCGTGCGAGCCGAGTCGTGGCCCATTCACTTCTGCCTCTCCTCGCCCCCCCTGTTTCGACCGCGCCAGGGAGAGAGAGAGAGAGAAGGAAAGTCGTTCTAGTTTGCCGGCGGAGTAGCGGTAGTTAGTCAGCACAGGTGCGCAGTGTTCTCACATTCGAGAGCGAGCTGCCGAGACGGGAGGGGAGAGAACCGGGGGAGAATTTACGTGTATACATATAGAGCGAGAGAGACAGGATCATCGAAAATTCATCTTTACTAGATTTCTTGTGTTTCCTCGTCCCTCCTTTCCCTGCCCCTCAATTTTGGAGGATGCAGGGGAGGAGACGTGTCGATACGTTGCACAGGCTACCAAGGCAGGCCGTGAGGCGAAGTGGGCAATAAGATTGGTATTAGGGGGTCCTCGGCAGCAACCTTGCAGTGGCAGACGGGTACCCTTGGTAGCCTACTTATCTACCAAGAAAGTTGGGGAGGTAGAGGGGGAGAAATAAGACAGGATAGGACGCGATTGATGGCAAGGGGATAGAGGGTAGAGGAGCAATCATGAGGTTACTATAGGTAGGTTGGTTGACGGCAGGTAGGCTAGGTACACAGGTAATCCACATATGTAATCTTGAACGGATTGGCTGACCGGTCGGTTCCCTTCTTCCTTGCTCCGCCTCAGTAGTCATCCTCCCCCCCCTCCTCGAAACGCAAAACACACACCGTATCTACCCGTCCCTCCCTATCTCGTCTCCTTTCCTTTCTCCTCCCTGGTTGGCGATGGCGGCGGCGACGGTGACACGGGATGGGGGGGGGGGGGGGGAATGTGAAAGGAGAAAAGAGAGAAACAAGAGCGAGATCTAATATTAAAAAGTTCATTGCCAAACGGCGAGGGGGAGCGGATGACGTCTCTCCCACCATGGCGCTCCCTCGGCCGTTTTGTTACCGAACGGCATCGCCCCGACTGTCGCGGAACCCGAACTCCGTGACCAGACCAAGCCACGCAGAGAGGAAACGAGGTTGCGTGTATATGTGTCGATATGTACGGACTCTGGTCGCGGTGGTCCGGGGTTGAGAGAGAAGACAGGTGTGTTTCGCCTCTCGGACCTGGGCCGTCTATGTAGGGCGGGTGGCATCTTACTACCCTCTAGGGCTTGAGATGGACGGGCCGGGTAATAGAAAAAAGACGGTAGGTCTGAAAGGTGGGCGATACTCGTGTCCCCGCCGAAAGGGGTATCTCTTTTCCCTGAGTTCTCTAGATGTCGTCGATGTCGACGTCCTTGGCGCCCTGGCCGGCGCCGGCACCGTTGCCCGAGTCTGACTCGGAATCGCGGTCCTCGTCGAACTCGAAGCCGCACTCGCCTTCGTCGCCGGGGCCGTAGGTGTCGGTCTCGTTGATCTTGGCGCTCTCGGGCAGCTCGCCGTAGGCCTTGAGCGAGCGTGCCTCGTCGGCCGAGTACTTGAGGATGACGTCGCCCTTCTCGTCCTGGTAGTCGCGCAGCGAGAGTAGGATGATGTCGCCGTTATTGATCCAGACCTTCTTTCGCAGCTTGCCCCGGATGTGTGCCAGGCGCTTCGCGCCGTCGAAGCACTGGGCTTCGAGGCGCCCGTTGCCCAGCATCTTGACTACCTGGGCGTATTCTGTATAGAGGTTGCGTGTTAACTTTTCATGTTTCACGCATTCTATCCTTCTTCGCTTTATTCGACTTTCATTTGTGCTGAATGGGGAGGAAGGGGATGGCTCGTTCGTACCTTGACCATCCTCCTTGAAGGTCAACTCTCGCTTCTCGTTGTCGTTCTCGTTCTTCCCGCGACGACGGTTCTTACCACCCTACGATCGGAGACGAGGGTCAGTATGCCATATGCCACATGCCACAGATGCGGTCTTGTGCATGCACACGGGGTTTGAGGCCAGTCGGGAAATTAGGAGGATGGGAACGGCAAACGTACCTTTCCCTTATTCTTGGGCATATCGGCGATATGCTAAATCTTGCACTGGGTTGCGGATCGTACAGCGGCGGCTACAGCGGTAAGTTGGCGGCGACGATGGTGGATGACGATGGGGTGTCGGGGTTGAAATTGTTTTTGTGGCAAGCGAAGGAGTGCGGGATTGTGTTGGAAAGGGAATTAATTTTATTTTATTCGGTGATGTAAGCCTGGTTTTCGCCTTCTGATCCGTTGTCAGATGTCATGGGCCCTCAGCAAGGCAAATGCAGGGGTACTTGGACATGTAACCTCCGTGAAAATGGGTACGGGCCCCGCCTCATTCTGGCCAACCTGTGGCGGTTTATCGCGAAAGTACCTAGCTGTGCCTGATCGCCTACCTCTAGCCAAGATGCGCCTAAGGTAGAGGTACCTACTATCGGACTTCCAATCCAAATAGGAGGTATCTGTACCTACACACCACCAATGGCCCTCTCTGTAGGTACCTAAGGTAGGTACCTAAGGTAGTCAGTCCGCTCTGCTTAGTGTGAGTACATCCCGGCTTATCTCTGCGCCACATAGCACCACGTGACAGTACAAATGGTGGTCTCTATACGTGTACGTAATCGATAAGGGGGGAGGAGGCACTAATTCCATCTTGTCAACGATTGGGTACTATCTGGCTGTACGTGGGCCTCAACACCACCTCCCTCTCTCTACCTGGAGGTATACGCACAATTTGTTCCCCAAACTTCCACACATGCGCCCCAAATGTGGTCTGTTAGTCATATATGTTAACATAGATGGCATACGCGGGCAAGTTGAGCTAGACCTTCTTGACCTCGACGTAGAATCTGGCCGTTGCCAAGGTCAGGCCGAGGCTGACCATGACGAACTGCCTCTTCCGTCGGCCTCCGGGACTGATACGCCTTTCGCGCCATGCCCTCGCCCTCCGACAACGATGCATGAGCACCGTGCCTACTATGCAGGCGAGTGCTCCATTCCGGACCCGAAAGAACCCGTATGAGAAACCGCAAATACCCAAAAGCAACCCTAAGAAATATTTTCCGGCGTCGGAAGAGGATGTCCAGCCGGGCGATCATGTCCTCGCCGTCAGCAGGAAGTACAACATCGGCTTCCCGACAGCCCTGCACTGGATCAAGGACTGGAAACCTAAGTCGAACCCGTGCCAGCTGAACGTCATGATTTCCGAACGCCACTGCTTCAGCGTTACCTCGATGAGGTACCTCGACAAGTTCGAGCACCCCTTTGCTAAATCCGTACTCGGATTCTATATCGCTAAAACTGACATACCCCTCTGGCATAATGCTTATTCGCACCCCGTAGCCAAGGCCTGCGTGTGTCAAGTAGCCGCCCGAAAGATCCAGCGCGCATTTCGTGACTCCCTCGCGGCTCACGGGTATGACAAAGACGGCAGGAAAACGACGACGGACGATGCCGGAGTTCGACAGCTATACGGTACGGCACGGATATCGTGCGGGAACCCGAAGGCGGCTTGCAACATCCAGTTCGCGGACCTCCTAGACCAGATAAACCCGCTCGTGGACGCGCTCGAGGTGGCGCTGGGTCGGGACAAGTACGGCGATCTACTGTTCCGAAAAAAGAAGCGGCCGGAGATAAAACGGCGGAAGCCACATAGAGAGGAGAATCGACGGTACGGTGAGGATGGACCTGACCGGGAGCTGGCGAGGCAAAGAGGTTCATTAGGGAGCTTAGGTAATAACGTGACAAGGGGCAGAGGAGGGGTGAGGTACCTGCCTAGCTAGAGTGCATAGGAGGTACCTCCACCTCCTCGTAACCAAAAGGTACCTCGAACACAGATACCATGCCTGTAGGTACCTAACTTAACCTAACACTACGGGTACCTGAGGTTACAGGAGCAAGGAAAAAATACCTTAGGCACTTAGGAGAGCATAAGGATGCAGCGGAGGTCGGATATATGCAAGTAACGACAACTAAGTCGATATCAGGTAATGTCTATACTGGCGACAGGGAATTGTTTCTCAACTCCCAAACTACCAAGCCCACCTGTACCTCTGCTTCTACCAACTCATCCACCCGACACATCAATCCATACCACGACCGCGGGCTTCGTGCGATTCGACCACCACGACCGCGACCACGGTCCAATTACCCACCCTCAATCGCCGGCCGCGACACATTCGAACACATCGCATCGCCCTCTGCCTCTAGCCACCTAGGGCAAACGACGCTTTCCCTACCGACGACCATGTTGGTCTCGCTCACAGTCGGCAAAGTCGACGCCGGCGTGACTGTCCTCTTGACCCCGGACAAACGTCTAGTATGTTCACCATATTTCCCGACTGCCCCTCTCGAAGCAGCGCCTCGCCCGAGCATCTTCCCATCGCAGCACGGCGCAAGCTCGGGACATCCCCCCTCTGCCTCCGAATCGAGCAGCTCCATTGGCACTCTGCCAGCAACCTCCCATCCGATGAGTACGCAGTCTAACGGGAACGTGTAGATCGAGTTCCCCTCTATCCTGCTGCCACCCAACATCGTTTCGGGCTCTATAGTCGATATCACCGTCGCCCGCAACCACGAGTCTGAGGCCAAGGCCGGAGCCCAGTTCTCAGCCCTCCAAGACCATATCTTCTCCTCCTTCGGCGCCTCCCAGCCTAGCACTCCCGTCCTCCGCTGCCGCAATGCCACCCAGACCTCTGTGGTCCTCGACTGGGACCCCATCGACCTCGCCACCGCAGATCTCATCTCTCTCTCTCTCTACCGCAATAACCAGAAGGCCGGCAACATCCCCCGTCCCATGCAGATGCATAGCACCAAGATCAGCGGCCTCGCCGTCGATACCGAGTACTCCTTTCATCTCGTCCTGCGCACTACTGCTGGCACCTTCTCGAGCAAGCAGGTCGTCGTCAGGACTCACAAGATGACCGACCTGAGCGGCGTCACCATCACCACCGGCTTCCTCCCAGCGCACACCCGCGAGGAGCTCACCAAGGCCGTCGAACGGATAGGTGCTAAGATCGTGGACGGTGTACGCATCGATACCACGCACTTCGTCACCACCGAGGGCAGGGGAGTGCCGTGGGAGAAAGCCGTCGAGATGAACATTCCCGTAGTACGACCCGAATGGGTCGACGCTTGTGAGAAGAACGGCAGGATCCTGGGTGTTACTAAATTCTACCTCGACGCGCTACGGCCATCTCCCTCCAGCAGCCAAGAGACGCCAACTGTGGCGTCACCTCCTCCCGCGCCGGCGCAACACCAGAAAGATCTTCCTCGCGCACCCGCTCAGAACGCGAAAAACGAGGAGCCGGAACCGCACAAGGGAGAGAGAAATCCCAAGGAGGAGGAGAGCAGCGGAGATGACGACAACGACAACAACGACGACAACAACAACAACAAGGATGACAAGGCTACTAAAGCCGCCGCTAATGTAAACGGAGAAGAGGAAAAAGCAGATGAGCCCAAAGCGAAGGCTACGGACGAGCAAAAGGCCAGGTTCGAGGATAAGGACGCTCAAAAAGTCCCCCTACAGCCCGCCGACAAACCATCGCCCGAGAACGCCACCACCAAAGATGTGGGCTCAGGCGCAGATGATAGCTCCGACGAGAAAGGGCCGGTGAACTCGCCTGGCGATGGCGCATCTTTCCAAGACGTAGCGCTGTAAATGGGGCACTTCGCGCGGCATCGGCTAATTAAGTAATGCCATACATTCACACGCCTAGATGAACGCATGCACAGGTGCGCACGCGCAGAGAGAGAGAGAGAGGGAGGGATTCTCAAGGTATACCGGTAAACGGTTCGGAAAAAAAAAACAGTTGACCGAGGTAACTTTAGAGGAGGTAGGAGGGGGAAGGTTGGGGAAGGGGAAGTGGAAGGGGGGACAACCTGTCGAGTACGAACTCGAGAGCGTTAATTGCGTTACATCATGTACGATATGGTGCAGCACCAAGAGAGGGTGCTAGTTGTAGAGTGTTTAAAGTCAGTGGCCACGCCTCCATTCGGCGCGTCGTCGTCGTTTTCGTCTGTTCTTTTCTCTTCCGCCTCTGCTCACCGCGGGGAGCCTGCCTCGATCTCCGAACAGCCTCTCCCGCTCGGGTACACGTGTCTTAGTCATAGAGGGCGTCTGGCCCCTCTCATTGTTTAACGCCGTCACCCGCTCTTCGCTCGCCCTCTGGCCACCCGGGCTGGACCCACGACGCGGGATTGGCATAGAAGCGTGTTGTGGGTGATCGTGGACATTGTAAGAGCCGGGAAAGCGAAGCGGGAGCCACAAATAGAGCAGCAAGATACGGCAGTCTCAACATAACGAGCCCCGTCCTCGGCCTACCAAGTCGACGTAATGAGCACCGCATCTAAGTCACCGATCGGGTCGCGACGTGTTATACCACGAACTCCCCCTCTCCCCCCTCTCCCCTATTCCATCTCCATATGCTTCGTTTCCCAAGTAGCCCAACTACGAATTGGTCGAGCAATCAAGCAAGGACTACAATGGCTCTCGGGTCGTTCGTCGTCTAGTCTATAACTACGTATCCGTGGGCACGGCTGCAGTCACAAGTGCGAGAGTCCGGAGCCTCGGATTCTGGTGGCGAGTCGTGAACCATTGCATGCAAGGGGAAGGATATGTAGCTTTGGCTAAGGAGAAGAGACGGTGAGATGTAGAATAGAAGTAACTAGGTAGGCAGGCGAAGCCGTCCATCAACGCTAGGAGGGGTCAGCTATTTTCCTCGGTCCGGACTTGATATCAATATATGGCCAATACACAGGCCAGGGGGGAGGATAGGGTACCGTTTGGAAAATCACCATGTGCTTAGGGCCGGGTTGGAAGACGGGGTGCTCCCTGGAGCCATACGGCCCCGTCTCCCCCTCTTTACCGTAGGCCGGAGCGCACAAACTCTCCCCATAGCCCGAACCTGAGCAACGTTTCCCCCCTTTGCCACTATCCGCCTGCGTGCACGAGACACGAGGTAGAAAGGTAAGGGGAGGCGTGGTGGGAGGGGTGGCAGGCACCGGGCTCGCATCGAGCAGCAGCCGCCCGCTTACATCATGCGGCTCTCATCATCAAGATTCTTCTATCCCTTCAACCCTGGTAGGTGTGTATATGCTCAGAGCCTTCCTGCTACCTCGCTTACCCAAGTGGGAGCTCTCTCTCTCTCTCCCTCTCTCGCATGCACGGTCGATCTCGAAATTTCCGGATAATGAGGTGGCTTTCGCTAGTCGGTGTCCGTCTAACAAGGGACAGACGTGTGTGTCTGAGATGGGGACGAAAAGGGAAACGAGAACCGGTAAAATGGAACCGAAAAAGAAAACATAAGAGAGTGGAGGGGTGCGAAGGCGAGGGGAAAAGTGAAGAGCGAGCCGAACCTGAAGAAGCCCCGTCCCGTCGGGTCGACTATCCTCGGAAGCATCTACCTACCACGAGGTCCTCTGGCGGGATGGGTGTGTCCATCCTCTTCTCCTCCGGTCCACAGACGCGGCACATGGGGCTCACCTGAGACTTCTGGGCTAGAAAGCTCAGATCGCACGCGTTGATAATGCCTCCCTCCGCTTCGGCTCGAATGTCGCGGACGGAACTAGGCCAGGCTAGCCCAGTAACCTGACCTGTCTCTGCCGATCACAACAATGCCGCCCGTCCAGTCTGCCGTCTCCTACCATTCCTGAATGATGAGACGGACGTGATATTGACTTTCTCGGATGCCTGCTAATTTTCTCTAGTCACCCCTCCCTCGTTCTCGGTCGGTCATCCCCTCTCCCCCATCTCCCCCCTGTTCAAAGGGGCACTGGTATTCTCGATTGCGACAGGAAGGGGGGTTGAACAGTTTAACGAGAGAAGCGATAGACAAGCTACAGCATACATATCCTCCTCCTTCTGTTTGAAAAGTTATTCGCTATCTTTAAGCTGATGCATCTCACGTTACCTACCGGGATATCTACTATATGTATGTATGTATGGGTGCATAAACCCGGCCTCGATATCATCGTCAGGTCATGACACGCATACTTTGGGCCGGGATACGAGAGGTGCCGAAGCTAAGTTTTGGCGTGGGCCGTCGCCGTCGCCGTCGTCTATAGCCTAGCACCACCCATGGGATCGCGCCGTCCCCCCCCGCCTCCTCCTTGCGCCGATAAACTTCTTAGTCTTCCTTGGTCAGCGCCGGCCGAAAGTTTTGCAATGGAGGTCATCTTGACGAACTCAGTTAGGCCGGGAATCCTGGTGGAGAAGGAGTTTTTCGTGCATTCAAATCAAAACGTCCCCGGCGACCCCAAAGCCTTGTCTCATCCGCCGTTCTTCGTATCTGTCGTCCACTCCGCGCCCGACCTGAAGAGGAGAAACGCAATGCCCGAGCTGCAGGAGATCACCTCGTCTCTGCCCTCCGGAAAGATGCTCCCCCGTCGTAACACGAGCGGGGACCGTCTCGGGGACCTTGCCGACTTCTTGCGCGGGCCGCCTCCGCCTGGGAACTTCATGTCGATACCCGACGACTTCAGCACGTCCCCCTTGGTTGGCAGCAGGTGGAAGATCTTCAGATTCTTCCACAAGAGGCGGAAGGGAAAAAAACATCCCCCCCCAATCATCAAACTCCCAGACTCGGCCGTCTCAGCGAGGACCAGCAGCGGGCTTCGCCACATAGCTATATCGATCCCGACCGAGCACTCGCATCTGGGCACGGCCGTCCCTCCGCAAGATGCCGCAGCGCCGGAGGCGGCGGAAATGCCTACATCCCACCAAGTTAGCGACCAAGGGCCCCAATTAGTACAGATTACGATGCCCGACCAGGGCAAGAGGGCCTCAAGGCTGGGCCTCGACGACCACGATTCGCTGTCCTCTGCGTCGTTCGCTCAAGGGTCTGGGGCGATTATAGATGAGGTCACCGGGTTGGCCCCTCCTCCTAGAAAAGCATCTGTGCTCTCGATAGTTCCATCAGGAGAAGAGATCCCCAGTAGCAAGGGCAAGGGGCCACGTATACAGAGCGATCCGCAAGGCAGCGCCTGGCGCGAATATGAAGCACCGTTGAGTCCTCTGGGGCTCAGCAGACTAAGGCCGCACGCCGTCATGCGGGAGTCTAGGTTTCCTAGGTACGGACCTGAACCGGAGATGAGGCAGAGTAGGAGTATCTCGGAACCCGCCGCTTCCGGGGTAGCCTCGCGCATGGCTCACAGTGCGGCGCCGGCAGCGACCACGACTCTGACGGGAACGACATCAAGGCAGTCGAAGAGACATTCGCAGCAGAATTCGCACGAGGGCTACGAGTCTTCGTCTCATCACCGCCAGGGCCACCGGCACCAAGCTTGGCCGCTCCGGACGCACAGCCTCGCCTTCTCGAAGGACGACGGCAGGGGCGTGGGGCCCACGGCCGCCGGCGCCAGCGCTATCGTGGCCGTCGTCGGCAAGAAAGATTACAACGATGACGAATTCGTCACGCCGCTGCGGATTGTTTCGACGAACTCGCTGGGCGCAATAGCGCTGCCGGCGCGGACATCGAGCCGGCGGGCGCGGACGACAGAGAGCGAGACAGGGGGGGCCGTCGTCGGCAGCGTCGGCAGCCGCAGCGGCCGCACATTCGCCGTGGCCAGCGGCATAAGATCCGTGCACGGCAGCATCCACGACGGTGGCAACGGCAACAGCAACAATAACAACAATAATAACAACAACAACGGCGGTGGCACCCACAACTGTGCCTCCTTCGCCGAGAGCATCGTCACCACCGAGTCGAGCCCGCGCGTGCTTAAGGCCCAGACCGCGACCGCGTACCAGTCGGTGCCGATCGTGGTGCGGCCTCCGTCGCGGCCCGGGGTCGAGGCGGCGGAGCCGCCGCTGGACCTGGACAACCCCGACGACGGGTGGAGGTATTACGCGCTCCTGCCGCCGCGGCGGCTGTCGGAGGACGTCGGCGAGGGCACCGCGGGCCGCCACGAGCGCAAGCAGCGGGACGTAGATAGGTTCCAGGCGCATCCGTACCCACGCCTGGGGCCCGATTCCGCGGCGGTGAAGCAGCAGCAGAAGAAGTCGGATGTGCGGCGCAGTCAGCCTCTCGACCTGCCCCCCTCTCACCATCACTATCATCACTATCGTCGCAATAAGCAAGACCACACGACGAGTAGGACGCCGACGCACGAGAGTCGACGGAGCCAGGGCGCGGAGCTCGTCCCGTCGCCGTCGCCCTCCCCGTCGTCCCCCTCGATCCCCCCCTCGTCCTCGCTCCCCTCGTCCCTGCTCTCGCTATCCTTCTCCCCCACCACCACCTCCTCCTCTGATTCCTTACCCCGCTCCCGCCGCCACCGCCACAGACACCACCACCGCCGCCGCTCCTCGGTGTCCCCGCCGCCGTCCTATTACCGCCTGCGCGAGCAGCAAGCGGCGCAGGAGGAGCGCGCCGCGCGCCGCGCCCGGCAGACGGCACGCGCCCTGGCCCGCGACAAGGCCGCGCGCGACCGCTGGGAGATGCGCCGGCGGAGGCGCCGCGACGGCGAGGCGCGCGCGCGCGACGTGGAGCGGCGAGTGCGGCGGCTGGAGCGGCGCGGGGCCGCCGTCGAGCGCGGCGTCGCGGCCCTCGCCGCGGCCCTCAACCGCCTGCTGCTGCTGCAGGGCCGCGAGCCCGTCGCGCTGCCGGCGCCGCCGGATGCCGCCTCGCCGTCGTCGTCGTCGTCGTCGCCGCCGCCGACCGCCTTCCGCCGCCGCCGCCGCCGCAGCTCCTCCTCCGCCGCCGAAGACCCGCGCCCCAAGCCCGGCCGCGCGGCGCGCAGGCGCCCCACGCCGCTCGATCCGCTCTCCCGCGTGTGCGCCGGGGCGCGCGAGGACTCCGCCGAGGGCAGCCAGCGCGCCAGCGTCGGCGCCGGCGCCGGCGACGAGGTGCTGGGGCCGAGAGGGGACGGAGAGGCCCGCGAGGCAGAGGCGGAGAAGGCGGTAGTCCGCACGCGGAGCAGGAGGCGGTAGCGGCTGCCGGACGACGCGTTAGTCGGCCGCTGCATCTCCAGTTTCCCCGTCCTCGTCTCCCGGCCCTACCGCAGCCGCTCTCGGACGTAGGTAGCTACGTACGGGTTTGCCCCTTCGGCCACCCCCCGCGCCGCGGGGGAAACAGAGTCTTTTTTTTTTTTCTGAACTGTGTTAAGAGTCGTTGGCTAGGTATCGCTGGCTGGCACGAGCACGTTGGATCGTGCGGTCGCGGGTGTTGCTACCGGTCGTGTTGTCGTAATGGACAGGTAATGTGTATGTATGTATGCATGTATGTATGTAGGTATGTATGTATGTAGGTATGCATCCCGCAGCGTTCTGTGCGGAGCGGGCGCAGAAGAAAGTAATAAATAATAAGAACGCGCCAGACACGTCGGCAGGCTGGTTGGTTGGTCTCGGCGCGTCGCCGCCTCCGTGATCCGTCCCTATTCCCGCCGGCGTAAACCCCCTTCCCCCCCTCTTCCCCTAGTAGGCCCCCCGGCCATCTCCACCCGCTCCCCGCGCCCGCGGTCCCTCCGGGCTTGTGTGCAGACAGCGGCAAGGGAGTCCGACGGCGTGAGAAATACGGGACCCCGCCCGGTCGCGCGGGAGGGTGCCGGGCGGCCGGCCCTGCATCGCGCGCGCGCGCGTCGTGCGGGATTGGCGACGGCCCCCCTGCTCGGCTGGAGACGGCGGGCGGGCGGGCATCGCACGTGAGATGATGCGCAGATGGTACGGTACGGTACAGGTACGGAGCCGCGACTGGGCATCGCGGTTCGGTATGCGAGCCGCGTGGAGCGGAATACGGCGTGTAGGTAGGATGAAGCAGACGCTTACGTTACAGACGCGGTCTGACCTGGGGGGGAATGATAAACGTTAGGTATTAATGACCCCCTGGGTAGGATGCGGGCGGGACGAAGTCAAGGTGAGTGGATTTAGTCGCGAAAGGGGTTAGGTAGGTAGGTGGTAAGGGTAGGGTAGGGGAGGCAGAGGGATGGGGAAAAGGAGAGACGAGATGGGTCGCCTAGAAAATAGCGTACGGCACGTCCTGTTTTTCTAGCACCAGGGGCTGAGAAGATAGTTGCCAAGATCCCGCTTGTCAAAGACATACGGCCTAACTGGGCTAACTAGCTGGGCAGCCCATCTGGCAGCATGGCAAATACGCGCACGTTATGTATGCATCACCGCATGTTCGATGTATCACATCAGATCAACTAGGGCGACCGTGCAGTCTACCTACCTAGACTGACCCGGCTCATCGTGGTTATTTGGCGGCCCGATCACGCCGTCTCTACTATGGGTATCACATCTACTACTACTACAGTGGCAGCATCGATTAGCCAGTATCGTCCACTCTATCAAGTTCTGCCCCTTCCCCTCTAGCTATAGATGCAATGCCCGGGTATCAACCATCTAATGTCGTCCAATAAAGGTTCCGTTTAAGGGGAGGTAAGGAGGGTGAAGACACGTCGCATTCGTTTAGTGGGAGCGCCCACGCGCATTGGATGTTAGTCGGTATTCATATGCACCGGCGTTAGCATCATCATGGACCTCTTTTATGCCGTATAGCTAAGTCAAGGACTTGTTCATTGTTTAAGACCCTCATCGAGGTCTATTAGGCTTACGTCTGATAAAAGGATCAGACGAGGGTGGCGGCCTCTTCTTCGGCGGCATCGGCTTGGGTGGTTGGGAGGTTGATGGGCCCTAATCGCGACTGTCAGCTTGAGGTGGGAATGGCATTGATATAACAAACCTTGGGCGCTTCCCGGCGTTGCGAGGTAGAGGAGGAGGATGCAGATGACGACTCGGACAAATCCTGCGATTGTCGCATGGCTCGGGGCGCGCTCGGCGGCGCGCTTGGCAAGCCTCCGCTAGCAATCTACGCCTTCTAGTCAGTGGTCGCGTCGTTACTTTGCACCGTTAGGCGACTTACCTTCTTCGGGATCTGGCCGTCGTCCATTTCATCCCTCGGCCGCTTTCGCCCCGACTGATGTATCACCGGGCGTTCAGATGAGAGGGCCATGACGGCACTCTCTCCACGCTCGTTGATCCCGCCGTATCTTGGGGCGGAATTATTCGCTAACGATCTCGGCCCTGGTCGCTCGATAATAGTATATGTTTGCGGTAGCGGAAGTGACTTGTTCCTTTTCGGGGGTGCCCGGGTTAAGGGGGTACTGTCTTCGATAACCATGTCGACGTCGCCGTCACCGGCTAGGGCAGGTTGAGAAGTGGCGGGAGAGGACAACCCCGGTGTCGGTTGAGTATCGAAGCTAGGGGGGGGTAGTTGGGATCCGGGTCTTCTTAGTAGAGAGAGGACGTCACCGGCGGTATAGCGATCTCGAGCTCTCGCATCTTCAATAAGTTTGTTCCAGAATTCGCCCTGAACAAGAGCTCTCGAATCGCCGAGGATATAAAGCGAGGATTTCGCTCGAGTCAGGCCGACGTTCATACGACGAATATCCGTCATGAAACCAATGCCGCCCGTGGGACTAGCTCGGACGCACGAGAAGATGATGATCTCGCACTCTCTACCCTGGAAAGCATCTGTGGTGTTAAACTCGATCTGATCCTTGATTTTTTCTCCGTACCGGCGAGAAAACTGGTCGCGGAGCTCGAACAGCTGGGCCTTGTAAGGGGTGATGATCCCAATTTTCCCTTTAAGATCGATGTTCGGATAATCTGTGACAAGCCTCTCGTACAATTGCATGGCGACTTTGAGCTCTTCCAAGTTGATAAGCGACTGACCCTTCCGACCTTTCTCCTGGATACCTTTCACGTCGAAGAAGCGATACGGCCCTAGGGATGAACTCTGATGCCACGGCTGGTGACGTAGCCTTCTCATATCGTCACCATCTACGAGGCGTCGCTCGTAGAATTCCTGGCTAGGGAATAAACTAATTTCTGGGTGCATGCGGTACTGCGTGTCGAGTAGGTGGACGTCATCCGGATGGTTGCGCTGCATACGAACGAAGAGACTCTGATCGTATCCATACCGCGCGGCGGACTGTGACAACACTGTCGGCGGAAGCTGCTTGGGATCGCCGACGAGAATACATTTGGAGCAGCCGTACTTCAACGGGATAAGCGCGCTCAGCTCGACGCACTGAGCTGCCTCGTCGATTATCACGGTTTCGAATTCAACTTGGAGATTCTTAAACATCTCGTGCCCACTCCCGCTGAGCGTCGCGCAAAGGACTTGAGCAGAATCGAGAATCTCTTGCTGGATCTGGCGCCGCCGAATTTCGCTCTCTCTAGCGGCAGTATTCCCGCTATCCTTATCAGCGTCGATCTTCGCGCCGATCTGGGCTTGACGGCGTTTGAGTTCGTCGAATTTCCGCTGCAGTTGATTTGTTTGGTTTCTATCTCCGACAGTTCTTGCCGCCTCTAGCTGAGGTCGTAGGTCGGCCAATTCCAACTTGATTTGGCCGGCTTCTTTGTGCATCAGATCGCGTGAGTTCGGGCCGTTGTTTTGGTTTGCTGCGCCCTCGACACGGGCCTTGACCATCTCGTCCAAAGTGACGTCCTTCACGGCGGCGTTTATCGCCTCGCTACGACCCAGGCGTAACACGTTGACCTTGTGGAAGGACCCGGTTGTGGATTTAACCCCATCTTTGAGTCGAAGAACCAGTTCATCGACAGCGGCGTTACTCGGAGCGCAGACGAGAAGCTTCTTGGTCGTTCCTCTAATACCCGTCGAACTCGAACCGCCCGGCCGCTTGATAAGTGTGCCGGTCGGTGCAGTGAAACTACCGGTAAGTAAAGCCCCAACCATAGCTACTATCGTTTTCGTCTTGCCCGTTCCAGGAGGCCTATAAATTTCATTGAATTAGCCGAGTTCATATCACAACTAGTAAACGCGACGTGTCCTCACCCTTGAACCAATGTGAATGCATCGTTCTCTTTCGCATTCAGGATTGCCTTTGCCTGACCTTGGTTTAGTTGGTAGTTCTTCATGACCTGCTCGACGGCTTCGGGGCTGAATTTGAGCATGGGAGACGGTTTGGCTTCAAGGACCTCCGGCATCAGATCATAATACTGGAGACTCTCCAGCGAAGCATATTCTCGTTCAATTGTTGTCATATTCGTAATCTTGACGGCGTAGAGTTCGGCCTGGGGCATCATCGTGGATAGGATAGGGCCAGCTCGACCGCTCAAGCGGAACTGAACCTCGATGTTTCCATTCTTGAACTGAGTGCGCCAGATACGGGCCAGACAATGCAATTCCTCCGTGGCCTCCAGCGGCTTCGGCGCGTGGGAGAACAGTATGATATCTCCTTCCGCGAGGAACCTGTCCTTGTTCTCAGCTATGGGCATAGCGGTGCTGACTTCGACGAATTTGTCAACATTCATCCGGTTGACGATCTTGATTTCGAATGGTTTCGACGTCGTTTCGTCCTTGGCCGTCACGAAAGACCTCCAAGCCTCGTTAATCAAAAGCGGCAGGAAGGTCTCCTTGTATTCTCGCGGATCACGGTATGAATCAGAGACCTTGGAGCACGTTATCCCGTTCGGTGGGTCGCTGCCCTCATGAAAGATGTCCCATTCGAGAATGGCCTGGTGCAACACATCCATCGGGGGGATGAGCCGCGCTCTCATGTCCTTTGCGGACCGTTGAATTTTTACTTTCTTCACGGGTAGACGGAGGTTTACCTTCGCGGATTGCGCGCCTGCCGGACGTGTCTGCGCTCCGGTGGTTCGTGCCAAGAACTCGGCATCACCGTCCTCGTCCTCCTCGTCCTCTGACGACGAATTGACCATGATATCGCTCTTATGCACAACATGGTCCTTGCCGTGAACGCCGGAAAGCCCCTGAAGACCAGACCCTTCGCCACTGACAAGCGGCTTGGGAGCACGTAGAGCTCTCGCTCTAGCAATAGCCTCGGCATCCCTCTTCCGCTTCTCCTCGGCCTCCCTGGTGCGCTTTTCCTTAATAGATGCTAAATTACTGGCCTGAGATTTCGTGTCTGGTTGCCGGGCTCTCATTTTTTCTAGTGTGGAGCGAGCCTTCTCCGAGGACGAGGTCCGGAGCAGCTCACGCACATCGTCCTTGCTAGACTTGAGGGTCGGCTTTTCCTTCTGAGGCACGCTCGGTGCGCCTGATATCGTCTCAGCGGACTTCGACCAAGCATCAAGCCTAGTTTGCCGCTTCTGGTTGTCGGCGGACTTGGTGATTGCGATAATCTGCACATCTTCATCTTGGCTATCCTCGCCCAGTGCTCGCACCAGCTCGGCACGCTGACGCTCGTTCAGATTCGTTTGAGTATTGTAGCGCCCCGCAGCGTTCTTAATACAAGTATTCTTGATATATGCGAAAGGTTGAGGAGGAATCTCTATGTCGAACTCCACTAAGCGCCTTAAGAGTTTGCCAAGGACACCGACGATTACGCTGACGAGATACAGATCCTTGAGACGGAGCATCTTGCAAAGGCCCATGCAATACTTCCGTGGCTGCTCGAGGATGTCTCTCATGGCTTGCCCCTCGGGGTCTCTACCATCGTCGGGCGTGGTGGAATGCACGGTTTGCGGACTCAGTGCCGAAGCTAAAAGACCGTCTTGAGCCAGGAGTGCATCGGCGAGCTCCATGGCTTCTCGGCAAAATTCCTTCATTGTCTCCATGTCAACCAAATGACTCCAGGCTTCCGTCTGGGTGAACGCGTTGTCGAGGAAGATCCATTGCGATACCCACCAGGAACCGAGCACCTCACGCTCTCTAATGCTCAAAGTTTTCGAGCGCAGTATGCCAGATGCTGGGTCGCAGAGGCCATTGAGAATATCCCTCGAGTATCGTAGAATATTGAACTGGGGCGACCACAGGGACATCTTCCCATTGATGTTCTCGACAACCTTGGTATAAGAACCTAGGGCGGGGGCAAGGTGGATCTGGAGTAACTTCAAGACGGCCTCGGGCCTCCTCTCCTCGTTTGTGACCGTCTTGATGAAGGATGAACCGGCTTGGTTTATATCCTGCTCACCGTTCACGAGAGCCGCGACGATGGGCAGGATTGTAGAGCTGTCGGAGCATAGCTGTTGCAAGGTATCTTCGGTGAAGACGCTTAGCCTCTCGATCATCCGCCCTACGACTTCAGACGTTTTCCGAAACTCGATATTGAATTCCTTCTTCGTCGGCGATAGAGTTTGTCTCTTCAGAGGCAGGAAGGCCTCCACCGTAACTAGCGGGCCGGTAGCAACCAACATCGCCTTGGCCAGGTCGTACGTACCAGGGTGAAGAATTTCCAGGAATGCCTCCCAAAGGCCTGCCGAGTTCCGCCTGATCTCCCGTTGGACGTGGCTATCGCTGTTCTGAAGTGCGTTAAACTCCTCGGCAGTAACACGAGAGTCAAGGGCTAGAGCATTTTTAATCACGGAGAGTCCAGCACGTGACAAGACGATATTTGTCTGGCCATTCGCTGGAAGCTGGGCAAACTGGATGATCAGATCCTTATACTTCAACGTGAGATTCAAGGTCGCGTTCGTATGGATGGTCGACGACCCGGCGTGCAGCTTATAGCTCGGGGAGACGAAGGCTTCCAAGGTAGCCGAGAGCGCCTCCACCGCGGCAAGGGAGCAGGCAAGCTTGCCTCCCGACGTCATGGCAGGAACTTGGGCGTATCTTTGAAGGAAATGGTGGAGGAGAGCATCACAGATATCGCTCTTCTGGTGTATATGGGTCGATTCTACAAACGGTTTCACCCAGGAGATGGCTGCCGGGTCCTCCGACAGATCGCTCTCCGCAGACTCGGCGAGGAGCGATTTGAAGGCCGGGTTCCCCAGGATCTGCTCGGCCACAGCCGTGTGGGAATAATGACTATACGCATCCCAAAACGTTTTGGGGGACTTCTGTATCAGCGCGCAAAACGCCTTCAGCAGCAATTTCAAGACGGAAACCGAGTTGATTCTAGCCATATGTGCGAGCAGCAGCTCGTAAATACTCGGCTGCGTGGTCATGGCTCTTAGGGAGTGCATTACGAGGCTCTCGTCGAGGGCTTCCAGAATGTAGAGGAATCCTTGCCAGAAGCGCAGTATAGACTGGGTGGACGCGTTGGTGTCATTAGCCTTCAGTATGGCGTCTGCGAGACTGTCATTGATTGCCCAGTCGAAGTCCTCGGGGGTGATCGGCGGCCGCTGCGAAAACGCGTAGACAGCGAATCGGTTACGGATCGGGTTCTCGTCGAAGAGGAAGTACGTCATAGTTGGGAGAATCTCGCCCAATTTCAGGGGTTTTCGCTTCTGCATAGCCTCGAAGACGAAGTTGAAGTGGACTCGGTTATCGGGCAGGCTCAAGTAGGGCATGCAGCATATGGCTTCGTAGAGGGCGATGAGCAGCTCCTGTCGGTTCTCCTTGATGAATATATTCTGGCCGGCCACGCCGTCGTGGGCGTTGATGAACTCGGCGGTTTCCGCGAGGCCTTCGGTGATGCGGCTAAAGTCAAATTGATTTAGTCGATTCTCCATCTCGGCGACCACGCTCTCGTCGTAGTCCTGAGAGATGTCCTTCAGAAAAGGTCTACGTCCCTTGTGCCAGTTCCGCACACAAGTTGAGCAGGACGTGAGGAAGGCGCTGGTGCGCTGACCGAATTGCCGGCCCATCCCGCCGTCCGACTCTGCGGCCATGCCCAATATCAACGAGCACGAATACGTCTGATCCAACCTCTCTTTTCCCTGCAGTATTCTCCTCCGCTTCTCGGCGGCACTGATGCCGCCGGGGGCGTCGAGGTCATCATAGTTCTCTTCGTCATCCGACGAAATCTTGGGACAGCACAGGTGGAATTCCGGGGGGATTTCTTGGAGCTTCCTGAAAGCATTCTCGAACATATTATTGGTAGACATGATCGTTCGTATCGGACATGTCGGGGAGCTTGGTTCAATCACGGATACGAGGCAATGGGAGGCCGGTTTCTGGAGGTCGTGAGAGCGGGCTGGCCTAGAACGCTAGACGAGGAAGGCCAGGCCTAAGACGGGGAACGAAAGAAACCCCTCGACTTCTCCCGCTCTGGGTAAAGCGAAGCCCAGAGTCGGCAGCGATGAGGGAGATTCCGATATGGCTTTGTCCCGCGAATTGGGGTGGGAATTACGCAGGGAACTTAGAATTTACGCCCGGTCCAAGAGTCGGCGGAACAAAGGTGCCTCGCGTTGGATCGGAAATGCGTAAGGAGGCGAAGCCATCCGCGTGTGAGCGATGAAGCTAGGAGTTGAAGGGAGGAGGAGGAGCAGAAGGGAAGAGACGGACGCCGAGAGACGTAGGAGCGGGCGTGGGCGAGGGTAGGCACTTCTGGCGCGTAAGGTTTTGGGGGACGTGATTTCCATTACCAGGTACCTGCAGGCAGGTTGCAGGCGAGCACAAGGCCAGGAGACGAGACGAGGCACGCATTATGTAATGCACCGGCTGAGAGATACCGCCTAGGTAGGTACTTATAGCCTGCAGGCACGTACCTAAACTACTAGGTAGGTGGGAGGCACTGTAGTACATCCTTACGATACCTTAGAGCAGGTAGGCCAGGGTACCTGGGTGGGTGTCTAAGGTACCTAGGTATACTTACCTCGTACAAATCTACCTACCTAGAGGTACCTAATCTCATAGGATAGGGCTGAAGGGAATGGCACGACAAAGCCTCATCGTCTTAGGTTAGGTACTTCTGGTTGTAATTCGACCGACTACGGACGGACGTTATCTAAGATAGATACCTGCCTGTATGCCACAATCGGCCACACCTAGCCTACCTAGGTACCTAATATCTCTTCCGCTACAGATAACGCTTAGCCCTATCCCGACGCGCTACGCAGCAAGGCAGCACCCTAATAATACCTATGCAGCCGTAAGCAAGCGGGCACTTGTTCGCCAGACGAAGCATCGACGTCGGCTCAGCTCTCATCTACGACCGCGTCACTACGTCAAGGACTACTTGTCATGCGGTGCGCTTACGCACCGGCTTCCATCCAACCCCTCACCTCACTGCTTATCGCGTCGGCAGTAGATATGCCTACCTACTGGTACCTAGGTAAACCCTTTTCAACACCACCTGCGTCTCCAAGCTACCTACCAGGTATACCTACCTAGCTCTCAAGCACGTAACGGCTTAGTGTGAAGAAATCATCCGCAATTCATATTTACGAGCCTCAGTGATGCTCCTATCAAGCCTATGTAGCAAATAAGTAGGAACATGTATTCTCGGGAGGGGCCCGTCGCACCGTGCGTCTGTCCGGTGCGTCTGTCCGGTGCGTCTGCCCGCCTCCAAGTAGCGTCATACCCACCCACCGGTAACGCATCCTAGCCAGGTCGCCGCCAGCATGATACCTATGGATGCAAAAATCAGCACGGAGATATATGGGCGATGTCAGCAGCAAAACCGTAATTGTCGTCCCCCTAGCCCCTCCTCCTCCTAAGCCTCGCCCTCCTTCTTAATATCGTCGTCTTCCTTAGCCTCGCTGCCCTCCTCGACCTGGTCCCCTGCCTCCATCCCATCTTCTGCAGGACCATTCTTCGCCCCGGTCGTATCCGCACCATCTTCTTGCTCCTCCTTTTTGACATCTGGCTCGGCCTCCGGTTTTTCGCCTTTCGCTTTCTTCGGTGGCTTCGGCTTAGCCTTTGACTGTCGCTTGTCGTAGCGATTCAGGAGACTCTCTAGGGGGCACTCCTCAAGCTTCCTCCACGAGTCTGTCCCCTCTGCCGTGCTCCTCCTACACTTCTCGCAGGTCTGGCCATGTCTGATGAAGAGCTGGTGAAGACCATACTTCAGATGATCCGGGCATCGGACCTCGAGATGGCTGAAGACGTCGTCTTCCGTCGCCTTCTCCGGGGCCCATCCCAGCCATTTCGAAAATTTGTTGACATGCGTATCCACGGCGAAGCAAGGCCTCTGGAGGCAGAACAGGATGACACATGCCGAGGTCTTGACTCCGACACCAGGGTACTTGGTGAATTGTCGCATTGCCTCGTCGGCCGGCAAGCCATGGATATGATCAAGGGAGAGGATATTCTTGTCTGTCTTTAAGATTTCGAGGTCCTTCTGACCCTTGGTCTTATCAGCGGCTGCAAACACGTCAGCCTGCTCTCCTGTCTGTTTCTCTCTGAGGTATGCCTCCCGCCGCTCGATGTTCTCCTGATACACCATGTCGAGGATTCCTTTTATGCTCTTGGCCTTGGCATTCCCGAGGCCACCGCAACGGATTGCACCAACCAAGTCCTCAATGGGGGATGTTCTGACATTGTTCCAGTCTATGCTTCCTTCTCCGATGCCCTCGGTGAGAACGCCAAATTTCTTAGTGAGGCCTTTGATCATTTTATCAGCGTTCTCGAAGGTAGTCGCACCGCTTAGGACTGTTCTAATCAGGGCATCCAACACCGAGGGGACTTCCCCACAACCAGCCACCTCCAACGAGGGAGCAGGTATCACCTCAGGTGCTTGCGCCCGCACATCATCGTGCATCTTGGCAAGCAATTGATAGACTTCCTCACACTGCTCCACACTAGGTGCCTGCCATTCTGGGAACGGCGTCTCACCAGGCGTTAGGCCGTACGGGTTATCCTTCGTCTTTCTACCCTTTCTTGCTTTCTTCAGCTTCGGGCTGGGGGAATCGGCATTAAACTCGCCATGGTCATCTGCGGGATTGGCTGTGCGCTGCCGTTTGCGCTTTGGGGTTTGATCCTTGGCCTGTACATCTGGAATCTGCGTATCTAAAGTAGAATTATGTGGTGGTGATGGTGGCGGCGGCGGCGGCGGCGGCTGTGGTGCTGCTGCTGCTGCCAACCTAGGAAGTGCCGGGCGGTTCCTTGGTCGGAGCTGCCGGGTAGTCGGTTGGATACTGGCTTCCTCTGGAATGATAGAATCGATCTTGTCAATTATGCCGGGTGGCGTTAACGGTGTCGTTCCAGATGATGACTTGACCAATTCTGCCAGAGGCTCCACTGCTCCTGCACTTGGGATAGCACCCATGTTGTGAGGCAGGACATCCCAGCCGCCTCTAACAGGCACAGCTGGCACCTTGCGGCTACGGCGTGGCATGTTACAGTTAAGTCTGTTGATTAGGCAATGTTCTTGGGTCTTCCTTAGAGGATTTGACAGGACACAGTCGAAGTATGTGTCTATGTGACCGGTCTCAGATCATAGGGTTGTCAGGACGAGATGAGGGAAGAGGTTTCCTGGCCAGGGTATGGTAATGTCTGGCCAGGAGTGACTATAGAGGGCGATGAACAGTGCAACGTAAATTGCTTAAGTCATTCCCGCATGTGTTGGTAATGTTGGATAGGATAATGGTATGGTTAGGAAAAGTTGGCTTTGTGGGTGAGTTGTGATACCGTGCCAAGCTTGGTACCAGGCGACAGAAGAATACGCAGACTCCGAATCTAGCTAGAGTCCTGTTGGTGAAGGGTGAACGAAGGACGCTAGCTGTGCTAATAGATGCTAGAAACTGAGTCACTCTCTACTGTGATAATGAAGGTTAGCATGGACGTGCATTCGAGCAGTCACCCAGATTGCAAAGGAGCAAACAGGCGAAAATTCAGGTGGATAAGGAAGCCGAAAAAAAAACACCCACTTGCAATCAACTAGTGGGTAAAAGGGAAGTTGCTGGCTAATATAATATCGGACTGTTTACTTACAGTTAAACTAATAGAAGTGTTTGAATTGTTAACATTAACAGTACCACAACCTAAATAGAGGGGTGACATGCTTTTAACCACGGGAAAGTTGTTGTTTGACTTGAGTGGGAGGCAGATGCCTGCCCTGTTGGTGATTAGGCCGATAGAGTAACGCCTGAGAGGAGATGTGAGGCGCAGGCCATCATTTGGCGACGACGGGCTTCGAAGGTGAGATTGGAATCCCGCGGCCTATTAAGATAGGGGGGGGGGCAGATGACCAAAAGTTGGTGGAGAGGAAGAAGGGGTGGGAGGAGAAAAGAGGAGGGGAGAAGGATGGAGAAATTCGCAGAGATTTTATTAAGCTAAGAAAAGTCGGTCGAAATTTTAAATATTAATTTTCGTTTTCTCTTGTTGTGCTTCCGGTGGGAAGGCGCGGTCTAGCGCCTGAGTGCTCTATATGCGTGACAGGTGCACCGGCACTGCCTCCCGGTATTCTGATATTGAGGAAGTCCACGCTCTGCCGGCTCCCCCTATTTTGTCGTCGGGTTTTGCCCAGCTGGTTCGTAAGTCCAGTCGCATTGCTGCCTACATAATCCGGGAGTGTGCCGATTGCTCATAAAAGGGGTAGCCCGGTAGGGGTGTTATGGAAAAGTGCCTAGGCCCGCCAAAGCCAATGGGATGGTGTATGTACGTGCGTCATCACGGCATAGGTGGTTTATACTCTAGCATCCGGCTCCGGGCACATCTATATGGGTTTTCTATCAAGAGGAGACCTTCATCGTCTCTCACGTTCGGTGGCCATGTTGTGGAGGCTGATGTCATCTCGAACTAGAGGTGACAGTGCCTCGTGCCTAGTATTCTCCGGAGAGTCCCTCCCACCCCCCGATGCCGTAGTGCGTGCCGAACCGTTAACGTTAATCTGTGAACCAGTTACGACCATCGTCGCACCGCTGCTGGCCACCGGCCCTGGCGCGTCGTGTTTCCTCTTTGTGCCGCGCGCCTCGTTTAGATGCTCCAAGTATCCGTTCGGCACTGGCGTGACGTACTTGCCGCAAAACACCCCAACTTCAAATTCGGTAGGGCCGTTCGGTGGTGCGAGCTCTGCGCACGCCGCCTTGAGGTCGTCAAGGTCTTGATATATAACCTCCGCATCGATACCTAGAGGCGCCGGGTGGGTTAGATACTGGTCAGGATGGGATCGGAGCCTCAAGACCGAAACATTGAGTTTCGGGAAGAGACGTCTTAGAGAATGGGAGCGCAGGCGGGGGAGGATTAACTTACTCTTGCCGATGGCCAGGCGGTCTCTACCGGAAGCAATAAGCTCCGAGGGGCTAGCCAAGTCAACTATAGGCATCGCGGTTAGTCACCGCTCAGAGGAACATATATCACACGGCTCAACTGCATGGCCACAGAAAATTCCCGACCAATATGCCGGCGCAAGCGTGGCTCCTGCTGGGAGAGAAAGGATGACTTACTTCCGTAGATGTGTGGTGCTGTGACAGGCGGGGCGCAGCTCGCGAATATGACCTTTCGAGCACCGGCCTCACGCGCCATAGCCACGATCTCTTTGCTAGTCGTTCCTCGCACGATGGAATCGTCGACTAGCAATACGCATCGGCCCTGAAACTCTGTCTGGATGGCACTGAGCTTTCGTCTGACGCCTTTCTGCCGGGCGCCCTGCTGTGGCATTCTATAATACCTCGAGTCAGCAACTCCGAGTTGGCAAACGCGTCGAAGAGAGTAAATGAATCCCTCGAGCGTACGGCTCAAGGGTGTTCCAGCCAGAGCAATGCACGTTTTTAAATCGGCGCAAGAGGAGTGGAACGAACATGAATGTCCTGAAAACATATCGGTTCTTGACGAATGCTTGGCAATACGGCTTGCCCAGCCTCTCGGAGACACTAGCGGCGGATGTGTTGGATGTCTCAGGTATCGGAATAACAGCGTCAATCTCTTTGATGGCCTCGTCTCCGAGAGTCTCACGTATCTTATCGGCTAGCTTATAACCCATGCGCTGCCGAGAAGCGTAGACGCTGATCCCATCCATGACTAGAAAGATGAGGTTAGGGACGACCCAGTTGGATGGTAGCTTTGGTCAGCACTAACCGGTATCTGGCCTCGCAAAGTAAACCTATCACAACGGCGATTAGCAAAATACTCTCCCAAGATAGAGTACCCCAGTTTCGAGACCAAGGGCTACACGAGTCTAATTCAAGATAGGGTGGCTCTGGCGAGAAGATAGAAAAGGCAGATTTGCCGGTCGTTGACGCGAGCTTACATATTCGAATATGTCGGGGGAGTAGGCCTTCCGCTCTTGCACCTGGTGAAAGACGGGTGCTCGACCTTTTTGAACGAAGACTGCCTGGCCGGGCAGAATATCACGAATATTGCTGAATCCCAGCTGTCGTAGGGCGATCGATTCGGATGCAAGCATATAGTCCTTCGCTCCGGGGAGAGTATCGGAGTCCCGCTCTCCAAGTACCAAGGGCCTAATGCCGTATGAATCGCGGAATCCTAGAACGCCGAATCCTGCAATCATTGCGGTACAGGCCCAGCCGCCCTAGTATTGCCGTTAATTTCAACTGCGCCGGCACCCTGTGGGGGGGGGGGGGGGGGACGCACTGAACATCGCTCATACATTCGAGCTAACGCCTCTGTTTGCTATTTGTTAAGAGTGCCCGGTGAACATCAAGGGAAGGTAGTAAGACAGGGTTAAACCTGTTCTAAAACTTACGGAATATATCATCTGTATTAACTCGAACTTTTCCGGTCTCGTTCAGTTCATTCGCGAATACGTTAAGCATGCTAAATTAATGTGTTAGCGATCATCGGAAGCCAACGCCGAAGGGACGAAAGCCTGGGTCTCATAATCGTAGAATCGACTCACAGCTCACTATCACTGTCCGTATTTATATGCCTGTGTGCAACGGTGTCGAGATATCGTCGTAGGTCTGGTGCATTGATGAGGTTCCCGTTGTGTGCGAACTTGAGCATCTTCAGTTAGCGAGCTGCCCCTGAACGAAATCGATTCTCAATATTCATCAACGGAGAGGTAACAAGCTGTATTGTATCCTCAACAGCCCACGGCCCACATGGTGCATGCATATCAAATTGAAGATGTGTCCACCATGCTTGTTTCCCAGATATGAATCAAGCATTCCTGGAAGGTCATGATCCAAACGAGAGCTCTGTCTCTGAATATAATAAAGGAGAAGGCCTTGAACCGTTCGAGGGGACACTTACACATATGCCGTAGGGGCTATTAACGTAGAATCTGATTGCTGTTAATACTCATGCGAGGACCTAATACCTCGGTCGTCTTGAGGGTTGCCTCATCGAAAAAGGAGGACGATAAGACATACTGAAATCACGTTAGTATTTATCGAGTGCAACACGGGACGGTAAATAATTCATAGGTAGTAGGCACAAAGGAGCTCCACGCGATCTTTACTAACCGGCTGTGATTCTGCATTGGATGAGGTACCCGCGGTTGGGTAGCGGAGATCTGCCATCTCAAGTCAGTATACAGGCACGCCACGGACAGGGTTGCTATTTGAAGCCATATCGAGAACGGTCCGGCTCTTCGCGGTGGCTCGGGAGCTCGGGAGACCCGGGATGCAGGTTTCGATAGAGAAAGGAACCTACGTCCGATACCCATCGACCCAGGCAGGTCCTTGACCCTCATGCCTTCGGAAAACACATTGGCAGCCATCCCGGTGCCCTAGCATCGATGTTAAGTCCTCATCCGTGCTCCATCTCGGAAAAAAACGTAGACTTGATCGTGTGGTCTTACCTTGCATTGATAAATGCGCCCCCCAGCGGCACAAGTTGCTATACCACAAGCTAATGGTTGTCAGCTTGTTCAGTCGTGAAGATGCCCACAGAGGCCATCTCGATCTTGTCTATCTAGACAACTAGCAAATTGGGTTGGTAGCCAAGAGGCGCGTCGAGGTGGCCGCTCCGGACGGAGGCTAGGTATGCGACTAACCATCTTGCCCTCTGTGCTGAAGAAAGTACAGCGCCTCATGGAGTGCAACGGCAGCTTTGTATGGGGCGTTGGGGTCGTCGCTAACGTGGCCCAAGATCAGGCCGATTACACCACACATAGTTGCCCGCCAAGCGATTGAGCCTGTGAAACCTGGAAATGTCGTCCAGTAATTAGCAGGAGATAGAGCCACATTCTGTCTGCCAACGCCTCATGAACATAGTATGATAAGAAGCCGGAACGGACGTGGGGACGCGCAAACCTATTAATAAAATAAAAAAAAGTATGTGGCCAATTGCATCACGACTTGAGCATCAATACGGCATGTGACGGCCCCCAACATCAGCGCGCTATCTTCTTGGGAGAGGAAAATTCTCAAGAAAAAATTGTTCAGAGTATTTCTGTGTCTCCGCAGCATTGGCTAGGCAGTCGAACAGCTAGATAGAAAGAAACTCATCATCACAATAAAGAGGCGCTTCCTTGGGGCGAGAGTCTCTCGAGCCAGCATGGTTTGTACGCCCATCCCCTTTCCTGCTTATCCGAGCAGGACCGATCTAGTGTCGGGGCGTACATGAGACACGGCTGTGCTGAGTCTATCTACGAAGAGGCTGTGGGCCATCTTCGCAGGATAAACCGACGACAACGAGGAGAGAAATTCACATCAACATACCTTGTCTGTCGTCGGTCCTATGGTGTAGGAGCTGGAGTGTACAACAACAGAGTGCACAACAGGTCGAAAGGAGTCGAGGCCGTTGCGGGGGGTGGGTAAAGGTGAAGAGACAGGGAGTGCGTCTTGCGCGAGTACGCGAAGGACGAATAGCCAGGGATAAATCACGGGGTGTGCGCAGTTGAGAGAAGAGTGGATGGCTGAGCAGGCAACTTTTAAGTAGTAAGGACCTCGGCAAGACGATTCAGCGCATGAATTGGCTAGACGAAGGAAGAATGCCCATTAAAGTGAGCGTAGAATCGCCCATACTGGAGAGGGACGGGTGTACGACCGACATCGCGATCAGATCTATCAGTGCAATTTTTTTTTCCCCATCTGATGAAAATCCTAGAGCTTTGCAACCTGGCCGAGAAGTTAGAGGGAAAAGAAAAGTGGAGAGGCCACTGCAGCTCCGGCCCACCGATTGGATGCGCCGGCGATTGATTTTCCCCGATAAGACCGCGCCGTCCACTGGGGGGTGCCTGCTTCGATCTGTAGGTAGTATAGTAAGGCACGGGTGGATCCAGCGCCCTGGGACGTCTACTATTATATATAAGGTACCTGGGTAGGTACCTACCTCTTGGGATTACTACTACATTAGATACCTCCTCCAGCACGATGTACAGCTACTACGCAAGGTACTACATTGAGTACCCATGTAGTATAGGTACCTACGGTAGGTATTCAACCATTGGTTAGGACAAGTGCATGCCATGCGCCTTACGTAGCGATGATGTATTGGTGCCTTAAGTACCTCGGTACCCGCCATTCCCCGGGCTTACGAAAAATGTACTACCTACCTACATTCTCTCATATTAATATACACTTCGTAACTTAATCTGTAGATTATATAAGCTTACCTGAGGCCGTGGCAAGGATATACCAAGCTGCGTAGGTACCTATACTTCTTATCGATAAGAACAGGAAGTGAGTCAGGGTACCTGGGTACTAGTAAAGTTAGCTAAGCAGTCGCCGCAGGTGGAGGTGTTCTTTGCAATTTCTCACTAATGCCGTGTAAGCAAGTCAACTCAGACGTCTCCTATTTGCGATGCTGCTGTCGAAGAAGAAAGCGAATAACATAGAAATAGAACCATTATTGATCCCATCCAGTCTCCAGTGACTAGATATAATGCCGGTGCTAATCCTGCGAATTTGGATTTGATCAACATACCTACTCAGCAGCTTTCATGTGGTTCTATCAACAGCCAAAGTACCTATATCTCTACTAACCCCCTGAGGTCATCGTCCAGTGACAGCCTTCCTATCATTTGTCGTAAGACCGGGCACAGCGCTCATATACGACATCTCATACACACACCTACCTATTGCGCCCTCGGGACTGCCCATCCTATAGGAGCCGCGAGCCAGAGCCTGCCGCGAGCCAGAGCCTGCCGCGAGCCAGAGCCTAACGCGAGGAGAGAGACGTCTCGAAGGGGGTTTCCGTGGCCCACGCTTCGCTTGGCTTCCCCGGATTCCCTGGCGCACCAACCACCCAGGACGCACACGCGCATATACGAACAAGGCCGATGAACGCCGTCCGTAGCACCATGGCCAAGACGCTCTCGCACGCCCGGATCACGCCCCATCGCTCCGCCGCGCGCGGGCACTCGGACCACGGCTGGCTCGACACCTACCACAGCTTCTCGTTCGCCGACTGGCACGACCCGCGGTTCATGCGGTTCGGGTCGCTGCGGGTGCTGAACGAGGACCGCGTGCGCGCCGGCACCGGGTTCCCGACGCACCCGCACCGGGACTTCGAGATCTTCAGCTACGTGCTGTCGGGGGAGCTGACGCACCGCGACAGCCTGCTGGGCGCGGGCGCCGAGGCCGAGGCCGGGGCCGCGGCCGCGCCCTCGCCCGCCTTCCACCGCGTGCGCCGCGGCGACGTCCAGTTCACCACCGGCGGCACCGGCATCGCGCACTCGGAGCAGAACGAGCACGCCGCCGACCCCGTCCACTTCCTGCAGATCTGGGCCCTGCCCTGGCGCCGCGGCCTCACCCCGCGCTACCACGTCCGCCGCTTCGACGACGCCGACAAGCGCCGCGGCTTCGTGCCCATCCTGAGCCCGCTCCGGGCCGGCCCGCGCGCCACCCCCGACCAGGAGGCCGCCGCCGAGCCCGCCATCGCCGCCACCATACCCATCCACGCCGACTTCGTCATGGGCGCCGGCCTCATCGCGCCGCGGGCCACGTTCGCGTGGACCGTCGGCGCGGACGCGACGGAGAGCGCGGCGAGGAAGGTGTACGTCCACGTCCCCATAACGCAGAACGGGAGAGCGAGAGTCCGGCTCGATGGCCGCGACGAAGTTCTGAACGAAGGCGACGGCGCCTTTGTCGACGGCGTCAACGCCGGCGATAAACTGTCGGTCGAGAGTGTCGGCGAGGCCGAAGCAGAGGTCATAGTCTTGGATACAGCATAGTTCGTCGTCTTGGAGACTATACATTGTACCGGTTAGTAGGCAACTCTCCGTAGGTACACGAAAAAAAAGGAGATAAGATACAGCGCGATAGATTTAGTGTACACCCGGGCTCCTGCGCTGTCTCTTTGCAATGTGCATGTTACCTAGAGCTAGGGGTTTTTGCTCCTTTTTTTCCTCGCGAATTTCTTGTTATAGAACATGCCGCGATAAGTACAGGAAGCATTCTGCTTCCTCTCTTGATCATGTTGCTGTGGGGGCGGGCTTGGGCGTATCAGGCACCGCTCAGACAACAGAGAGGGTAACGGAGGCACGCCCACAGCTCTAGAACGTTTATGTATGAGGATTTGTTAAAGCCCCGAGAGAAGCGTGGCGTTTATTGTCAATGATGATAGTTATTTGAGAAGAAGACCATCTCTCTCCTCTGTCCCTCTCCCTCGCCCACGTCTATAGCGATGGTGGTAGCTCTATTGTAGATATTTTCTGAGTCTCTCGTTTTCTCCTAGTTTTCGTCGTTCCATGTCACCCTGCATGGTACATGCCGGAGATAAGAACAGGGTGGACTTTAGCGGCGATGTGCCCCATGATGAACCATAATAGTTCCATATTACCCGTACTTGCTGCCTCGTTACAATCCCGGTGCCCCAGCGGCAGCGAATATAGCGGTGAGGCCTGGAAGAAGAATCGGCGGCACTAGCCTCTTGTCGAATGACCTATCTCGTTACCATATTCTCCCCTTTTGAACAAGCTACTGCGTTCCTGATAAGGCAAAAAGATTATTCCACACGTCATTCGCCTCCCCAGGTGGTAGAGCCAAACGATGGAAACTATGCGAGGTTCAGTCGACCCTACTCGAAAGATTCGAGTCTTCGTGCCGCTGTCACCATACTCGTCGCTAGGTCCTTACAGAGGTGGCTCGCTCGCTTACCACTACCAGCGTTCTCAGCCGGGGTCGTTCAGAAAGTCTACTGAGTTTCAAGGGGAATGTGGAATAGAAGGGTGCTGAGACGACTATCGACGGCAGGTCGAAATGAGTCATATCGGATGGCATGCGGAGGTGTCTGCCTTGCGGTTCCCCACCGAGGCCTGAGGTCAAGCCAGATGGCCATATCCTTTTCTTTTCTCGAGCGGGCAGACGCCGTACACTGACATTGTTATCCGCCCTCGGTCCTACGAGGGGTAGGTATCTACGAGCGGAAACGCCCACACGCAGTCATCTCAGACTTGTCCTACCTACACGCGGTGCCTTGCATAGGGGCTGCGGTTGACGGGGTTTTGCACAATTTGTCGCTGTCACATCAGAGGTTGCATTATAGGAATAGTGACACGCCGCACATAGATCATTACTAGAATACTTGCTACTTTTAGGACAGTAGGTATACACAGGAACTTGCACATCTGCTACCTAGTATTATATGATAGTGATCGGATACCCCCATATTGAACGCCTTGTGGTTAGAAGTGTCAGTAAGAATTCTTTTTGTAATATTATTAAGTCAAACGAGTGAGGATAGCATTAATATTGATCGCAAGTAAACACACAGGCACACTCGTATACAATAAGGCACAGAACTATGATCAGTACTCTCTCCTCTCTCTGGCACACAGCCTCTATCCTGCTTTGCCGCATCCGCACTGCGCGTCGTACGGAGACGCTATATGATTGGCGCGTGTATCTCGTACAATGCAACCCCAATGCCACACGAACGCTGACCTAGCGAGGAATACCTTGTTGGTAGTGGGTTTAATAATACTGCGCCGTTTTCCTCACCCTTCCAGGCTCGTCCAACTCCAACCCCTTCCGTAGGGGGTAGGTAGGGCATATATATAATACCTCGTAGCGCGCTATGGTGCTGACGGTAGGTCGTGTGTAACTGTAGGGAATTGGCACTTTTACGCGCTCTTATCCTTCCTGCCATTTGCACGGGCATACGGGTACACATAGTCTGTGGGGCGGTTTGGTTAGGATGACTTAGGAATCACCATCAATGGATTTGTGTTCATGCGACGGTCTGCTTCTTCTTCCACTTCACCCTCCCCCCCCTCTCTTTCCTCTCCTCCTCCCTCCTCCCCCCTTCTCCCTTGCTCCTCTTCCTTGCCCCCTCCTATCCTCTGTCTTCGAGGATATACGAGGTAGTTATCTGAGCGCGCTGTTCTCGTTGCTGCCATTGATGCCTAAGGCTGTTCCTAATACCTATGTCTAGAAATTTTGGCTAACAATTAGCCAAATAGGTATGTGCCTGTTTTCGGGCGCTACTAACCAGGGGGGTCTAGGCATTATTGCGGTCCCTTTGTTATCCTTGTCAGCCCTATAGGGTATAGAGTGATGCTAATGACATAGAGTCACATCTAAGTTAGGCGTCAATTATTTAAAATGACCTACTTGTGTGATGTGCGGATGCGTATCCATACCTATAGGAGGCAGGCATGTATTACCCATATGCATACACATACCTCTACCTTAGGTTAGGAGGCAGTAATCTGATCATGCGGCCGACGCCAGGGGAAATATTACATGGTGAGAACGTTCTTTCGTACCCGTAGTCTCCGGGGGGCGTACAGGGGTAGTAACAAGCGACGTATGCTACTCCGTGGCGGGTGCCTAGCTTATTTGCACACCCCTGCCATGCGTTTGGGGGTCAAAAGAAGAGCTGGCTTGGGGGTGGTAGAGCGAGAAAAAAATATGTGTCAGAGAAAAGGAGGGAGGGAGGAAGGGAGAAATGGAGGGAGCGGAGGCGACTAGTGATGGTAATGAGGCGGCTAAGTTGGGAAAGAATTGGGGTGAACACCTACCACCATCATCATCAGCGCCGTCGACGATCCACAAGATCCAGACCTCCGCCTCGGGCTGTCAGAGCTTCCTGCTTCCCCGGTTTGCTTCGGATGTCGTCAATGGACACCGATGATCGTTTTCTCATCGCAAAAAATTCCCCATTGAACAGACTCGCTCTGTACGAGCCTCAAAAGATCCCGCAGATGTGGTGATCCCTTGTCCTAGGCTACTCTCCATCTTAGCCTAGCGTGGCCCGGAAAGGCCTATGAGTCGCATGATGGGTTATCCACATCGTCGATTCTATGGGAAGGTCGTGTATCTTCGGCCAATCATTATTTCTCCAGAGTGGCGTTGGAGTGCCTTGGGGCTCATCCTAGACTGCGCGCTATACCTGTTCCTATGTCCGCCAACCTTCGCGATCTCGACGGGCTGGCTGTAATGTATTTCTTCGCACATCAGCTGAGTGCTCGATACATGCAAAGTCCTAGGCTAACATGGCTACTAATCGATTTATCGTCTCCAGGGGATATGATTCGGTCTACGGTCCCGTTCAGGATGGCGCGGCGCCTTCCTATGGAGGGTCTGGGAGATTAGGAAAGGGAGTATGATGAAGAGTGATACGCCTCGACACGTAGTGTCGTAGCACCATCGGCTTCTGTCAGCCTGGTTTACCGGTTCCCCTTGTTCCGGCTAGGACTTGACTCCCACTGTGGGGGACTTCGAACTAGCAATAGGGGTGATCGGGTGCGATATGTCTTCTTATAAGCCTTACCGGCGCTTCCTCTCTCCTTCTCTCCTCCTTTCCTTTCCTCCTTTACCCCCCTCTTTAACTGTCAAGCTGACAAGATACGACCGATTAGCCAGTCGTAGCAGACGATTCGTTTGCGTCCTTTCGTTTAGCTTGTGCGACAGTTACATTCATTACGGTTTCGGCCACGTTACGATCTTTTCATATCCTACGGTTTCTCACTAAGCCTGCGTAATGCTGTCTAAGAACTCGGCTTTTATTGCCGCCCTCTCGGCGACGTCGGCCCTCGCTACTTATACGAAAGACTACAAACTAAACGCCTACTGGGTAAGTGTCCCCCTTCCCCCAAGGAGTCACTCGTGCTCACTCTTATAGGGCCAAGCCGGTCCCAGCACCTATCATCTTTCGGAGGTCTGCAAGTCTGATAGCATCGACTACATCACCGTTGCCTTCGTGAACAACTCACCGGAAAATGGGGGCGACACTGGCTATCCCGGTACCAACTTTGCTGCTCACTGCGCGGCTGAGGTGTATGAGAAGGATGGTCAGAAGTCCAAGCTTCTGAGCGAATGTTCCTTCATCAAGGAGGACATTCAGAAGTGTCAGAATCTAGGCAAGAAGGTTCTGTTGTCGATCGGAGGCGAGTACTCCGCTGCCAGCAACTACTCGGTCTCGACTATTACGAAGGGCCTTGAGTTTGCCGACTTCCTCTACAAGGCTTTCGGTCCCTTCAAGAAGGGCTACAACGGACCACGACCCTTCGACAAGAGTGCTACGGACCACACCACCATCGATGGCTTCGATTTCGATATCGAGCATAAGTTCGGTAAGGCTTATTCATTTCTAGCCGACTCGTCCGGCATAACCAGCGTTCGGCTGGATACTCCCTCTGCACTTCTCTACGCATGGCTAATTCGTTCATATAGCCGATCAGCAGCCGTATATCGCGGTAGTGAACCGCCTTCGCGAGCTCATTCACAATGACAAGCAGAACATCATCCTTACTGCTGCTCCTCAGTGCCCGCAATCCGAGGAGTACTTCCAGATGAAGACCATTCTTCAGAAGGCGCAGTTTGACAAGATCTGGATCCAGTTCTACAACAACCCGGCTTGCGACGCTACTACTAGCGCCTTCAACTACGATGACTGGGAGAATTTTATTGCCGGCGGCGTCAATAGCGGCGCCGAGCTCTTCATCGGTCTTCCTGGCAGCGTTCTCGCCAGCACATTCGGTAGTGGCTACATCACCCCCAATCGCGCGCAGGAGATCGTCTGCAAATACAAGACCAGGAGCCACTTCGGAGGTGTTATGCTGTGGGATGCGTACTACGCGTCTGTGAACCTAGACCTGGCGGGAAATGCATACTATGACTCGGTCGCTGCGGCCCTGCGATGCGGCGGCTGCTCTGGTGATATCTGCCCCCCTGAGACGACAACAAGCTCGACGATATCTTCGACGACGACTACGTCTACTAGCTCTTCTACTACGTCCACTAGCTCCACCTCGTCTACCACCAGCTCCTCTACCAGCTCCACCACGTCCACTAGTTCCTCCACTAGCTCATCCACCACCAGCTCCTCCACCGCCAGCTCCTCCACCAGCTCGTCTACCAGCTCCTCCGCTTCTTACGTCGTCTCCTCTACGACCTCCACGTCCAGCTCCACTTCCAGCACAATCACCAGCAGTACCTCGAGCTTCGATTACCCTACTGCATCGAGCACCGCCACGACGTCAAGCTCGACTAGCAGTTCTGAAATTATCAGCAGCTCCGAAACCGCTAGCAGCTCCGCGACTAGCAGTTCCGCGATCACTAGCAGCTCTGTAGCTACTAGCACCTCTGCGGCTACTAGCAGCTCCGCGACTACCAGCAACTCTGCTAGTGCTGGTAGCTCAGAGACTGCCGGCTCGACAACCTCCAGCTCGACGAGCACCGACAGCTCATCGAGTGCTTTCTCCTCCACCGCCACATCGACCTCGGGCTCGTCGCACCCGACGCTCTCGGGCACCGGTTCGGGTTCCGCAAGCGCGACCGTCACCTCCAGCGCCAGCGTCATCAAGTATCCCGTCGCGAACTCGACTCTACCGAGCTTCATCACGAGCAGCACCTCGGTCAAGTACACGGCGAGCACCGTCTACACCACGACGACATACACGGTGACGTCGTGCGCGCCGACCGTGACCGACTGCCCGGGCAAGGGCACCGTCGTGACGGAGACGATCCCGCTGTACACGACAGTGTGCCCGGTGACGGAGACGGCAACGGAGCCGACGGGCGCGCCCTCGACGGTCACGAGCACGCAGTACGTGACCAAAGTCAGCGCGGTCTCATCCTCGTCTGGCGCCGGCAAGCCCACCCACACGCCCGTCAAGTATCCCGTCGGCGACAGCGGCAACGACCACGGCGGCCACGACTTCGAGGCGGCCAAGTCGAAGACGACGACGCCCAAGCCCTACGACACGGCCATCCCCACCCCGCCCGTCTACCTCCCCAGCACCCTCACCGTCTCCGTCTACCCGACGCACAAAGGCGGCTACGCCAACAGCACCACCGCCAAGACGACGCTGACTACGCCCCCCTACGGCGCCGGCACAGGATACCCCCACGTGACCCTGTCGGCGACCAGCACCACCGTCGTGCCCACCGCGCCCATCGTGACCGCTGGCGCGGCGAGGGCCGCCTCCCTCAGTCTCGGCCTGCTGGCCGTTGTGGCTTTCATGCTATAGTAGGGCGTGTAGGTTTGACGAGAGAGGGATAGATGAGAAGGGGTGTACGGACGGGATTAGTATCTGCTATGTTAACGTGCTGACGGGTTTAATGGAGAATGTCTTGTATACCTATACAGCCGGGACTCTGATTCCGATGTGTTCGTAGGTAGGTATATAGGAACGAAGGGAGTTGATATGCTTCAAAACGCGGCTCCCGCCATCATGGCCCGGGAAGCCAATTTTCATACCTACGTGGTTGTAACCTAGATATCAATAATTGTTATCTGGTGGCGAGCAGAGTTGATCGTAAATGGGTTTGTGCGAGGGAGCTACGCGGTCAGAGCCTAACCCCTCTCTTCCGAACATATATCATATCATATGGGTACAGTAAGTACGGGTTGCATTTCGGCAACGCCTCACCAATTTTATCCTCCAACTCAGGAGCAAAAATCAACAAAGTGAATCTCTAAGCAGGGACTTCGCTGAGAGAAGTCTAGTACCAAAAGAATTGCATTGGAAAAAATGCATCAGCCGCGAATCGAACGCGGGGCCCATCGATGGCAACGATGGATTTTACCACTAAACCACTGATGCTGTCTTTGACACGTGTTGTGACAATTTTCTGTGTATCCAAATTTATATACCTAGGTGGAGAAGTCCACCCATCGGCCAAATACCGGACAAGGTATACTATAGTAGGTCTAACTCATGACAGCAATGGCCACCGCCACTAACTTAACTTACCTACCTACCTGCGTTCCCTCCCTCGAGCCATATCGCCGTGCCCTCCAACAATCCAATATATCCAGACACAGACATCGGTTAAGCTACGGTTGGTTATCTGTGGATACCCGGTCGATGATGTACCGGATGGATTTAATTGCTGGGTATATAGGTAGGTACCTGCCTCAGTGTTTAACCGGAGACAGGACCACAATGAGCCCGCAAAGTAAGCCTGCATAGTGGCTTGCCTTGAACAAGACACGCCTTCGCGTTCGACGACTTACAGTAACCAACCTGAGACTGAGAAAATATCGACAACCAAACGTCTAGATGCGTACCGAGCGTGACATAAGTACCTCCCTGCCTTCGGTAACCTGTAGGTGCGACAAGAGTACCCTTCGCTGCAGACACATGCCCAAAGCACCCAAGATACCTACAGACATTCCATTGGGTACCCGACCTCTTTACAGAACAGGAAATAAACTGCGACACGGGCCAATGTGATGGACTTCCACCCATTACCACGCCGAGGAGCGACCAATAGTCTAACCGTCTTCCATCGTTCCAACCCAGCGTAGGCTTATCCCCTATTATACGTGGACACGGCCATCGCGGGCACAGCTACCGTTTTAGACATGCGTAGTAACGCAAAAAGCATATTGCAGTGAGAAGGTAGAAGACAGCTGGCGACCAGAAATGCGTCCCTGCCAGACCGTAATTTCGGTTGTCTTGTCTCTAACACCATGCTCCCCGGCGCTCGAGTGCTCTTAGTTGTCGACGATGCGAGTATTGGGTTGGTAGATTTGTCTCGGCTGGACGCCACCGGTTCGATCAAGGTGCTCTCTACCGTAGATGCAACTAGGTAAATTGTGCCGATGTTAACCAGCTTGTTTAGGAAACGGGGCACCGGTGATCTGTTACCTGTTGGTTGGGTTGTTAGCAATAGCAACAGAAGTCAGAAGAGAAGTACAACTAAAAATTCCGAGGCATAATTCATCGCCATTACATCGTTTACCACCCCAATACTACCTATGTAACATACCAAGACAAACAACCGAGCTCATAACTCACTCGCACTGTGCCGGAGTAGAAATCATTACTGGATAGAAACCATTCTAGTTGGAGAGGTTTTGTAGAGGTAGAGTTTTTCCAAGGTCACATTTACCAGTTGAGGAAACGCATATAAGTCAAATGTAGCTCAGGTTGTAGGTACCGTCTGCCCTTCTTACATGCACAATTCCTATAGACCTCAACATGCTGGGCCCTCCCTCTTCCCATCATCTAGAGCATTCCGAAGGAAGGCGCACGCGTCGAGATCCCCCGAGATAATCAGGCGAAAAATTTTCTCTTCCTCAAGGTCTTCCAGGAGAATGTCAGTATTATTACAATAGTAGTAGCATCACCTATCTCGCCTCTCCTCTCCCGCATGCGCCTACTACTACACATCCATCCCGGTGACATTTTGGGTCTAGCACGACAGTTATACTGAATCAGCCCGTTACTAACGATGCCTCCACCCTTATATAGTAGCGACCGGCGGCCCTATCCGGCGCGCGTTGATGAAGACGACGTCAGGGGTCTGGCACAATACCGCTGTCAGGGAGGCGTTGTGAGAAAAGGCACCCTCGTTGAGATTGCCCGCAGGCCGCGGGGAAACGGCCAGTTCCTGGGTTTCGCCGATTTCCTTCATGTCGCCCTTGTGTATCGTCATGAAGATGGCCGCATTATGCTTTGCGGAGTCCCCTTTGCCCGTACCCGGCATACCGAGGGTCTTCTCCCGTTCAAGAGAAACGAAGTTTATGCCATCCTAGAAAGCACCGAGGACGACGACAGAGCCATCGAGGTACAGGCCGCGATCAAAGTGCCCGCCGACGATATTATCAAGATCCGCGCCTTCCAGATAACCAACGCCACGTATCCCGAGCATCGTTGCAGAGAGGAGCAGGACGCCGAGAACCGAGGCGTCCTCACCCAACGATGGAAAATAATCACCTCGTATAAAAACGAGGAAGACAGGCGCCACGGAAAGATAAGCAGCCGCCAGATCGTCCGTGTCCGGGAGGACGAAGCACAGGAAAGCCTACGCATACCGAGTGAGGCTCTTATAAATCGGTGGCGCGGAGGCCGCGCACGAGGCGGCTCGTATATTGGGGGGCAGCTCCGTCAAACGGCGATCATATTAGATGACGAAAACCGGCTGGAAGAGACAGAAGAGGAAGGCCGGGGGGGGTTAACGTATTCCTTCGCCGATAGTAAGTGATTTTATGCCGTCTCTGATCGGCTCCCTTTCCTATTCGTATTCGTCTCGCTCCCCGTAGAGATACCCGCTAACCTTACCCCTTAGTGTTCTGCGGCGCGGGTGGTGCTTCCGTCGGGGCCCGGGCAGCCGGTTTTCAGCCAGTCCTTGCCTGCGATCTATGGGCGAGCGCCTGCGCCACTTACCGGCTAAATTTCGCCAATGTAGACGTACGAGAGATGGAGGTATTTGACTTTATCGTCGATAGAGGCCCGGCGTCCTTACCGCCCATCGACATCTTACACGTGTCGCCGCCGTGTCAAGTGTGGAGCCCGGCGCATACGCGAGTCGGACGAGACGACGACGCAAACCTCGCCGCGCTCTTCGCGACGGCGCAGATCCTGCGCGCGTTGCGGCCGCGCTTCGCTACAGCCGAGCAGACCTTCGGCATCCACCACGCTCGCTTCCGGGCGTATTTCCACGCATTTATAGCCGCCTTCACTGCTCTCGACTATTCGGTCGCTTACCGCGTGGTTAACCTCGCCGAATGGGGGGTCTGCCAGCCCCGTCGCCGCCTCATCGTCATCGCTGCCGAGGTCGGTGAGCGCCTGCCCCCGTTCCCCCAGCCGACGCATGCGCGAGATGGTGGCCCTCGCGGACGAGGGGGAAGAGGCTTGCCCGGATTCCTCACAATCCGGCAGGCGTTGCGCCCGCTCGAAATCCGGGAGCGACGGGGAGCGCAGATAACACTGCACGACGTGCTAGCCGCGTCGGACCGCGCCGCCCGCGTGCCGACACGCTTCCCGCGCCCGCCGTACGACGCGGACCGCCCGCTCCAGCGCACAATGACGACGGACGGTGGCGGCAATTACCATCCAACCGGGACACGAGACTTCACCTTACGAGAATACGCTTGCATTCAGGGATTCCCAGTCGGGTACCAGTTCGCAGAGCCCGGGATTCGAAAACAGATCGGTAACGCGTTCCCGCCAACCGCTGTCGAGGTTCTATATCGGCACCTGCACCAGTGGCTACGCGAAGTTGACGGGGTGGTTGGGAGCGAAAGAGAGCAGCTGGGTAGGAGGCCCGCCGCCGCCGACGGTGACTTGGTCATGCTAGACTACGATCCAAGGTTGGTGGTCGCGGTAGACGACGACGACGATGACGACGACAGCGATGATGACGTTGTGATAATAGATCGCGTCTCGAGGTCGCGGTCGAGTTCGACGAGTTCGGCAACTCTCTCAATTGGGAGCGGAGTTGGCGCCGAATAACGAGATTAAGGCAATAGCCTAAGTAACCAGGGCGGTCGCTCTATGCAGACGGGTCATGTGATATTGCGTGCATTACACGGACTTGGCGACATACAACCACCTTATCCGCGTCGATGTCATACCCCGGTCTGTTACCGCCCTGAATCACTATTCGTTGATGCGTTCGACTGATTTCCGTCCTGTGACAGGAACTCCTCATCCTCTCACATCCCCAACATACGAGTAGGGACCTACATCGACGTGATACGCGGTCTGTCTCTCTTAATAAAGAGATACCTACCAAGTTAGCCTATTGCGTCCCCATACCCGCCCGCTGGTTTCACGACGTGCTCAACCACATAATCGACACGTGGTAGGTAAATACCCCTTGGCGTCTAGGCGCGGTCCTAGGCACGGTCTCCATTCTCTAGTCTAGGCTGCTGCCTTAGTTGAGACCAACTCCGAGGCGTATTTCCCTTCGCCGAATGTGCGTATAAATCCCCAGGAACAGAGAGCATCAAAATATGGCGCGCGCGCGCGCACATTTGACCCGACTTTCTTCCTACCTCTATACTCGAAGTAGGAGCCTAACCTTCGCGCCGTTCCCCACACAAGGATCAAGGATCTTTTCGCGCATCTCTTGTTGATGAGACATCATTGAACTCTTCGAACTAGGCGCCGAGGCTAACAAACACCGAGAAGCTGCACACAGGCTCGATATGGAAGCATCATGGCTGACGCTGTCACAACTAACGCTGTCGCCCGATACAGAGTCTCAGCTCAACACGAAGCACGGTCTGGCTCCTACTTCTTACGAGGGCGAGAAGCAGGCCATGAAAGCGCTCAGTAGAGGTCTGGCTAGTCTAAGCGTTGACGCTCCGGCCTCTTTCCCGCAGTTTTCCCGACTTCCGCCAGAATTGCGCCGGAACGTCTGGCGCCAAAGTTGGGGGCACCGGAACGCCGAAGTCGCGCGGACATCTCTTGGCGTCCGCGCCAGCGATTCCGATTTCGTTTTCCATGACGCGCTTTATGGTGGTGCTTCTCATTTTCGCGCCAGCTATGCCCGTGTCGTTCAGCGAGAGTGGGGCGTCAGAGAACCGGATCAGCAGCCAGAACGCCAGTCGCCCTACCAGCCGATCACGTTAACGCGCTGTAAGACCAGTCCGGTCTCTCTCTGGGTGAACCGGGAATCTCGGGACGAAACTTTGAGGTACTTCGAGTTTGCCTTTGCACTGCCCGGCAACGATTCGTCCATGTACTTCAATTTCGGCCTAGACGTTCTCAAGTTTTCCCTTCACAGCCCGCTCTCGGCGGCATTCTCAGTGCCCGACCTACGTCGATTACAGAGACTGTGCATTCCGGAGCTGGTGCCTGCCGCCCCGGGCTTTCCTCAGACCATTCAGGGCTGGGGCGCCGGGGTGGAGGTGTCGCTGCCCGAAGTCGACGACGAGAGCGTGGTGGACTATTCCGAGTTCAGATACGTCTGGAGACTCCTGCGCGAGTGGTTCCCGTCCCTTCGCGAAATACGTCTAGAGCCATTCTACACTTGCAAGCACTACGGCACGTCTAGAGAGCATGACCCCCTTGTCCCAAACTCGCGGTTCGTCGATGACATCGTGTCATTAAATGAGCACTGCCCCTCGTGCGTAGGCGTCCAAAACGCAATCAAGGCCCGCTTCCGGTCGATCGGTCGAACGATAGCCGACGACGGCCACGCGGACCTGGAACGCGTCCTCGACTATTATGCCATCCTGCGACCGGTGTCCAAGGAAGAGACGCTGGTTATCGGCCGGGCCCCCCCGCGCAGTAAGGGTTGCGGAGAGGGAGAACTCGTCACCGTCACGTACCAGGCCATCTACGATGGGGACGCCTATTTGAAAACCGGCTTCGACCCGGCAGCACGGCGGCTGGATTGGCCTATGGTGAGGCGGCAATGCGTCGCCAGGACTCTCGAGCACGCATTAGGCCCGCCCCGGCCGAGCGAGTTGATAGTATGTGAGATATAAGGCCACGCGCTAGCAAGACCCCTCGGGGTTCCCGAGAGCAGCCCTCGATACCCCGATCTCGTCGGAGGGCAGACAATGCACACACATCGTCGCCACGAAGGACCCCGCAACCCAGCTAGCGAGGGGCCTGGAGAATTCAGGCAGTCAAGACCGATAGAAGGATATACTAAAGTGTTTATATATATATGTGTGTGTGCGTGTGTGTGTGTGAAGTCGATCCGAGTGTGATCTGAGACGGTGAGGGTGGTGATTATTTGAGCCCGAGTGTTCCATCGCCCATCAACCATGAGTAACACCGCCTCAAATATGAACAGTTACTTCCCGTTTGGAAGCCCAAGCGGAGAAGCTGCCCGTATATTTCTATAGATAAACTCACAAAGGCAGATTCAATAATACGTGTTACGGACCTCTAAATCTAGAACAGGGGCGGCAGGCAGATCTTGTATAGTTGATACCTCTTTGCAGAGGTGTGTCTTGGGTACCTAAGGTAAATGCCTGGCACCTAAGCAAGGCCTCATTGCCGCCTCCCTGCCACAGAGACGCCGAATAGGCACGCGTCTCGGAACGCGTGTGTAGTGCTGCTGTGGGCGTGCCTTTCGAGCACAAGTATCTGTCTCATGAAGTTGATCTATACACCTAAGAACCTCAGGCACCCCATACCTATGCCCGTAGGCCTCTTCAGTGAGACACATACTGCTAAGTCACATCCTATCAGAGGCTTATAGGCGGGTTAGTACCTAGGACAACTAAGGAGAGTGCCTAACAGGTACCTAAGAGTGATCCCATGGCCTCGCTTATCGCCTTTGGTCAGGTACCCCCACCTGCCTCCAGGCAGCCGAACGAAGGCCGCAAGCAAGCACCTACCTTAGACATCTCCAAGCAGGCAGGGACAGTTTCTCCCTACGGATTAGATAGGAGGTACCTGCTTAGGTACCTCAAAGGCGTGCTTAGGTATTACGTGCCTCAAGACGGGCACCTAAGGTACCTATACCTAAGGCACCTAACGTACCTATGTACTGAGAACTGGCAAGAGGTACGTACCCCCGTGAATAGGGGTTCGGTTTCTCGTGGCAACCTCAGTCGAGGTTCCTATAATCAGAACCTCAAGGGAAAGTGCCACCGAGCCTCCTATGAACTTCGAGCACCTTCCCTCCATCGCCAGAGCAACCCCTTCTTATGTTCGCAGCTGCTCGCGTCTTCTCCTCGTTTCTCTGTTTATCCCCATCTCTCTCTCTCTCTCTCTCTCTCTCTCTCTCTCTCTCTCTCTCTCTCTCTCTCTCTCTCTCTCTCTCTCTCTCTCGATCTACCCTAGTTATATCTAGGCTCCCTGGCCCCTTCTCTCTCCCTCTCTCTCTCTCCATCTTCATCCTCTTCGTCAATCAGTCTTGGTAAGTCGAAACTCCTGTGTTTTCTCGTCCTGCCATCCTAACCTCCCTGCGGGGGCGGTCTTTTCATTACCATCGCGATGAATATCTAGATTGATGTGCCCTCTGTTGCCATCCCCTCCTCGCCCTTATTCTGAGTCATCGTCTGTTTCAATCCCCTACAAGAACGCGAAGAACTTGCGCAGGCTTCATTTCTCATCGGTGATCTCGTCGGAGGTGTCATGTGAGGTATCAACATCTTCCCAACCTAATTAAGGCGTGGCGACTCTCTTGAGCACACTTCGCAATCTCACAGCACTCCCAAGGCAAGGCGATCCTATCTCCCACAGTGCTCTATCTGATGCAAAGATATCGGTGATTTCACAAATCTTTCCCCTTTTTATGAGTTGAGACCACATCCTCCGGGACGCTAGCTTTTCGTTCCTCAAGCTTCTCGTGACTTCAAACTTGCATCCCGCTCCAGCTGAACACGTTTAAGCGTGCGGACTCTGCTTACACACTTAACGTGTATTAAACAGCTTCACTCTCTCGTCCTATCATTCAGGGCTTCTGGAAACACGTCTGTCCGTACTGATTTATCCAGCACGATGGCCGAATCCCCGCAGGGCGAGTTGCCAGGAGCTCAAGCTCCGGCTGCCCAAGAGTTCGTTCCGGCCCGTACCGAATTGAAAACCGACGTCCTTGACGCTTCGTTCGTAACCCGCACCTTCCCCGACATGTCTTTCAATTCGAGCGTTGTCGGTCTCTGCGCGGTTCCTTACGAGAGGGCTGGAATGGCTGATCTTGGCTGGCACATCACCGACTTTTTGGCCTTCAAGACTCTCCTCGTCGCCGAGACTTCGGTAAAATCCCAGACTTGGCTATCGCAGTGTGACATTAGCAATGTCGTCAAGGCCAGTCCCGAGAAATATGTTCATGGACAGGATGGTCGCGTGGTCAAGGGTGCCGCCACGACCGTTTTTTACGCCGATGAACGAGGAAGACTCCAGCCCCGTGCTGACCATATCAAGGTCGAGCCGTCTGCCGAGAAGCTAATGGTTGATTTCTTCTCGACTATTCTGAAAGAGGCTCAACATGCCAGAGAGAAGGGTCACCCTCTGGTCATCATTGTCTGTGGCCTCACGTCAGTTGAACAGGATGTCTACTTTGGCAAAACCGAATCAAAGTATCGCTTCACCAGTACCCAGATCCGCCATACTATTGGCAATGATGTCGATGTTATCATGATAACACCCTCCCAATTCTCAGAAGGTTGGCAGGTTAACCCTGCTTTCTGCCGTTCGCCAGTCGACAACGTACGCGCAAGCCGCACTGAATTTCTCGCAAAGCAATTCGGTGGTGTTTTCGCAAAGGATATTGTCGAACGGTTTCTCGGTTGGTCTTGCCCGTTCTTGGATCAAGATCGGGTTGACGAGAAGGTCAAAGAGGATCGGTTTCTGGGTCCAATCAAACCCTCGGAGGAGCAGAAGCAGGCCGCCGACGCCTTGAAGGTTAAGTTACATAGCGCCCTGGCTGGTCGATTATCCCTCGGACACGGTGACCACGGTTTCAATTTCGATTCCGAGAGAGACGATTGGACGAAGCTGATCGGCCCCCGTGCCCACCGACCACTCGAGCATTACCAGCGCAAGTGGGAGAAACTCGGAATGAGTCCTGTGACCACGACGAGCGAGAAGGTCAGCCTCTTCGGGAATGCCTTTGGCGGAAACCGGGAATCGCAAGTTAATCACATTAAACATCTCGTCCAGGAGTCGTTTCAGGCTTGGCCTCGCTACTGGGCCTTGCCATTTGGCCGGAAGGCAAAGGAGGTGTTCGATCTATTCCTCCTGAATAAGCGTCCCGATGATCGCGACTGTCGTGAGATTTTCAACATCATGGAGCACCGCGCTTCCACAGCTGTTCTAGCGGACACGGTGGTGAAGTATCTTGCTCTTCCAGTGCCGTACAACGAGCGATGTAAGGACTGGAACGAATCGAGATGGACGGATGAGTCGTCGGACGAAAACCAGCGAGCTATCAACCGGCCGTACGCAGAAATCAGCAAGCACATTCCCCTAATTAACGTGCCGCCGGATGTAAACCCAAACCAGCTCAGCAAAATCCAGAGCCGCTTAGAGGTTCCGGCAACCTACATAGCTGTGTCTCTACGTCTTCGTTACCTCACTCATGCCGAAGGTCTCGAGGCTGCGGAAAAGCATATCGTTGATCGTAAGTCGGGCGATAGCTGATCGCTGTTCGCCATCGCTAACACACGGGTAGTTTTCAGGGAGATCAAGATCCAACAGATAAAGCTGCTGGTGGAAGACCCCGGAGTCTGTGCGACATGCGCAGTCTGGCTTAAATTAATTGGCATGCCTATTCGAAGTCTCGACGCTGCAACGGCCTCGGTAGACCTCGATGAAATTCCGGTACGAGCCACGGCCGACCTGCCCATCCGGCGTGGTATGGAACCCACAGCGTCAACCTCAGGTGTAGGGATCTCAGCTTCGACTCACCGACGAGGAGATGCCGTCTCAGTGCTGATTCAGGAGGCCGCATTGCGGCTTGATCCCGATAAGGAGATCAAACTAGCTCGTCAGGAGAGGCAGGAACTCGTAAATGCTCTGTTGCGTTCGACACCTGGCCAGAACAGCCACATCGCGGACAAGTTGAAGGGAGTCTTAGCATACTTAGACTTCATGGAGGGCGTGGCCAAAAAGAAAACCGAAGAGGAAGGAAATGCACAGAATGGCGTCGGAATACCCGGACAGCAAACCAACGTACCGGAACCTTGTATCGGCCAGCAATCCCAGGCCGTTAGCGAGCGTGCGGACCAGCAGCCGGCGATACCTACGGAGCTCACACAGTCGGGGCAATCGGCTCGAGAACCTACGGGACAGAAGGCCTTTGTCCCGAGGGGCCAGCCTGGTAATGATGAGCTAGGCGGCGGATGGTAGAAATCGACACGATAACGCACCGCCGGTCCTAACTCTTAAGGCAACCGCCCTACCTTTAAGCAGGCATACAGGGTTCATCTTGAAAATGTGGAAAGTGTCGTTGTGAAGATGGTTAATTTCACGGCGACGAGCCACGCCTTTTGCCTACAGGATTTCTTTTTTTTTTTTCGAGGCATTTCGATGACACAGCCCGATGTATCGAGATTCGGCCCTAGGCTAGGACAGACGGACAAGACGATTTGATGTTCTATCTAGCGCGGCCCGAGGGTTTGCGGGATGACGAGGCGATAACTAGTTTGGTAATTGAACCGGTGCACACACGCGCGCGTGGGCACATGTACATACTAGGCTTATCAGCCGACTGGCGGTGATACCTTGTGTTGGGTTAGATGGGCGTGGTTAGGAGTTATGACTGTTGCTTGCCGGCTGCGAGACATAGATAGGGATAGACAGATCGATAGGTGGTGATCTACCTATCTAAATCCAGACTGGCGAATTCTCCCCTAATCTTGGATGTTCGTCCCCGCACTTCGCAAGGAGAACCCGTCTAGTCCTATACCTAATACTTCCTCATCACAACATGGTCCAATTGTAAGGTCCAGTGGAGCCGGTCCACTCCTCCTCAAGTCACGGAGCTGTTACAGGGTGGTGTGTCGGCTAAGGCCGCGGTCGTTCACGTACCTTCCTTCGCATTGCTATTACTACCGGTATTTCTTTCGCTGCCGAAATCACTTACGGTTTCCTCATCTCCTGCTACCGTCCCGCCCGTAGTCGTACCAGGGCCGGCGGCACCGACGTCGGGGGCCGGGGGCCGGGGCCCCCCGCTGGAAGACGAACAGGGCCTCGTCTCTGCCGGGGAAGCTGGGCAGCGCAATCTGGGCGACGCGGGCCCAGGCGTCGGCGCCGCTCTCGCGCTCGCGCTCGCGCGCCTCGACGTACTCGTCCGTGCTCGCGCCGGGGAACCCCGTGTACCCGTTGCAGTTCTGCGGGCTGACGACGGCGAGCGTGTCGTCGGCGTAGGCGTCCATCATGGCGCGCGTGAAGTCGCCCTCGCGGACGCCAGCGGGGTTGTCGTCGTCGACGACAGGGTGGATGAGGAGGAGGAGGGCCTCGTCGGGGTCGACGGCGGGGTCTTCTGCTGCTGCCGCTGGTGCGCCGGCGCGGGTAGCGTCTCTAGGCCGGCGGCGGCGGGCAGCGCGCTCGCGCAGGAAGGCGGCGCCGTCGGCGACGACGGTGTCGGAAACCCAGCGCACGCGCTCCAGGCCAGGAAGGCCAGGTACAGGTTCGGCGGGACGGCGGCGGGTCTAGCCGGGGCGCTTTTGCTTTTGGCGCTGGCGCCACCGTTGGCCGCGGCGGCGGCGGGGCCCGCTGCAGCAGGTGCCTTCGTCTCGTCCTCCTGGCCGCTCTCTGTCTTCTTCTTTTTCTTCTTCTTCTTGTCCCTGTGCTTCTGCCTCGGGACGGCGAGCTGCGCGGCGAGCGCCGGGTGCAGGTAGTGCTTCGCGAGCAGGTAGGCGGCGGCGGCGGCGCGGAGGCTGGCCTCGCGCGCGTTGGCGCGGAGCGAGCGCAGGGCCGCCCGGGGTCGAGGTGTACGGGTCGAAGACCGACGGGCACGCGTCGACGTCGGGGCGCGGGGGGCGGCGGGAACGGGGTTAGGGCGTGCGCGCCGCCGGATGAGGGCGACAAAATGCTGGACCTCGGCCAGCGTCACGCTGGCGACCGCGTGGTAGGTAGACGTAGGGGTCGCGCGCGAGCAGCGCCGCCGCGCGCTCCTACAGCTCCGCGTCCGCTACACGCCCGGGCCCCAGCCTGGGGAGCCCTCGCAGTACGTGAAGGCCCGGCTCGCGGCCATGGCTACTCGCTCGCTGGCGGGATCCCGGCCGGGGTCTGGGTGCTCGTGTGCAAAGCATAGATAGTGAGGTAGAGGCGAGGCCGCTGCCCTATTTAAGCGGATATCTGTAGGTGCCTGTCATAGGAAGTACTTACCTGGGTACCTCCATAGGCAGATAACGTCCAGTCAGATCGCCGATGATAAGCTTACATGTTATCGATAAAGTCTCTCATCTGATAAATAATTATGTACCTTTGTACTTATCTCCTCGCGCGCGGGCTAAAGAGGCACGACGCGTTAATACCCCTGAGCTTCGACAGCACCACCAAAGCCAGGAGGAAAATCAACCTCGCATTCCTAACCATTTTATCTTTTCCCGCAAAGTATGAAAATATCCGAAAGAAAAGGAGAAGAAAGTAGCAAGACCCTACATACGCAGGTCGGACATCCACGTATAGCCTGGCTATGGAGTGGACTTTATTGGGTACCGTCACGATGGTCGTGTTTGTGGCATACCCAGCTTCCAGTCCCTGTTGGGCGCTCACCTCGGGGGAGAGAATTCGGACGCAAACAAACCGCCCTTAGTTGCCGCTTCTAAATTACGGGCTTCCCCTACTCGCAAGACTCAGTCGCCTGCTAACTCCCAGCAAGTCGGGCGATGTGAGGTATTCTACTAGAGGTGCCTCGGCTGATGGTCTTTCTACCTCCTTGCCAAGAATGCCTTATTTCACCCCATCTACTCTCCTTAGGGCCGTAAAGGGTTCTAGGCTATGTAACCTCAACGCTGCCCTTGTCATACTGTATGCATTCCGCATACGGAAGAGCCGTTTGCGAATGTCCGGCCCGCAGCCTTTGCCCCTTCACCCGATTCGGCGCTGCCGGCTCTTTGCTGGCTGTACCGACGCTATGTAGCGTCGTCTCCCAACCTCCGCTGAAGCGGCTTACGTAGGGTGCTAATAATAGGGCGGCCACTCGGTTCGGCGACCTACGCCGATCTGCTGAAGAATAAAGAATGGGCCTGGTCTGCTTAGAACGACGGGTGTTCGGGGGCGTTGTTACAGGATGAGCACCGGAGAAAACGCCTGCGGTCTCCCACCCCATTAGTGAGCCCCGGTAGCAACCCACCGGCCAAGCCCTCTGCTAACTTTTCACTCTCAAGTCGTATCTCTCCCCTTGCTTGCCATCGGGCTCTTGCATCGGCAGCGCTATGGGGTTGAGCAGCCCGTAGCAAACTACAAGCAGCAGGGCCTGGCACCTATCTAGTTCCGCTGCGTAGTCACCAACAGCTTACCTCCACCGTATAGTATGCGCTGGAGCCCGGTACATATACCCCCGCGAACGGCCTCCTTATCGAGACGAATGCGTACTAACACCGTAGGGACTCGGCCCGCGCAATAGGGAGTTCTATCCGTGTTTGTGCCTACCGCATGACTGTCTCCCGCTTTGTTTAAATCCCACCTCGAACCGTTGGGCATGACCCCTGAGAAGACTCCTACGTGGATCCCCCGCGGAGCTGTAGCTCATGCTGTGTATACGCGTGTATACATAGGTATAGTCAGCTTTTTGGGCGAGGTGGGGGGCGGACGAGCTTGGTCTCTCCGAAGCTCCTGTCCTGAATCCATAGGCCCCAACGTACATATAATTGTGTGTTGGGATACACCTTCATGGCGGAGAGCAAAGATTGCTCACGAAGCAACGTCATAGTAACTTCGGGTGCTGTGGTGTGGTGATGCTATAGAAATACAAAGTAGGTATGTGCCTAAAACAAGGTAGGTAGGTTGGTTGACTTTCTTTACTGGTCCGTATAGCATCTGTGTGTGTGTGTGTGTGTCTTAGCGCCTGTGTATGTTCCTCACTTACTCTTTCACTCTCACACACCGCACACCCTCCCCTATTTGCGAGATCAGTCTACTCGAGGGGGCTATCCGCATCAAAAAATTACCAAACAGCCAAGAGAGAGAGAGAGAGAGAGAGAGAGAGAGAGAGAGAGAGAGAGAGAGAGAAGGAGGGAGGGAGGAGCAGTGTTGGATACCGTCCCCGGACAGCATTCATTCATCGCCCGGATCTCTTTGTTTATTGCAAATTGGGCGTGTACACCCGCAGATTCGGCCATACAGGCAAGCTGCCGTGTATCGGTGTTGCAGCCCCCATTACGCGGGCATTTCAGTCATCAAGACTTCCTCACCAGCGCTGAAGTCCATGCGGGCATCCGAACTCGATGCTACCGACCGCGTTGATAGCCACATCCCCTCCCCCGAAATGTTTCCCTTTGTTACTCTTCTCGTGGGACAAAGACCGTGGCGTAGACAGGACGGGGCCCAGCCGATTTCAATCGAAAACCACGCGGGTTCCCCATCATCATCCTACGCGGTCAGTCGAGCTGGGCTCGACAGACCAGCTCGGCGATGAGATGCACTTGCGCATGGCTGCTTCGATGTCTTAGACCATTTTTCATCACCTGACCCCCATAACATATAACGACAAAGCCCTTATTCACTATCTAACCCTTCACTAGTATCTCCGCGCTGACCATGGCGGACTTCGACAGTGGCTCCATCCTCCTGGTCTCTCCCAAGTCGCAACACCAGGTCTACGCGCGCGGCTCTCCGAACATAGCGCATAGCATATCGCACTATTCGGCCCTCCCGTTCTCGCCGGCTAAACCTCAAGAGGGCGGAGCCTCGCGATTCCCAGCGGCTCTCCCGCAGTTCCAAATCGACAGCGTCGCGAGCGCCACGAACATCACCATCAACGGTAACAGCGCCCACAACGCGTTCCTTCAGGACTACCACCCCTTTGGGCTACCCCGCCCGTCTACCAGCGGTCCCGCCAGGATTAATGGCCCTCCAGTGAGATTCAACTGGAGTTTGCAATTGATCTCGTCAGGAGCTTGCGACGCCGGGAAGTCTCCAGCACATGGCTATGGGAATGGGAGCTCTAACGCAGATGTCTACTCCATACGCTCGCCACCAACTATTCCTATGACGGAGGAAGACGCCATTGTCGCGCATGGGTATGCGCACGGAGGCGCGCTCGGCTCCCAAGAGCCCGGTGAAGACGCCGAGGCCACTGAGCAAGCAGAGGCCAGGTCGATCGTGGTAGATAGCGAATCGGTCACAGATGCCGGTTACGAGTCTGATATGGCGACAGCAGCGTCCACGTCGCTGTCGTCGAGCATTTTGGATTTCTCCTTCGAAAATGGCCGAAGATACCACAAGTTCAGGGAAGGCCGATATAACTTTCCCAACGACGATATAGAGCAGGAGAGGGAGGACATGAAACACGCCGTCGTCAAACTGCTATGCCAACGGCTGCACTTTGCGCCTATCGGAAATCACCCGAACGAGATTCTCGACATCGGAACCGGCACTGGGATCTGGGCGATCGAGAGTAAGATACGACACTTCTCCTGCTCCCCTCGCCAATGCTCGTTCTCCCCCCCGGTGACGGCCTGACTTGTTAATATTTATATGCGTAGTGGGTGATGCCTATCCTAGCGCCAACGTCCTCGGTATCGACCTGAGCCCTATCCAACCGCAATGGGTGCCACCCAACGTCCGATTCATGGTCGATGATGCGGAAAGCCCATGGCTTCACCCCCTAAACCACTTCAACTACATACACACTAGACACACGGTCATGGCCATTAAAGATTGGGGCGGGCTTTTAAGGACGTCATACGAGTAAGCCCTTTTTTCCCTCCCCCCCAAAGAAGAAAAAAAACCACTCTCTCCGAGTAGTGTTCATCTAGTGAATGGGGTAAAGGAAGAAGAAAAGCGTTGAGAACTAAACGACGCCTCGTTGCAGACATCTAAAACCGGGCGGCTGGATGGAGCTGCAGGAAATCGATCACTTTCCTCTGAGCACCAACGGCAGCCTATCCGCAGACCATCCTGTCGCGCGATACTGGCGATACGTGGACGAGGGACTGGAGAATCTTGGCGTCAACTTCAGATTCTCTCACGAAGGCCGGATTGCGCGGTCTATGCGACAGTGCGGATACGTAAACGTGACGGAGCGCGTGTTCCACATGCCCATCGGCACCTGGCCGAGGAACAAGACGCTCAAGAGCGTCGGGCTGTACTGGAAGATGATCCTGCTCAACGGCGTGCAGGCCATAGCGCTCGGGCCGATGACTCGAGGCTTGCATTGGACGAGGGAACAGGTGGAAACGTTCCTCGTCTCGGTGCGCAAAGGATACGAAGACAACTCGCTGCTCCTGTACATGCCGCTTATCTGCGTCTACGGCCAGAAACCCCCCAAGCCCGGATCCGGCAGCTAGGACATAACTCCCTTTTCTTCCTTCCCCTTTTCCCGAGTGGCGGCGAGAACATAAAACGCATGTAACATATTCGGCTCTGTATGCGTAAAAGCGGAATGGGCGCTGGGCGGTATCTCTATCATAGGCAGTCTTTCACGATCGTTGGCTGGGAGGGCCGTCTACAGTATTACCGAGCCACGCATTTACTTCTCACTAATCTGCTGTACTTAGACACGTCGGCTCTGGCCATCCTTGGCTCCCAGGAGTCAATATCATTGGAGAATTAACACTATTAATACCCGAATTAGGAAGTGCCCTCCTTTACGGTGTTCCGTACTGAACCGTCGACAGCGATGGCTGACTCCGCACCTGTGACACAGAAGCCACCGGTGCCGTCAAGCATCTGGACGGAATAGCCGATACGACGGTGACACGGGGATCGAGGTTCTTCTAGTTTCTAGCTGACACTTCGTGTTGGGGTCGGTTAGGATGATGATGGCCAACTCGCGACGGCAAGCAAATCAGCGAGGGGAGAGGGCTGAGATACGCCATGGCGTTCACCCCCGGGGAAGATAATATCTTGCCAAAAGGACAGGACGTCCCTTCGCATGCAGGGTGGAAAATTGCCTACATACGGTTGATTATATTTACCTGTCAGGGGTAACACCCGACGGCATCGGAAACGCGTCAATCCAGCTTCGCCAGCTTCATGCTGTAATGCCACACACTCGCACTCGCACGCTCACACGCTCGAGTACGTGTGCGCCGTACACATATCCACGCGCACATGAGACCGCAGAGAGACCCCTGATTAGGGCCGTCTCGCGGGGGACGACGGCCGTCATATCGTATAACTCATCATCTAATTACGCCGTGCGTGTCGCGTCGCTCTGGGGTCGCAGGGGTCCCTCGAGAATCCCAGAGGCCGTCCATCCGTAGGCATGCCCTGTGCTTCTACGTAGGTAGCCAGCCCGAAAGACAGCCAGTACGGCACTCGAACCGATCCTAGACAAACGGCCGACCGATCTATCACCATTCACACACATGTAGGCGTATACATATGTAGCACGTATACGCATATATAGCCATGTAGGTACCCTTTGCGGAGCCGAGTTTGCATGTCCCAATTCAGACGACCTCGATGCCGTCGCCACCACCACCGTGCCCGGGCGCGCCGTGCGCTGTGCGCTTGTGCGCTCCCAAACGAGCGCCGTGCAGCATTGGCCCGCCGTCACGCAAGCAGGCAGCCGCACACCCCATGCGCGTAGTCGCCTCTGCAGGAGGCGGGAATGCGGCGGAGCCGTGCCAGGGAGTCGCAAATCGTCAGCGGAAAGCGAACGGAGACGCCTAGCAAACATCTGCCCCCCCCGTCCCGTCCGGCGCCTCCGCGAAGCTTCGCCCCCCCAAAGCAGACCGCCCCAAGGTGCCTGCGTTCGACATCGTAAGCCGCGAGAAGGAGCGCGAGGGCGAGGGCGATGGGTCGCGGCTAGGCTTGGACCGCCCGCCGACGGCCCTGTCCGTCCGTCCAGCCGTGCCTAACCTCAGGATGCAGGCAGAGCGGTTTTGTCAAGCTGCTGTGCGATCTAGCCAAGCAGGTATCATCTGGTGCGGGGGGGTGGCTGGCTGGCAGCGATTGGGTGCCCGCCAAGTAGGGTCCCGGTGGCGTCCTGGGCAGATCTATTCGCTCTGCTAGCCCGGACGACACAGTGCCATCCTTCACCGCTTTCTTTGCAACGGTCCGCGTCCGAAGGGGGCGCCTGTCGGTGGCTTGGAAGGGGGGGAGAGGGGGAGGGGGGGAAGGGGGGTGCGTGGTCTCGCGACGGCCGGATTCCCCAACCAGCCAGCGCACGCTCCGGCGTCACGCCACCTGCGGGATGCTTCCTCGCGCGGGGGGAGGTATTCGCGAAGCCCTTATCCGAGAAAGAAGAAGAAGAAGAAGAAGAAGAAGAAGGGAAAAGATAACGAGGCATATCGTAAGTATTGACAGCTCCGTGTCGGCTGGCTTCGACAAACGGGCTCGCCGCCCGCGCCCTGGGGACCGGGGACGGCGGAGGGGCCCCAAGGGCCTGGTCGATGGAGGTTATCGAGCACGTCACCGGTCTGGAGGCCCTCAGACAATTGACAGACACTGATCCTTTCCTTTGCTGACTCGACCTAGCAGTAAATAAGCAGGCAGCGTAGCGACTATAGACCTGATGATACCAGCGACCACGATACGCCCACGGCGATGGGTGGTGGCCAACCAGACCCGACTCGGGCGTTCCACGGCCGTCCGGGAGCGCAAGACCTCGGCGAGTCCTAGGGAACGACAGATCGCGCCGGCAACGCAGTCGCGATTAGCCTTCGCTGCCGAATTCGGGTCAGTGCGCCTAGAGCAGCCCTTACCAAGGTATACTACGTCGACTCCAGGCCTGCTGATGTGACCTCTTCTCATACCCTCTAATACGACGGCGCCGTGCAGGCGGTAGTAAAGGGAGTACTCTTATAGCTTAGCAAGGGCAACTAGAGATGCCTTGAACCTCCCCCCCTTTCAAGACGTTGATAGCCCCTATACCACCCCCTACAGGCCCGTGTCAGACTAGGGTGTTGATTGTCATTCTTACTACTTGTTGCTTGGAGCAAGAGGTACACGGTGAGAGTTGGGATGAAATCGCTATTGCTGTATTATACTATGTCACCGCCATGGTACCTAGCCCTGTAAATGAGATTCGCCGTTGCGACTATGACTCTCAGGCCCAACCTGCGAATTCATCGTTAGCTAGCTTCTAATATAGGACAAGCAATAGCCATCTGTTGTCAACTTGACTTGATTCGGGGTTGTTACGCCTGAAGCGTCGTATCAGCTCCTGCTAGAAACTTCCTGTGTCGCCCAGGTACACACACACTTCCCTTGGAGGCTAATATGAGACCCTACCGAACCGAGACACCACCCAGCTCCCTGGGTCTGGGGGTCGAAATGCCATGAGACAGACGCTTATTATAACAACCACACAGCTGCATCGACGCCCAGAGGTGGCCAGTCAAGCTCTCCTTTGGTCCGCCTAGTACCAGTCCCACGGGAAACAAGGCGATACCACGGCCTTGGGAAATCATCCGCCTGGATGGCAGAGGGTTCACAGATCGGCCAGGCCGAGTCGGCAGGCTAGTATCAGTCTACATCTATATGTAGACCGTTGTTGTCTACGGCTACTTCCATCATACTACACCCTAGGCGAAATTACAGATTCTTGCTACCCAAAAAGCGCGAGTCGTGAGACGATTCATTCAATCTGATAATACAAGGAGGGGAGAGGAAGCCGTGGTGATTGATAGTTCGACAAGGAGGCTCTCGCTCTGCAAACCCCGTGCCACTCCATGCAAGCGAGTTCCTGCCTAAAACATGCGGCGGCAGAAGCACTAGAAGAAATAAATCCTGAGATCGGGTTACTACAACCGATAGGCTAGTCTCATCTGGTTTGGCGATGATTCGTAGGTGCCACCAGATGGCCACTTCGCCCTCGAGTTAACTCATCCTCCCCTAGCCCTGTAGAGGAGAGAGTATGCTGAACTTAGAGGTCGTCTCTACGGCCAGAATAGACCAAACAGCCACGAAACACCTTGTGGGTGCATCTCTAAGAGCTTCGCCATCCGAGCGTCCCTTTCCAGCTCTCACCTCGAAATGTTTGTCCCGTGTGAGTATAGGAGAAACTCCTCCTATCCCGTCCTACAAGGCCCCTTCCTCATTTCGCCCTGGTAATAACTCCAGTCCGACCCCCGATCTGCCCTGCTCATCCCCGGCGGCAGGTTAGATCGGCGGGGGCACCGCGCAAGACACAACACAGGCACGCACATATACGCACAGGGACTGCAGCATACGGCGGTGCAGACATCCGGCTGAGGCAAGGATAGCCGCAGCTATATCACCCACGGCAGACCTGCAGGGGAGGAGGCCGGGCGCAGCGCATAGCAAGCCAGCCGGCCAGCTAGAGCGGCCATGTAACGAAACGCACACCCAAGACCGTCTCGTCCTTCGAGCCTCGCCGTGCTATCGGAACCGTGTTCGCTCGTGCCTTGGATAAGTCGTCAGGTACCAGACCCCTTCGACCCACGACGCGCTGGGTCATACCACTGTAGGCCAGAGTGCTCGCCTTCCAGCTGGGAGCTGCGCGTCTCTTGCAACCCCATTCCGTGGGACGAGCTTTCCCCAGTCCCTCACCAATACACAGACGACATCTATACACACACCCGCGCACATATACACAATACACACAGGCTCTCTCCCTCTCCCTCTCTCTCGCGAGCCCGACCGGCTGTTCGTACCGAAAGAAGTAAAGGAAAAAAAGAGCTACCGTTCTGTTCGCATATCTGCCGTGTGACACGCCACAAGCAGGCGCCTCCAGGACCCAAGTCCAAGTCCTCGGTAGCTGTCAACCGGTTCCCTGGTTCGGAGGGTCTCTGGGGCAACTTTCCTTTGCATTGCTATTATTATCCCGAGACGGGTATCGAAAGCACATAGCGGTGCGGTGTATACAGTTCGGCGGGATACTACGCCGGAATATTTTGGGCATAGACGGTACGGTCGCCCTCCTCAACCACACTGCTATCGTGTGAGTTAGGTCGAGAAATCTGCTAACTCTCTGGTCGAGAAGAGGAGGAGGAAGAGGGGGGAAGGGCAAAAGAGCCCCTTCTGTCGCCCGGCAGCCAGTGTGGTAGCCCATCGTGATGTGTGAGGCCCCATCCGTGTCCCAGGTCATATGCTTAAAGGGGGGGCAAGGCATGCTTTCTAAAATCGAGCCGAGAGGAGAACAAGAGACAAAAGCAGCCAAACTGAAACAGGGCAGTTGTTAGCCTCTTTTGCTGACAGGCATGTATTTGCCCAGGCTTATGTTCCCCTCATGTCTCTCCGACCCAGCACAGCCTGAAGAGCTATTGGCGCATCGCAGAAGTAATACAGATCGATGATCAGTGTCTGTGGGTTCCCCTTCCCCGGTCAAATCGTTGGAGGTTCACGTACACGACATCCCCGCCACCGTTGCCTGTGTCGTAGCTGGATCTTTAGCAATCTAAGGTTTTATACCCCCCCTATAACGAGGCACCGGGATCCCGAAAGCCCATCGGTTTCCTTTTTTTGAGTACACCGATCCTGGCAGTCCGGTTTTTTTTGTTTTTTTTTTCGTTGTTTAGATTTCCTTGTCTGTCGTAGTTTTTCTCTCTTAGGAAGCTTGCCCGTTCTCTCTCTGTGCAGATCCTTCATACTGGGCTTCTCCTTGGCGGCTTGCTTTTTCTCACCCCATCCCCGATTAGAGCTTGATCGGCCAAAGGAGGCTCCTAACCCTCACACGCTATCCCATCGGGGTCTCGCCCTCTTACACCAGTGAGGGAACAAAGATGGCCAGGCTCCGATTGGCGACCTGGCCCCACCCGACTTCACCATCCCCTTCTTCTCCTGACTCCAGACCGCTGGACTGCATCAAACAAAGTCCCAGGTCTCCCCCTGAGTTAGTACCCAGTTCATTCGAGGAGAAGAAATACCACCATTGCCCCAAGATTCAGCTCCAACCAGATACCACCAATACCATGGTCAGAATCGCCCCCGGCCCGAGGGGTAAGAATACCGCGTCACCGTCGACTATGATTGCCCTTGCCCAGAAAATCAGTGCCGAAACAGAGAAGGTCGACGCCTACTTCAGGGATAAGGGTCTCCCGGCTCCGAGCTTCGACGTCGATGCGCCCAGTGACTTTCCGAAAATGCCAGACGACATCTCTAGAAGTCGTAGGGAGGTCATTCACGCCACCCAGGAGCTTCACGACCTCATGATTGGCCCTAGGGAATCCGTACGATGGATGGCTTGGGATGTAAGAGACTAGTCTCTGTTCCTCTACACTTAAGCTGCCCGCCCTCCACTTTTCTTAAAGCTCGATGTTGATCCTAACGAGCGTATACTGACGACTCGACCCATGAAGTTCATGAGCACGCAATGTCTACAGCTCATAAACCATTACGGAATCGGTATGTTTTCCCGCACCACGTGTTTGGCCATCACTTTCAGTCACATTATCGGCCACACGGACACCTCGGGAAACTGACGTAGGCGGGGGGGCCTTTCTTCTCCTCGCACGCTAGCCCAGCTCGTGCCACTCGACGGCAGCATCACGCTGGCGCAGCTGGAGGCCAAGACGACGCTCGACCCGATCAACCTGGCGCGGGTGGTGCGGTACGGGGCGACAAACCGACTGTTCCAGGAGCCGCGGCCAGGTGTGATCGCGCACACGGCAGCGTCGCGGCTACTCGTCGAGGACCCGTCGCTGCGGGCGTGGGTCGGGTTCAACACGGAGGACCTGTACCCAGCGTCAGCGCACGTGCTCGACGCGCTGCGACGCTTCCCCGAGGCGACGAGCCTGCAGCGCACCGGCTTCAACGTCGCCTTCAACACGATCGACCAAGAGCCCATGTTTGTCACGTTCGGGCGTGACGCCGAGCGGGCCCGCCGCATGGGGAACGCCATGCGCAGCCTCACGGGTGGCGAGGGTTACGAGCTTGCACACCTGACTACAGTCACGACAACAACGACCACGGGGGCGGGGCAAGGGGCCGCGGCGACGACGGCGACAGGCCCTTTGCTCGACCTCGCGGCAGAGGACGCCCGCGGCGGTACGTTGGTCGACGTCGGCGGAAGCCACGGATTTGCGTGCGCGCACCTGGCGGAACGGTACAGGGGGATCCAGTTTGTGGTGCAGGACCTGGCACGGACGGTGGAGAGTGCGCCGCGGCCGGCGCACGCGGACGCGCAGGTAGCGCGGCGGATCCAGTTCGAGGCGCACGACTTCTTCACGGAGCAGCCGGTGCGGGGCGCCGACGTGTACTTCCTGCGGTGGATCATGCACAACTACTCGACGCCGTATGCGGTGCGCATCCTGCGCAACCTCGTACCGGCGCTGAAGCCCGGCGCCCGCGTCGTCATCAACGACCACTGCCTCCGCGAGCCCGGCGAAGAGGACCCCTGGGACGAGCGCCACATCCGCGGTATGGACCTCGTCATGATGACCCTGCTCAACGCCCAGGAGCGCGGGGAGCACGACTTCAGGCGCCTCTTCGAGATGGCCGGGGACCACTTCGTCTTCAAGGTGAGGAGTTTTATCGGCCCTTATCCTTGCCCCTTTCTCTTGAACAGCTGACGGCAAGCCACACAATGGCACGTAGTCAGGGGTACTGGAGAAACGTCGGTGCAAAAGCTAACTCCCCGCCAAACTGTAGGGGGTCACCAGGGCAAAGGATTGTCGCATGAGTATTATCGAAGCAGTGTGGGAGCCGAATGAAGCTATCGACGAGGTCTCTCACCCAAGACATGAGCGATCGAGTCTGCCACTCTAACAGTTGGCGGCACATCTTGACACGTCGAGGAGAGCGTAGGCGATATACGTCATAAGGCGCATCGATAGCTCGAAGCCGCTTGAAGGGAGGAATGTCGGCGTAGTTGTTGATGCATAGCCGGAGGCAGATGTCTGCGTGCGAGAATTTCCCGCTTGTCCTTTTCCAAAATATTCTTCCTCCATCCCGTTAGTTGGTTTCCTCCGATGACCTTGATACCCTCTTTCCCCGGCTCTTCGAAAGACCTATTGCCGAAAACGCAACAGTCTCACGAATGACAATAGGGGAGGATAGGGGGATGACCTAACGCCTGCAGAATTTTTGTTAGGAGGAGGGCGTATATGGCTACAAAGGGGTATGAATGATGTATGGTTGCAAATGAATACTACATAAATCTATTAGTAGTACCTACTGTCTGCATCACGGGAGGTCGCCTAGCTGAGTCCTGGCGTTGCTATCCTCACTAGCTTCACGCGTATTGGCCATCAACGCTTTGCTCGGCTCATGGTTCGGCGTGATGAAGCCACGACAGGATCAAGACCAACTCACAAACGTGAGGTCGGATTCTGACGGCGGAGTTGTGAAGCTACGATTGGCTGTGCGTCGAGAGATGGCAGAGCGACATATCGATCACCCCGTCTGTCTAGAACCAAATCGGCCGCGGAAGAGTCGAAGCATTCCATCCGGCCGTTTCTCGGGCCGGACCTAGGGTCTAGTAGGGGCTGACTATGTAGAAGGAGGCCATCGCGCAGACACGGTTCGGCGGATTTCTGGGGCCCCAAGATTTACAGCGCCCCCAAATGCGGGGCCCCCGCTATGGAGGACACACCCTGGGCAGGTCCGTCTCCGTTGGCCAGGCCAGGGCCTGTAGGGTGACGGCGATGGTAGGATAATCCAGGGTAGCTATAGCTCCACACAACGCGTGCCGAGGCATGCCTGCCGATGAACGGCCGGGGCTATGACGCTTAGCACTGGATATAAGGTGAGTGTTTCTTTGAACAAGTCATCAGGGGGGTAGTAGCATGCGAGACGACTGGACCACCAACTCGGCGATACACCACAGAACCGCGGCCGGACTCGAAGCTTCGCCTTCGCGATATTCATCGACTAGTTCGGGTCTTCATGCGTACTGACCGCGGTGGACCCGGCTGGGCGTCAAGTTGAAGTGTATAAATCCCGTCGATTTTCCTTGCCAGTCGACGAGATGTTATCAGAAGTAGAATCACATCATCATCGCCATCGCAAGCTTCAGGGCCCGTGTTACAACATCGACATCCCCACTCGTCTCATCACCATCGCAAAATGAAGAGCATCGCCCTCTTAGCCGCATCTAGCCTCGTCGGTTTGGCGAAGGGGCACGGGTATCTGACTATTCCCGCGAGTCGTACTCGCCTCGGAGCAGAGGTGCGCCGGCATCCCAGTGTGTTTTTGCGGTGCCGAGGCTAACGTTGCGTGTGGAGTAGTCCGGGATAGATACCTGTCCAGAATGCGCTATCCTCGAGCCGGTGACGGCGTGGCCGGACCTAGATGCCGCCCTGATCGGTCGGAGCGGTCCCTGTGGGTACAACGCCCGCGTGAGCGTGGACTACAACAAGCCCGCGGACAAATGGGGCAGGGCACCCGTGGCGACCTACAGGCCGGGCCAGGTGGTCGATGTCCAGTGGTGCGTCGATCACAACGGGGATCACGGCGGCATGTTCGCCTACCGCATCTGCCAGGACCAGGAACTAGTCAACAGGCTCCTCGACCCGAACTACCTACCGACCCTAGCAGATAAACAGGCGGCGGAAGACTGTTTCGAAGAGGGCATCCTCTCCTGCGTCGACGTAAACGGGCAGCAGTGCGGATTCAACCCTGACTGCTCCCCGGGCCAGGCGTGTTGGCGGAACGACTGGTTCACGTGCAACGGCTTCGACAATGGCGACCGGACGCGGTGCCAGGGCGTCGACAGGTCACCGCTTGGCGCGTGCTTCACCACGACCGCGGGCGGGTACACGATCACGAAGAAAATCAAGATCCCGAACTACGTGTCGAACCACACGCTTCTATCGTTCAAGTGGAACTCGTTCCAGACGCCGCAGGTCTACATCAGCTGCGCCGACATCGCCATCGCTAACTAAACGTGGGTTGAACGATTTGAGCAGAGGGGGAGGTTGGCCAAGGCTGCGCGTGCCCGAGGGTTGTCATCCGGGAAGGGAGGGTTTGATCGAAACACACTCATTTCCGCGGCCTTGCGAAGAAGCACGACGACGGTGAAACAGGCGAAGGGGTTTCTTTCTGTCGGCTCGCCTGCTGCTTTCACCCGCCGATTTTAAGTTGTCAACGTGCCTGTGGGAGATCTCGTACAGGTAGATAGCGCAGCTAGACAGTTGGCAAGTAGAAGAATTGCTTATCAACCGCCGCATTGGGCGTGGTCGGCGGTCTTCCTGTGGATGTGCAAGGAAAAGAAGAGTGTAGAGAAGTTAGGTGGACCGGTGTCGCGGTTCGAAGCCCAGCCGAGCCTCATTTAACCCTCACCAATTCTCATAAATCAATAACACTTCTATAACTATGCATTAGCTGTATTATCAAATCTATGCAAGTATCCATGATTAGTCGAGTCGATCAAGTCACGTCATTGGTTTTCTATCCTTCCCCCTTATCCGTCTCTCGATCCCTTCTTCTTCTTCTCCTCCTTGTCCCCTTCTCCCTACGTCCTCCATCCGTCCTCCACACGCGTCGACCACCCCTCCTGAGTAAACCACACTAGTCCACCAGACTCAAAAATACGTTCTGGAGGCCACGAGGAGATCGCAGCGAAAGCGTTATCGAACCCAATTCGGCAATGCGAGCTAGCAAGTTACGTGATACCCGATGACCTCGAGCTGGCTAGCTACCCGCTCCGCCTGAAGTCTGTAATCAGAAACGGGGAGGTAACACCAGACAAGGATCGGGTAGAACATTAAATGGTATTCGTGGCCCTGATTTCCGCTACCTCTGATGCGGCTCGTTCGCTAACCGGCATCCAGAATTTAAGTCTAGACAGTCTCTCTATAGTCCCGGTGCCTCAGTTCCGGGAATCCCAGCCTCCTCTCAACGTTCACCCAGGCAAGATTCAAAGATGGCGCAATCGAGAGGGGAGAGGAGGCGGCGGCACGGTGCCCCAACGCGAAGGGGGCTGCTGCTATCAGTTTAGTCGAAACATCCGACTAGGCGGTCGAGAATCGACAGGCGTAGCCAGTCCAACGCGTAGTGATCCATACGCTCTCAACACACTATGCCTTCGATACCAAGTAGGTTTAATGACAGCACCCATGGATCAGCTCCGAAATGTTGGCCACTCGTAGCCCAAGGACGGACGAGTGAAAGTTAATACCACGAGGTCATAATACTCTATTTCACCATCCTAGAACAAGGACGCGAAATACGAGGACCGAGGAATTATATGTTATGTTTGGGAGAGAGATTCAAATCTTCGGGCGATTGGCCGTATCCTATCCCGGATGCAAGATTACAAGAAATGACTCGACCAGTCGCTTTTAGCTGGTCCCGCGATAGCAGCAATATCAACTCTTGGGCGCAGGGTAACCGCAGCCACGACTCGTGTCCGGAGAAGTCTGGTCCAGATCGCAAGTGCGGCGTTGCGCGTTAACGTTCCGCGACTGGGCCACGCAATATGAGGCTCCTTCTCGCCTGGTCACAGTCTCCACGGTCTGTCGAGGCCGGACATATATTACCCCCGTTGCCCTCGGTGCCCGTGTCTGGGTTTCAGAATGCAAGGTGTTGCCGAGCCTAATGTTGAAGTCACGATGCTGCCTCTCAAGCCCGCCACCGCCCCCGCGGGCCCCTTCGGCCTCGCGCGCTCGAAGAGATACCACATGAACACGAGACAGCTAGGACCGCTATTGTCCTGGAACGCGACGGCAGTGTCGACATCCTCTCCACCAGGCCGTCCCGATAGCACAAATACTGCATATATCAGTGTGATGATCAATTCTGGGCCGTTGGCCGCCGGACCCCAAGGGAACGGCACGTTGTTTCTCGCTGCCACTACGGGAGGCTGTTCGGCGGCGTGGGAGCCCCAAAGCGAGCTGCCCTATGGCCGCACGTACGGTTGCGTGACCGGTGCTTCGACACCTTCTAGGCGCTCAACATCCGCTGCGACAACGGTCTATTCGTGGATATTTAAGATTCTATTAGAGGGTGGCGACGGTCCACAATTGCCAACCAAGAATTTCATCGCCACGTTCACCTTCATGGCCAATATGACGACGCCGGATGGCGACAAGTATCGCAAAGTGCTAGCTGGGACGCAGCATTTTACAGTCGGTGAGAATCTAGAAGGCGTTTGTGGCGCTAGCGGTGCGGTATACCCTACTATTCTAAATTGACTCTTCCTCAGCTTTCACACCCTCTTTTTCTTCTCTTATTCCCATTCCGTGGTAGAGACGATCTCCCCCAGAGGAATCCGGGGCCACCACTATCGTTCATCAGTCACCTGTGAGGAGCAATTGCTGACTCGATTCCTACAGTGCTCGTGAAATTTAAGGCCCGAAGACGCGCCAACATTGGTCGATCCTACACCGGTGGCCTGCGTAGGCACTTGCTGATGGTATGCAGTACGAAATAAAATAGCTGTCTTTTTATAGGATATTTATAGGAGACGTGAAGTGCGAGAGACGCCCTAGCTCGCCCAACGGCGCCATGATGTGTGACAACAACGATGGAGATTCTATATTCTAAAAGCACATCATTTCAGCTCCGACCATAATCACCTCCCTATCTATACTCTCGCGATAAGAGTCAGCATACAGTTGCCTGTAATAATATAATTATACACTCTCAACCCCGCTGCTACATAGATTCTGGGGCTGGGCTTGGCAGCGGTCCAGAAGGTGTATACCTGATAACATTGCGTTCTTTGTCTACAAGGGCGGCAGTCTCTAGCAGGGTGACCACGAGCTAGTCCCGGGTGATACAAGAGTCAGCATCTTCGCCACTCCAGGCCTCATAGAATGCGATTCTAGACTGCGACGCGGCCTTGGACTCCCTGTCCAACGTCTACTTTCGGTAGCGGTCAAGAGCTTTAATGATTTGATCTCCTCCGTCCCTCCAAGCCGGAGCTAGAACCTGGCCCGACTCGAGGGCGTTGAGCCGAGCGTAGAAGCGCCCTCAACACCTAACTGTATCAAAAAGATTAACCTAACTAAGCCGCGGGCCTCTTCGTTTCACATATTAAAACCTAAATACTCTTTACACGAAGGCATGCTATGAGCCGCGTGGCCCAATAGTGTGATTCACTCGCTGAGCAGAGACCACTAGCAGTCCTCTTTATTTGCCACAATTCTTGTAGTAGTTCGCTTAAGCTGACAGAGAGGAAGGATGGGGATTCACCGGTCGGACTGATATTGACCAAATATTGAGAATGGCTCATCTCAAATTGCTCCCTCATGTCACGGTCTTTGCAACGATATCTAAATCTAAGATTTCCGGTATAGAAACCGATAGCATCTCCTTGAGGCGCCCGCTCAGAGTCGGGTCCGGCCCGACTCCGTTCAGCTTTACCCGAACTGGGTGCCGAACCGAGCGCCGTGGCCACCAGTCACGTCCTAGGAAAGGTCGAGCTACGGCACAAGAGCGTGGGCATCACTACCCAAGCCTTGAAGAGTAGTTGATGTAATTCGTGAAGTCCTCATACTATTAATAGATGTTTTGGGCACAGGGACTCGGGCGGTTCTACACCGAACACTACTCTAATATATCCCTACTTGCGAATGCTCTCTAGTTGAAACAAACTACGCGCCCACCATCAGGGAATCTCAGCGGATCGGAGTGCCGCAGCTCGTCGAATTTCTCCGCAAGGGGAAAGGGCTCGACGCGCCACATTGCCGTGGGCTGTCACTTTAAGATCATCCGTGGTGTGATGCTCGCAGAATTATATGAGCCTTGAGGTTTGGGAACACAAATTGTCGCAATTTGATACGTCGTACTCTGCACGCGCGTAGAAATAGAATATGTGATCAAGTCTGTTTACTACGCTGCTTGGGAGTGACTCGGATCGGCTTAAACGCAGCTGCGACCTATGAACCTATGATATCAGGCATTGGTAGGATCTCATGCAGGACTCCCCTGGCTACCACGATGAGGAAACATGGGAAGAGGTGCATGGGTCCCTCATGCGCCGAGGTTCGACAGGGTGGACGCTGTGTTTCTTGGGCTCGAGCTGACGACGACGATCAGGGGCAAAGACGGAAGGAGAGGAGTGATGATGGCTCTACGTACCTCGCTGCATTCTTGAAGCCTCATCTATCTATTAAGCGGCCACGAGAACGGCTTAATTCGGGCCAGGCGTTCCCGACGTCCTGGTAAGACCTATAATAGGTCTCGGGTTGTTAAGCTAAGGAAGTGTGACTAGGACGCTTGTTAAGTTGGGATTCGAAAGGGGGTTGTAAATATTGACGTGGAGCTCGCAACGAACTAGTTCCCTCTGTGTTCGAGGATATATCACGCTCGGATGCGTTGTTAGAGACTTCGACTTGAAATCTACGGTCCCTCTACTGTCGAGTTTTTGTACGTACCCCTGAGATGGCGCCGTCAGCAACCCAAACTAATGGTAAAGGAGGCACCGATCCTACAAAAATGATATCTCATCCCTATTGTGGTATCTACGAGTGTTCAGATACGCATCCGACCATACATTAGGTACTTAATTCCCGCCGTTGTGTGCTCCACATCTCTGATACGCAGCAATAGCGCCCTGTAGTTCGTCTAAGAGGTTCAGTGGAAGGTTGGGATTAAAGGCTTGTATTTCTACTCAACGCGGCATATGGTACGTCCCATATGCCGGTAGGGCTTACTTCCTTCGTGCCCAACTGAAACTGAGGCAACCCGGAAAGATAGCATCTCCCAGGCTTTGGTATGTTTATTAGCTGAATGTTAGAACGCCTTATTGCATACCCTGTGTGTTTGGACAAAACATGGCGTGTTTACGAATGCGTTCGTGATCAGAAGGATCAAGTCTCTTATCCAGATCAAACTACACATTCTAAACACGAACCAGCTACTCAGCTAGATCAGTTAGAAACAGGTGCCTACTGCAATAGATCTGTAAGATATTCCGGCGGGAAATGCGAGTGGCGTGGCTGTACGCACAAGGCCTTGCCTGACATCTCAGACCTAACATATCCTTACGCCTAACGTTTGCTGATTACCGAGTCGTTTCTGGGAATGTTGAACGCATATGAAGCTTACAAACACAAACGTGGCCCCCATGATAGTCCAATTTGAATCATAGCATTCCCCCCCCCCCCTCCCCCCCTCCCCCCCTTTCTGGCGATCTGCTGTCCTATCTCGTCCCAATCGATGAAATGATCAGGGATATTTCACCGGCGGCAAGCCCGACACCGGACACAGAAGGAAATACGCGACGTTTGGATTCGTCATCTAGCTGACCCTTGCTCAATAAGTGTCAGATCAGGAGCTGGCCACATATGCACCTCATCCGCACACCGATGCCAGAATCCGCCAAATGCCTGTCGTCGTAGACTCAGGAGTTGTCGGGCAAGGCATTGGGGGTCGTAAGGGTTCGAGTACTGGGTACTCTTCGATGACAGCCAGCTGCTATGCTCGGATACCTCTTGGGTATGATCACAGACTTGGGGCGAACACAGGCCCTACTGCAGAGCATTCTGGCTGGGGTTGATTATAGAATAAGGAGCAGGTTCCATGACCCATAGTCGCCATCCAGATCCCGGTTTGTAGTCGATCAGAATCCCAGACTCCATAAATATCTCAGGGGGGGGGTAAAACCCGCACCCTGAGGAACGGTTGAGAAGAGGGCGCTGGTAAGCGAGGAAGCTATAGCCCGAGGAAATTCTTCCCAGGCTTCGAGCAGGGCTTGACCTGCTCCACGTCAGACTCATGATCATAGGCAAGAGAGTAGGCAACGGGAGAATTAAGTACTCTTCACGAGCCTGAGAATGAAGACAACGAACGGGGGGCCCATTGGCCTTGGCATCTGGCCCGTGCTTACTATAACATATAGAACTTATACCTAAGGCCACGACGAAGCTAAGCGGATTCGGCGATCATGGGGAACCAGGGCGTTCCTCGATTACGTCTCGTCGTAGTGTTCTCCTGAGACAGAGAGAAATACGCCACACTGTTGTTAACGTTAACCAACGGAGGTTCTCTTTCGATGTGCTCCCAAATGACCCCAAAGCCTCCGAGAGGATGGAAGTAGAGTCCAGTCCATCTCAGGAGAGCGAACACATACGCATCGCAGATTACAGGGTCTATCGTGTGATACGAGGGTCGGCTCGTCTAGCCACTTGTAGACTCGCGGCATCGACGGCTTCTTCCAGCACGCTACCGACCTTGAGGTTAAACGGAAAACGACAGAAAAGGGCATCCCGGGTGAGAGCCATCCTCGACGAATAATCCACGAATTAACGACGTTGCCGAATCCCACTCCTATTAACGCCCCGATGTCTAATTGACGCGGGCAATCTGCCTCATCCAGCGAGACTGACTCCCTTCGCCCGGCCAAGTCGGTTCAACTGCGCAAAGAGCAACATTATCCGGACACCCATAGCCGTGGTTTCCTGAAACGATCGCCTGCCGAGCAGAACGGCGCCGCGATGGGTTACGATGCCCAGAATACCAAGAGGCCCATACAAACGAAACCTGCGGCGGGTTAGGTTATTCAGCGGCAGGTAGTATTCTTCCCCGCCGGCAGAATTCCACGATGACGGTGGTAGGGGTCTAGAAGCCATGGCTCGCGTTCCGGGTATCAAGATCGATGTGCAATGCGGCTCTATTCCCAGAGCATGATGTGCCGCCTTATTGGCGGAAGAGCTGGACCACCCGCTATCCCGGGTTTCTAAAGGTTAGACACCCATTTATACGTTGCAGTATTAATCTACTTATGCGTCGATCTACTACCCGTATATGATCCACGATGCTAAACACATCCCCAGCTGATTAGACATGGTTGCTGCGTTATGAGGTGATCGCCAGGCACGGGACTCGGCCGCGTACCAGCTCTCCGTCGGCCTCGTTGCGGCGGAAGAACAGCAGTATAAGAGCGACCCAGATCGCAACACCGAATATCTCCTCCTCGTATCCGCATACCCGACCGAGAACAAACGAAGAAGCCTAAAACAGTATACCGTTACTTGCTGTCACCATGGTCTCGTTTACCTCCCTCCTCGTTGCGTGCGTCTCCATCGCGGGAGCGATCGCCTCGCCCCTTAACAACACCGAGTTCGATCTCCTCGAGAAGCGCCAGTCTACGCCGAGCGCCACCGGCCGCCACAACGGCTACTACTTCTCCTGGTGGACCGACGGCGGCTCGCAGGTTACCTATACCAACGAGGAAGGCGGCAGATACAGCGTGAGATGGAGTATGTGTACTCTGTCCTTCTCTATCGCCCCCCAATTCTACTTCCAGTCTAGGGAGAGGCTATTATACCCCCTTATTCCTTGAAGCTTTTGATTCACACTTCATGTCAACACAAACAGAGTAACCGCTGACTTGATATCGCATTAGGCGGAGGCGGTGGTAACTTCGTCGGCGGCAAGGGGTGGAACCCGGGAGGCCCCAAGTAAGGCTTTTCATCACAGTGGTGTAGTTCGACTATGTCAGCTAAGACAGCCGGCGCTATAGGGAGATAACGTATTCCGGGACATACCAGCCCAACGGCAACAGTGTAAGTATTCTCTATAACCGACTTGTTGCTGATCCGAGTCACCGTGTCGGGGACTACCTTCTTCGCCTACTCAACTACATAGAATCCGAAAAACTAACCGGTTAATACCCCCCATATAGTACCTCGCTGTCTACGGTTGGACACAGAACCCGCTCGTCGAGTACTACGTCATCGAGAACTACGGCACGTACAACCCGGCCTCGGGTGCGCAAAGGAAGGGTTCCGTCACCACCGATGGCGGCACCTACGACATCTACGTCAGCACGCGCTACAACCAGCCCAGCATCGAGGGCACCCGGACCTTCCAGCAGTACTGGTCTATCGTAAGAAGCCCCTCCCCCCGGCGCCCGTCGTCCACGACGATGGTGCTCCCGGCCCGGGCGTCGGATGGCGCATCCGGGCCCACGTCATCGTGGTCGGCCCGGTTTTAGAGAGATAGAGGGCCCCTTTGCTAACTAGTTGACCAGCGCACGCAAAAGCGGACCGGCGGCACCGTCTCGACCGGCAACCACTTCGCCGCCTGGGAACAGGTCGGCCTCAAGCTGGGCACGCACAACTACATGATTGTCGCCACCGAGGGCTATTTCAGCAGCGGATCGGCCACCATCACGGTCCAGACGCCGCCTTAGGCCACTATACATACGCGCGTGGCTACGCCGCCGTCCTGCAACACGTGAAGGTAGCGTTACCTAACGTGAGACGGGCGGGCTTACGAGAGCGCGCCGTTTGCGGATGCAGCAGCTGACTGACTGCGGTGGACCTTCGAAGTCGGAAAAGAGGTGTGTATAGTGTGTGCTGCTGACCTCCTTTCCGCGCCCCGAGAGAAATCCACTCGGACGCTCGCCACAGTATAGTCGTGAGGCTTGACGGTCGAATCGTCGGGAGGCAATTAAGAAAGCAAAGCATTCCTGCTCAGCGGCGAGGTGCGCGTGACTCTTGATATTTGCCCCTAGGCGCTCCAATCTTCTTCCTTGGCTCCAGTGACTGTCCCACCTGCGGCTGTAATAGAGGGGACTGGGCTTCCTCGCTGGGCGTCATATCCGAATGTATGTCTTACTTGCCACTATCGACCAACCTGTTCTACAAAAAGACTCTGCATTCGGCATTTAAATAATTGGTCTCTGCCGTCGTCAGATTTGGGTCTATACTCGGCCAGATCTCGCTAGACTTACGATCCGGTCGGCGCTCGCTGTATCCAAATATACACCAGTCTTATCAACGCCGCGTCGCCGGATGCTTCCAGCAGTCTAGATATGATTCTTACATGCATTGACGTAACGCATTGTAACGTCGAGGGGATGGTATCCGATCTAAACTAACCGAGGTTCCGGCTCTGCGCATTCCTGGCTATCAGATGTCAATCCTATTTTTGAGCTGTAGAGATTTTACTTTGCATCAGTAGATCAGCGGATATTCTTTCTCGCCCTGTGGTAGGCAGGATATCACACAAGACCCCGATGAAATCCAGTAGTAGTAGTAGTCTTGCCTATAGCCTAAACTACCTCCCAATTGATAGATATACATGATTAGAACACAACATCTATATATTGATTGTGATTCTAGACTCAGGGATATTTACAGCCTAAACATCAACTATTATAGCACAGTCTATTTCTAGGTCGTATAAAGCAGCTAATACTGCCTATTTTGTGTCTTCACGCCTTGCAGTATACATTATAATACCCCCTTCTTCATTGTCTGGACGTTTAGTTTAGATACCTGGCGCGGAGATGGGCTATGGTGCTTCCTCTCCTCTCTTTGTTGACACAAACAGGACCTACGAAAACCTACGAGGCCAGTGAACTGCCGAACGGATAGTTCTCTTACAGTTTCTATGGGATATCAAGATCATTCACCGACATGCGAAGCGTCGAGTTATCCAAGTGAAAGACAGTCTAATACGAGACGGCTCGAAGACACTTAGACGGCTGAGGTCAAGACATCACGTTACAGAAGTTCGATGGCACTTCAAAATCATTAACTACACAAGCGCCTGCAACTGGAACTATTACATCCGAGCTCTTGCATCTGCGAGTTGGCGAGAACGAGACAGGGAAACATCAAGACGGCAGCTCTCAGGCCTCGGATCGCGTCCGTCCAACTGCAAGATGGAATCCACCAGGAGAGCGGCGGCATTTCCGGCCGAGTGATCCTAACCAAAGGCGACGACTGAATGGGCTGGCTGCCTCCAATCCTTCCAGTGACTGCGCCCTAGGTCGGATCCGGAGGGGGAAAATGGGGGGGGCGGCGGGGGCATCGCGAAAAGGCTGAGCACAGAGAGAGTGAGAAAGACGGTCACGTATCGCATACGCTGGCTCGCGATGAGGCTGGGCCATTTCCGTGGGGGGAGGTAATAGCGGACGGACGCGCTGCGCACGTCCTATCATGCGCTGCGAGCAACGGTGGAGAGAGAGAGAGAGAGGCAGCGAGGGAGAGACACAGAGACGGAGGAGGGGCCCAGAGTGGGCTGGACTTCTAGCGCCAGCGCGCGAGCGAATCCTATCGGGTACACGATCGAAGAGATCGAGCGAGCGCAGCATACCGAATGAGCAGATCTCGCCCTATCTCGAACGCCTCTCAGAAAGGGGCGTCGCGAAGATCCTTCCCGTCTGAGCAGAACTGCGTCGTTTAACTATCTACAGCAGCAACCCGGATTTTTGGGACGTTTCAAGTCTGTATTTCTTTTTCCCTTTTTTCTTGGTCGCCTCTGTCTATGCTATGTTATGCGTGTCCTGTCGCCGCCCCTTCTCCCGCGACGGCGAATCTATGAGTATGTACATAAGCACGTGTGTGTGTGAGCGTGTGAGCATGCGTGCGGGTGTGTCTCCATCTGGGCTAGATCACTCTCTCTGGTCCGCAATCCCTCATCGTATGAATCCTCGCCAGATGATTGGCAACACGGTACGATAAGTGATGAGGCAGAGAGCCCGAGGACGCGCCCTAATGTACGTGCCTGTTTCGAATTAGTCATCTCTGCTCGTCGCTGTCGACTCGGATCAGCTGTTGAGATGCCGGTAATGTTTCAGCCATTCCTTCTCGTCTGCGTCCCGCGTGAGGCTCTCTGCTTGTCTCTCTTTGTCCGTCTCTGTCTCCCTCTACCCTCCGAGGTCCGTGTGCGTATCCTCTCGCTCTGATTCCCTCGCGTGCGATAAGCCACGCACGTGTGGTCCGATGTGATCATCCTGTCTTGACCGACTTCAGCGCAATGGCACTTGCTAAGTCGCCTCGAGCTTATGGCGCCATGTGCTCGGAGAATGAACAGTCGAGACCTATGCAGGATTCTTGGCGAGATTTGGTTTTTTCCCCCTCCCCTTCGCGGCGGAGGCCTGGTAGCTTGCCTCACGGTCCCTCCTATGGCAGCATGATATGATATTATGGGTTATCTCGGGAAGTTCGGCTTCTCCTAAGCTAGCTTGATTCGCATGCTATGTATAGACAGGCTGGCGGTCTGCGAATGTACATACATATTCGCTATTATCATTGTTCCATTACCATCATGCTGTCCGCGTATTGTCAAGACCCAATTCGAGATTCCCCTGCGACGGAAACATGCTTGCCCAGCCCAGCCCCCTCCCACCCCATAACCTGACAAGGCGGGCTTGTTGGAGCTCCCCCTGTACGGTGCGTGCTCGCTTCCCTGCCCATGCACACCACCCCCAAAATCTCCAAGGGGATACCCTCCATTTCCCCTGGCAAACGGTCGACAAGGGCGGGAGAAACAACACTGAGAAGCGCACCAGCTCCACGGTTCACCTCTGTCGCATCCCTGAAGTGTACAGTCACACAAACCAGAAGCAATCGAGCTTATCCCTTGCTCACTCGCAGCCTCGCACAAAGATCCCCTTCATTATCCCGCTACACATTGCGACGGTAGATGGGGATGCGCCATGCGAAGCACGGCATTTTTCAATGGCAAGGGTATATGATGGAGGGAAGAGGGGAGGGGGGGGGGGGGGGGAGGAGCAAGGGGAAACGATGGCAGATGGGTCGTTGAACGTGTTCTCCAGCATGTACGTAGCTGTAAGTAAGTAAGTAAAGGTAGGCGTAACGACATGGCGGTAATATTGCTCACATACATACTACGTACGTGGAACTCTGCAGATAGTGTGCTATATCAGAGCTGTGTTATACAGTATGTAGGCTATTTCGGACATATTTCCCTCTCTCACACGCCCTCTCTCTCCTTCACGTATAGGTACTTACCTGTATTAATGCGTCCCGTAGGTTGCGCTACGATACCGGTCTGGATACGCATCTGCAATCGAACAAAACAGGAAACACGATGGACTGAGCGAGATCGATCTCCTTCGTGACGCAGGGAGAAATGAGCAAGGGGGGGTGGGCCATAGATCACTGAAAGCCGCAAACATTCGGTTTAGGATTGCGGAGATGGGCGACGAGAGAGGGGGAGAGCAGCCTAGGAGGAGTAAGGAGGAGGAGGAAGAGGAGGAGGAGGAGGAGGAGAAAAGAGGCGCACTGCTGCTTTCTGAGGTGACCGCAACATACCCCGAGCTCGTTACCAAATGTAGGCCAACGGCGGCTAGCAAATTCCGCTCAATTTTGTTTCGCCATTACCCAGATTATCCGTCGGTGGATTTCTAACAACGGTTTCGGTTTATACGGAGGTGTTATTTCCCCTTCCTGTACACACTGTATTATGTACGTAGCGCATACATATGTAGGTAGCAGCCAGCAGAGGAGGCATCATGCAACAGAATCTAGCCTGCCTCGTCTGCCTAGTGATTGCAATGTTACTCCATACATATAGGGAGGCCGTCCGTCATCCAGTGAATGCCAGGGGACAGGTCGTAGTAGTGCCCGGAAGACATGGTCTATCTGCAGGAACACAAGTCCCGACTGTAATCCCCGTCCTCATTTCATCCCAGCAGAGACGTCCCGCTCTCATCTTCCTCCCAGGCTCTGCCCTGTCCGTGTCACGGTAGCGCGAGGCGAGCTTCTCGAACGCGATCCTCCAGACGCGAAACCCTGCGAGGTCGCGGCAAAGCCGACGAGGACCAGGACGTGGTGAACACACAACGCACCTGCAAGCGCGCGGCAGCCCCATAGCATACCTGACCTACGTATAATTCTAGAAGGCGAGAAATCCGGGTGCCAATGTAGAGAGTTGTGTACGGATGTACAGTATATAGTAGTAATAATAGACACACACACACACACGCACAACTATTTTTCTGTTATCAGAGACGGAGGCCAAGTACGCGTCGTTATTGGACTGTCGTATTCGCTTTCCTAAATTAACTCTCTTACTCTAAGTGAAAGAGAGGAAGAAAACGAGGCATGTGTCTTCGGCACCACCACCACCCAGAGGGTAACATAGCATTACGAGATGTGCGTATGTACTTTTGTGAAATGAATGGCTCTCCAAGAGCAAACCATAGAAGAGGCGGAGTGGCTACCGGCTACCTACCTACCTATGGGCAGGTTGCTCATCGAGGTACCGGCTACATACCCGAACAGAAAGTCATCGGCATCATGACATGACGCGGCGCGGTATCAGAGAGCGGCCTTTGAACCGTGGAACACCAATGGAAACACAGGATGTCACAAGACCGTGGAAGGTCGGCCATTAATGCATTAGAACGCAGGACCGCGGCACGGGGAACGACCGGTTATCTGAATAACGGGCCAGTCGTATACCGTGCTGGTCTCGTACGCATATGATATTATGCACACGCAAGGGTCGAGTGGAATGGCACCGTAGCATTGGCATCGCACCCAATTGGGGTTGGTCAACCCATCTTTGGAGGCAAACGAAGCAGGGAGGCCAAAGGGAGGGGATTGAGGAAAGGGACGGGAGGAGGAAAGGAAAAAAAAAGATTTATCATCCTGGTGTGCCTGGCTGCAGGGTCCAGGGGAGAGGGAGGAATTCCTGGACAAGGGGGGCGGAGGTCGACGTTAAACAAATCCACCAGGGTAAAACGTGTTAGTTCGAGATTCTCTCTGCTCTGTGACCGAAAAGCGGGCAAGTTGCTATCTAAGGCAAATTAGTAAGATATCTGTCAATGGTGGATGGTAAATCAACTACCACCTTGACACGTAGATCAGTCCCATATGGGGGGGGGAGTGGGCAAGACCGTGGTGTACGTTGTGCGCGTGCGCGTTGTGGGCTTGTGGCAAGGAGAGGTAGTTTAGCATCTTAGGTCGATGGCAAAAATACATAGATATATACATACATACGTACATATATGCTATATGTACTCGTGGCATACCGCTCT